TATAATTGACAACAATAAAATAATCTAAATAAAGAATCTAAAAAATAAAAGTTATTCTAATATTTGGAAAATATTAAAAATTTTTTTTATCAATGCTATTACAATTAATATAAAATGAATAGTTAATTGGCTTATATTCGATATTTTATTTTCTCAGAATATTATTAGATTTCTTTCACCAACCCTTATAATTAGATAATTAAATTAAGAAAAATAATCAAAACTCAATTATTAAAATGTAAATCATATTTCGAAAAATGAAACAAAAAATTAGAATAAAATAATTGAATTCTCTAAACTTCTGAAATAAATAAAACTTTCTAAGAATGGAAAATTAGAATTTAAAAAAGGCCCTTTAAAAAAATACGATTAAGAATTTGAAAAGTTTAATATCTCAAAGTATCAAAATAATAAAATTTGTAAAGAAATTATTGCTATAGTTATTTTTAATTAAAATATTATTTGTATATAATTCTTTTACGTTATTGTTAATAGAATTATTAAGTTTTAAATTTGGATTCTTTCCTGAAAATAGTATAATAAAATTAATATGATTTCTAGAGTAGTTATGGTTGGAACTGTAGGATGTGGTAAGACAACTTTACTCAACAAAATTTGTAATAAACATTTACAAACTTATAGTGGGGGATCTCAAGATACTAAAGAACCAATGATAAGTCTAAGCGCTTATGGGAAAGGATTTCAATTGTTAGATACACCTGGATTTGAGGCTTCCTCTTCAAAACTAAATAATTCCATCGGAATCCTAAAATCTCTAATTGATAATCCTATAAATTAACTACTTGTTGTATTAAGATTAGAAAGATTGGATTTTTTGTTATCTGAATTGTAAAGGGTTGTTAAAATATTCAAAAGATATAAAGACATTATTACAGTTGTTATTACTTTTTTTGATTAATGTGAAAACCAACATTAAATTAGAGAAAACATCATTAGACATCTAAAGAAATTAAAAGTAGAATCAGTGATATTTAAATGTCAGAATACATCAGGAGATGAACTTTGTCGACAAATTGATAGTAGAAATACTAATTCAAAATAAGGAAGAAGATTTTAATTAAGTTAAACAGAATTATTTAGTAATTTTATTCATCTTGATTACAATGAATAAATCGATTTCTTATTTTTCGGAGCATAAGATTCGTTTATATGTTAATTTAGGTAAATATAAAGAAATTATGAAGAATTTATTAATTAAATTCCAAACACTCAACCAAACATGTCAGAGATCATACATGAAATAATTTAAAGTATCAAAGAGAAAGTTAATAATTAATTTTAAGAGTTTAAAAAAAAGAATATAAATTATTTTAAAGAAATATATGAAACTTAAGATAAAGATTTTGAAATTATAATAGACTTTCAATTTAGACTAGTTTTATTAAGTCATATTTAGCGTCTTATGGATAAAGCATTGAGTAAAATGAAATAAAGTGAATCTTGTTATTCTTTAAAATAATGTTCTTATTGTGGAGAAATTTGGAGGAGCTCAGATGGTTTATTATTTTGTGGATAATATGAGGGTAACGAAAATTCATTTTAATAAAAAATATCATCAAAGAAATTAGGTTGTGGGAATAAATTGATATTGAACGATATGAAATCTTTATCAGAATCCTTTGTGGAAGAAGTGTCATAAATTGAAATTGATGATTATTTATTAGCTATTTTAGCTTAGGACGAAGATAAAACAATCAAGGGAGTCAAGAAAATTGAAACTTTAGTGAAAGAGAAAAATATTATATTTATTTGATTTTGCTATAAATTTAATAAGTTACAATTAAAATAATTAAAGTTATATGTTTGTATTGACTTGAAATATTACATTCTCTTTTTAGAATAGAGTCGAATTAATCATAGGGTTTTATTCCAATGATACATTCTACCTTATCAAATTTTTGCTGCCTTGAAAACAAATTAGTGACTATTTAATTATTTAAATATATAAGAAACATAAATAATATAATTAACTAATATTATAACTTTCATATTTGTTAAAGAAATTATTTAAAATTAAGAAATGCTGCTTAATCTTGAAGAAAATAATTGATAAACTATTAAATATTGTATTAGATTATGCTCCTTGCTTATGTTATCTAAAATATAATATATAATAATGAGAGAACTTTGTGAATAGTTTACAAAAATCAATGATTATATTTGCACCATGTATTTATTTTAATAATCTTTATGCGCATCAATAAATAGATACTTGAAGATTAGAATGTCAAAATAGATGAGTAGCTGTATGATGAATGAAATAAACTATATTTATCTTTCATTAGGAAATTAATTTCTAGCAAATCTATATGATTCTACCAAATTTTTTCCTTATCAAATAAATTGCTTATTAGCAATTTATTTTTTATAAAATCAAATGATTTAAAAATATTTATCAGCTTTTATATAAAAATTAAAATATATTATGAAGTAAATTGTTTCTTTAAGCTTAAATTAGTAAGCTTTATGTTTAATGACAAGATCAGAAATATTTTGATTTAATAGGTTCATACTCAATAAATTGTTTCCACAAAAATAAAGAAATCAAAATCAAACCTTTAAATGGGAAAATCATAAGTATATAATGAAATTTATCTGTTAACTAATATATATTGATAAAAAGGATAGAAATAAGGCACTAATAATTTTTATAATTTAATATAGCATAAGTTTATGAAGTAAGAAAATAAAATAATAATTTGAGAAAAAGAATTTGAAGTATCATTTATAAAAATTTACTTATTTAATTTATAATAGATATTTAAAATGGGGAAAGATTTTAGGTATAGGTCAAAAAAAATTTATAATGGGTTGAGTTTAGTGATCATTTTAAGAATTTTTATATAGTAATAACTTGAATTATTTATTTTTGTGAATATAAAAATCTTAAAAATGTGGTAATCAAGATATTTATCATTATTCTTATAATAATGCGCCCTTTTATTTGATCTTAAGAGAAAAAAAGAAGGTTTACAAAATTTAAAAGACAAAGCCATAAGAAATTCAGCAAAAGAAGAGATTAGCCACAAGATATGGTAATTATGAAAAACTGAAGGTCTTTATGTCTTTCGATTGATAAATAGAAAATAAAGGAATTCCATTTAATATTAAATTGTCTAAATAAATGTAATTTCTGAGTTCAGCATTCTAACTTGTGTTCAATTATAGCCAATAAATATTTTAGATTGTTTATCCTTAGATGTAGTATGGATATGCAGTCACTAAAAAATTATTTTAAAGCTACACAATCAGTTTCATTTGGAAAGGAATTGCTACAGCTGTAATCCTTTTTTATTGTAATCTACAATTTAATTTTCTTTCTTGACAACTATTTATATCTAAAGTAGTAGCTTATGTTACTGCATTTTATTGTTCAATAGGCTTAATAGAATTTAATTTTAGCTTATGAAGTTCCATCTTTAATAAATGAAATATAATTTTGTAGCTTGAATCCTTTCTTAAAAATAGTTTTTAAAAAGCAATGATAAAGAACATAAAGAGAATCAGTTAAAGGGATGTAAGCAATATTTTCATGTAACAAAACAATTAAGCTGATCAATAGGAAAATATTCTCATCTTAAATAAGTTAATAACTCAATTTTATCCACTTATAGTATACTTTTATCTTTAATCTATTTAAAATAAAGTAAGTATTTATTAATTATTCTATATTTCTAAAGAAAAATCAATTGTATTTTGATTTTATTTTACTATGCTCAACTTCTTCTCAGTATCAACCAAATCTAAATCTAAACAAAGTCTTGTCTAAGATTTTCTTTATATTCATAATATAAGACATAAAAAAGTAATAGAAATTCAATAATTATTTTAATTGCTTTTCAAGATAAGGAAATGGAATAGGAAAGAGATCTTAATTAGATTTTCGCTTTCTTAATTGATACTTATGATCAATTCTACATGGTAATTACTGAGATGTTTCAAAAAGAGAAGATTTCTAAATTCTTTAAAAGAGGTATGATGGAGATGATGAATATCGAGTTCAATAAAGCATTAAGCATAGACAGATCTGAAATTCAAAAAAAGCAGATTAAAAGTTAATTTCGAGGCTTTCTTTATTTACATGAGACTCAAAACTATAAAAAAATAATCAGAAAAAGAAATCAAATAAATGATGGTAAAAACAATATTAAGTCTCTTCCAAATATTAGTTAAAACATTAATTAACTTAATTTGAATAAAAAAGACTATACCATAAAAGCTTACAGAAAAATTCACAAAGTTTTAATTAAAAATATTCATGAGAATAAGAAAAGACTTATATTATTGAAATTCTTAGTTCACCACTTAATTTATGATTAAAAATAAATTTAATGCGGATTTAATTTGCTTCATTTCTTAGTTGGAATGAAGGGTCATTTGAAGAATATAAATAATTGTAAACATCAGGATCAAGAATACTTCATTAATTGGAAGTCATTTATGAACTCACCTTGAATCGAACTATGATTTTTAAAATAAAATGGAAAAATTAGAAATCCCATTCATTAAAATAATTAAAAGGTAATAGTGATTTTATTTTTTCAATGTGCATCTTGTGATAAGTGTATTTATTTAAACGAATTTAAGGCATGATAATAAAAAGTCAAATTAAATAATCTGGAAAATACTGTTTACTTTAAATGAATCTCTCCTTAACATAGTAGGAGTGATAAGTCTTTCAGATTAAAGGATGTTAAGATATTATCATAAAAATCTCATTAAGATGGTCCTAGTATTTGTATTAACTTAGAATGTTTCTCTCTCTAAGGTACGGCATTACCATCTGATAGCCATAATAATTCTATTCATTTAATACATTTTAAGATAGGATAATAATAAACAAAATTAAATGGTCATAAAAATACTATTTGATAAGAATGATTTTTCTCTTCTATTACTCAATTTGATCGGTTATGATTTTAACTCTATTAGTTGCTTTCATAATAAAACATAACAATAAAATTCTAAATTAAATGATGATAGTGTAATTATCTTTTAAGTATACTTCTCACCCTTGAATATTTTTTAACATACAATAATTGTTATTGGATGTTAAGACAAGAGTAGCATACTTGAATTGTTAAAAATACTATATTCATTTAATTCAGATTTTTATTCAATATTTTTCAAGTTTTATAATTGCATCATTTTTAGCCAATAAGTAACATTTAATAATATTTTAAAAGACAATAATTTAAAGCCAAACAATAGAGTTGAATAAATCTAACTATGGGATATGATTCTTGCTTGAAGATCCTTGATTAAAATTTACTATTGATAATAAGTCTTACTTTTAATAAAGTAGAGACATTAAATGAAATAAGCTCTATATGTGTTTTAAAAATTAAATTAGATTAATACTTAATAATATATTTTATATAATTAAATACGGATGCTATTTTAAAAAAATTTTTAATTTGGCCTCTATTCATAACATAACCAGGATTGCTTTAAACATTATTTTGATCAATCAATAATCTATTAACATCTATATATATTAAAAAATTATTAGTTTTTTTAGCACATGGTTAAATAGAGTTAAAGATAGAATTTAAGACTGAAAACCAGTAAGGTTATTAGTTATAATTCCTATTCATACTACAATAGGTAGGTTGTTAATATCCATTTAAAAATAAATTAGTGTGCTATGCTAGATTATTAAGTATTTAGAAGGTTAGCTTATCATTAATTTGTGAATAGCAACATTAAATTTAATAACAACTCATTTATTAAAGGTTCTGAATACGATCCAATATTTTTGTATTTTTTCTTCTCTAACCAATTAATTAGAAATCATGCAAAATAACAGAAAAGATAGGTGCATAAGAATAATTCTAGGATATGGAACTAAATTTGTTTAAAATTCTATAATTTTCACATTCAAAGCACTATCAAATCTTAAAAATGCTGTTAAAGATGAAACAACTTAAGCAATCGATTTTAAAAAATTGTTCTATGTTGGTACTACATATATCATAGATTGCTTTATTATCTAATATAACACAAACATCTGTATGCTCTAACAAAGAATTGCATAAAATTGAATTGTATGGCTCTACAGCAACTGTTGATATCTATGGAGATGGATAAATTGTAAGCCCTAATTTTGCCTTTTTCAATAATCAACTGATAATCTTATAGCAATAATGATCCAAACCCAGATCCTGTTCCTCCAACTACTATATCAAATATTAAGAATCCTTAAAGACTAGTGCAATTATTAGCCATTCTTCTAATCCTATCCAGAAAAAAATCAATTATTTCTTTTCTATTTGTACAATATCGCTTTATTCAAGAGAATATAAAGATTATGGGATAGTAACTTTTGAGATTTTAAAACTAATTAGATTGAAGTTCTTATTATGAGCAAAATTTCAAGGAGAAGAGCTATGAATCATGTTTTTGTATTTGAATTAATAATAAATTAAAACCATCCCAGTATTCTTAAGTTTCACTTATGTACTATTATTTGTACTTCATATAATATGTCTTATGATGTAAATCTGACCATAATGAATTTGTTTGTAATGAATAGAAACTGAAGAAATTTTAGACTCTGCTAGGTACAAGAGTTTAACTTCGATCGCTGAGATTAGAACTCTGATAATTCAATAAAAAGATGTCAAAATTAATAAATCAGATAATCTAGATGAAACATTACATGATCTTCTTTGGTCTTTGGAAGCTTAATTGATAAAAAGAAGTGAAGGGTAATTATCTGAGAGCAATAAAACATTTGTAACGATTTTCAATAAAATTGGATGATCAAATTTGCTGTCTCAGACATTATGACAAAATAATTTAGATCACACAGATTACAATCATGTGTACTGTTCTAATGAATCCTCCGCATACATGATATCAAATAATAATTTTGAGCAAAACCACAAACTATATTCTTAAACTTTGGCGCCTATCCATTTGGATTACATATTCAACGACTAATCAATTCAATAAGCAAAAGGAGATTTTTTTATACAAATAAAGAAATGTCATAGGATATGTAAATATATGTCTCATAAGTATCCCTGTATTAGCTTATCTCATCTAACTACAGTAAAGGTTTAGATGGGATGTATTTAATAGAGCCATAACCAAAAGTTAGCTCGAAAGTTTTGGTATTTATAAAGAAAATAAATAATCTTCTATTATTTTATTAAGTTCATGTATCAATTAGAGATGATTTAAAATCAGATATATAACTACAATATGCTCAATAACACAATTTGCCAATTGTTACTGTAATACTTGATCTCAAATTATCAAAAATTTAGAGGCTCTTCTGTAAGGAATGCTTATCTTATGTAAAATAAATTGAAGAATTGTTCATTATCAAAAATAATTCTATGACTAGATTAATTGATTAAGATTGTGAAGAATTGGATTTAGAATAATCAAATAGCAAGATCATAATTTGATAAACAAGGATGTAACTTTTTTGAAGAATAGGAATGAAAAATTTATTTTTTCCAAAATTTTTTATTCACACAATAAGATATACCAAATTCAACGCCATGGTTAGAAAATACAACACCATGTGATTTTTAATACTTTTTAAGTCAAAGTTCTTTAATTCAAATTAAAATATAAATTTTTGATCTAATAATTCTATATTTTGATAAATCTAATTTTTTATTTTAAATTTATTTTCTAAGGTAATTTTAGCTATTGTCAATATTTTTTATTATCAATATTTTGTTTTTTTGATCTACAATCTTTCTAGAGTATTTATTATCATCCATAATTTTGTATTATTTGAATAAGCGTTTATAGAATATAAATTGATATATTTATGATAGTAACAAAATATAGAACATTATTAATAAAAATGTCACAAAAAGTTCCTTCCTAAATATCTATTGGAGTTGGTTGTTATAGTTCAAAAAGATTCGATGATAAACTTAAGATGATGAATGGTAACTTTAAAATAACCAGGTTTAAAATTTATCTACTTAATGATCGAATTTGCGGAATTGGAATTATTTACTAAAATTAAGTAAATGGAAGAAGGATAATATTCACCGATACAGCTTAGAATCAAAAGTACACCTTTCTATGTGAATTTAACATACCCTCAAGTATTCTTTTCCCATTTAATAATAGATGATTATCTATAAGTTATTTTTGGCTATTGCGACGAGATTCAAATTAATTAACTTGGTTTTATCACATACTCAGGAAAATAAGAAATTTTTGGAATAGAGAAAGGAATCAAGTTTGAATACATGTTTATGGGTTATACTTTTTCTGGTTGTAGTGGTATTTTTAACTAAAGAGCAATTGAAACCCTAAGTTTCATAGTTCAGAAGCTTCCAAAATAATATATATTGACTCACGTAATTAATAAAATTACATATTTAGCTTCCCTCATTATATAATATACTTTATCAAAACTATTAACTTGAAGAAAATATGGAATATTTTGATTAAAAAGAAATAAATTTAGCAGAATTTCCAGAATTTCCTATTGAAAATGCCTCTGAAATAATTAATTATCAATAAAAGGATAAAAATTAAAAATCAAATGCAATACAATAAATAGGATATGGACTTTAATATTAATAAGCATATTATAATGGGAGACCACAACCATAATACTATATACCCAATTCTAATACACCCGCTCAAAGAAATCAAAGAAACCAAAATAGTGATAGAAACATTAGAAGAGGAATATTTATAGCAGAGATACTTTTAAGATTAGTTTGTGGTCATTGAATAATAAAATTATAAGATAATTAATATTTTTATTTGAAAAATAAGAAATAAATTTCAACTTGATATGGTTTGATTAACTTTAAACTAGAAATAGTGGTTAAACGAAATAATACAACCAGATATAAAATAATTGATTTCTAAAATGAGTATTGTTAATCAATAATTGAATCTTTTAGTGGATAATCATTCTATTAATATTTTTTTCTTTTAAGTTTGTAGCATTTTTCTTTTCATATTCTTTTTAAAAAGACTCTTATCAATAAAAATTATATCCTATAAATATAATTAAATGATTTAGATTTTTTATCAAACACTTCTATAAATAAATGGCTTCTTCTAATTGAATTAAATGAAAAATAATTTCTTTAATATTTATTTAAGATAAAATTTCAGTTTTTCAATGATTTTATTATTGAATCAGATATTGTGATATTATAAATATTCACCATTATATGAAATCATAGAATTATCCTATTTACATATTATCATTAGTATTACCTTAAATAGAAGGAAATTAATAATTATTGATAATTAGATTATAAATTCAAAATCAAAATATATTTAGAAATTTAAATAGGATTATTAAATGCTAATCAAACCATTTACTTTAATTAATATAAAATAGAATATTCTAGAAAATACATTTGTTTAATATTATTCTGATAATCGAAACTTAAATAGAATATTACCTTTGGGAATTAAATAATTAATATATCATCACATTTAGAATTTAAAAGAAAAAGAAAATTAAACTAATAAGGACGTCAAATATTATTAAAATTCTCAAGTAAATCAGAATTTGATTTTATTATGTTAAATTAAATAATAATAATTATGATTCAATTATTTTTAATAAAAAAGAGGATAAAATTTAAATATATTCTGTTTATATATCCAGATTTGTTAGTTTATTCTCAATTAATTGCTATTGGATTATTTTATAGGGGAATTTAATATAGATTTCAAAGATTTAGTAATGATAGATGAAAATTTAGTTTATTTAAGAATATGATTCAGCTAATAAATTTATTTTTAATAATTCTTATTAATATTTTAGGGAATATTTAAAGGTAATAAATATTTTATGATAAAACTTTTATTAATTTATAATAATAAATGTATCAGATGAATTGGAGAATTAACTTTATATTTAAATTTGTGAGAATCAAGATATTGTCAAGATTTGTATTCTAATATTCATGGTTATTGATGTTTTAAAGGAATTAAATTGGTTTATTTGAGTTTGTTTCTTTAATCATTTATTTTAAATTATTTTTATATTTATTAGCTATTGTTATTTCAAATATAATATTTAATTAAACTTGTTTGAATTTATTCCTAATTCCAACCTATAAAAAAATTTTCATATTAAAATCTAAAATACAACTAAAAATACTATTAATACAGATATTAAAATTTTTAATTTAAAATATAAGTTGATGTTTATGTTTACAAGACTTATAAAAGTAATAGTGATGAAATTACTATGTTTATTCATATTCCTTATAAAATTTCATATCATTACATTTTATCATCTATACATTCATTTTATCAATCAGAACTCTTTTTTTTAATTATTTATTATTAAGAGTTAATAAATAATTTTATCAAGTAATCAAATTCGAAATACTTAGTTATGTATATTGAATAAAAAAAAAGGNGATAATTAGATTATAAATTCAAAATCAAAATATATTTAGAAATTTAAATAGGATTATTAAATGCTAATCAAACCATTTACTTTAATTAATATAAAATAGAATATTCTAGAAAATACATTTGTTTAATATTATTCTGATAATCGAAACTTAAATAGAATATTACCTTTGGGAATTAAATAATTAATATATCATCACATTTAGAATTTAAAAGAAAAAGAAAATTAAACTAATAAGGACGTCAAATATTATTAAAATTCTCAAGTAAATCAGAATTTGATTTTATTATGTTAAATTAAATAATAATAATTATGATTCAATTATTTTTAATAAAAAAGAGGATAAAATTTAAATATATTCTGTTTATATATCCAGATTTGTTAGTTTATTCTCAATTAATTGCTATTGGATTATTTTATAGGGGAATTTAATATAGATTTCAAAGATTTAGTAATGATAGATGAAAATTTAGTTTATTTAAGAATATGATTCAGCTAATAAATTTATTTTTAATAATTCTTATTAATATTTTAGGGAATATTTAAAGGTAATAAATATTTTATGATAAAACTTTTATTAATTTATAATAATAAATGTATCAGATGAATTGGAGAATTAACTTTATATTTAAATTTGTGAGAATCAAGATATTGTCAAGATTTGTATTCTAATATTCATGGTTATTGATGTTTTAAAGGAATTAAATTGGTTTATTTGAGTTTGTTTCTTTAATCATTTATTTTAAATTATTTTTATATTTATTAGCTATTGTTATTTCAAATATAATATTTAATTAAACTTGTTTGAATTTATTCCTAATTCCAACCTATAAAAAAATTTTCATATTAAAATCTAAAATACAACTAAAAATACTATTAATACAGATATTAAAATTTTTAATTTAAAATATAAGTTGATGTTTATGTTTACAAGACTTATAAAAGTAATAGTGATGAAATTACTATGTTTATTCATATTCCTTATAAAATTTCATATCATTACATTTTATCATCTATACATTCATTTTATCAATCAGAACTCTTTTTTTTAATTATTTATTATTAAGAGTTAATAAATAATTTTATCAAGTAATCAAATTCGAAATACTTAGTTATGTATATTGAATAAAAAAAAAGGAATTCAATAAAGCAAGGCTTAAATAAAATGAATCAATTCTTATTCTTATAAATTCAACTTTAATTGAAAACATACAATGTATACACTATTTATTTTTTTCAGTTTAATAAATGAGATTAGCTCCAACAAGAATAAATTAATTTTAAATTTCCCTCCTTATTAAGGAATTCATTAACAATTATAAATTTATTTGTATATATATATATGATAATTCAAAATAAATTAAATTAATTTTTTCAAAAAATTATCAAACAAACCCTTAAATCTTGGTTTGAGTTAATTAATTTCTTCAATTATCTAATTTTTTTAAATTTTTAAGAAAATTTATAAGATAGGCTTGAAACTAAAAATTTTTAAAATGAGATATATTAAATCTTACAATGCATTGAAATTATTCAGTATATATTATAAATAGTATTTATTAGTATATTAATTGAAAAATGTTTTATAATAAATGTGATCGTGATTATGAAATATAATTTTCAGATAATCTTTTCATTTTTTCCTGATTAATTGTACAAATTTATTAAAAATTGGTAAACATTGTTTAATTAATGTGATAGCCAGTGTAAACAGCAATAAATAAACATGAAAAAATCCTATTCTCACAATATTTTCTGAAGAAATATCAAAAAAACCTTATTTTAGATATACTAATTAAGTTATTGTAAATATTGATAAGAACCCTTCATTTATTACCAATGCTATTTTTTCAAATTTGTTGCATTAAAAATATTTATAAATTATGATGCACTAAGAAAAGTTATTTATTGATAGAGATAAACATTGTAATACAAACTAATCCTAAAGTATTATCAAAAATAAATGAAATGATATTGTTCTACAAAAGTTAAAGACCATAAAGTTAAAATCTAATCTTAATTTATGATCATGATTCTTTTTAGGTATACATTAATAAAATGCTTTGAATATAAAATAAATATAAGAACATAATATCAAAGTTGAAAATAGAATTTATAATAAGGTTCTAATGTTATTAATTTAAATATGATTATAACATAAAATTACTTTAAACAAAAGATCCCATTAATTAATGATTAAAAACGTTCTTATAGAATTCAATGAAAAGGATAAACACCAATAAATTTATTTTTTAATGTTTTTATTTATCTTACCTAAGTATAAAATTATGATTTTGGCAACTCTATTTGTTGGGCTTTAAAAAAATTATGGGAATTTATTTATTATAAAGATTTGAAATTAATATAATAAAGGCCAGACCTTCTTAAAAGTTATTATAAAAATTACTAATGAAATAACTTACAAAAATTGAGGAAATATATGAGTTAAAAGGTCTACTTCTATATTAAATAATTATAATTTTCCATTTGATTTAATTGTTTAATCTTTTCCTGTTAGAATTTCTAAATATTCATTTATGTAAAGGAATTCTAAGTAATTATCTATCGATAACATTTCTTGTGCCTAATAATAAATAAATAGATTTTCTGGATATTCAACGTTGATAAATCTCAAAAAAGATTAGTATTGCAAAAAATTAAGAGTTTCAACAAAGATAAATCCTTAACTAAATAAACATAAAAAACAAATTGAAATTGTTCCAATCATCAATCCTTTGTTATATTTTTGCAGTTAAAATGAAGACTATTTATCTTATTCAGAAATGATAATCGGTTGTTATAATGATATGGATTAAATATATTGATCAATTTTTTGATTGTATGAATTAACTATTTCTTAATTAAGTTATAATTATAGTATAGGTTTTGTTTCAAATGAAAGCAAAAACTTAATTATTATTTCATACTAAACAAATTGCAAATCAAAAGAAAATTCTTAAATTGGGATAACCGATATAGAATAATAGGATTCATCTAAATTTAGAATGCTTATATTAAATGCTTACTTTTAATTTGAATTATTGTTATTCAATCTTACTTACTAATCAAAATTTACTTAAACAAATTACAGAGCAAATGTTTAATTTAAAAATAATAAACTCATATAAGGACTTTTAGAAAAAGCACATTCTGATTCACGACATAGATAATTATTCGAACTTTCTGTATTGAGATTATTGTTTTTTGTTAGAACACATTAATTATTAATTAAATCGTATTTAGTTTTACATGATATACAATTTCCTTCTTCCTAAATTTCACAATTATCAATCACTATAGATATACATGAATTATTTCTCCAAATAGTTCCAGATGAACAAATATCTTTTTAGCATATTCCTTATTAACATTCTTGACAATTTGATTCACATTAAAATTTACATTGAAAGCAACCATCATAAGGCTTATCATTTTAATCATCACAATCTTCAAATTCTTAATCAATGACTCCATCTCCACAAAAAGATGCTAATATACAAAAATTAAGATTAAGTTAATCTACTTGATATCCGGTTTCACATTCAAAACAATAATGTAAATCACATTTAATACAATAAGGCTAACATTTAAATTTACAATTCAAACACCCATCATCTTGAATATCACACTATTCATCTTAAAATGGAACAACTATACCATCTCCACATTCTGGTTGGCATTTAAAATTATCATTAACAATGTAACCAAATTAACAGCCTTAACATTTTCCGAATAAGCAATTAATACAATAAAAATCGCACTAAAATTTACAATTAAGACAACTTAAAAATGGATTAATATTATTATCTTCACATTCTTCATTAATATTAATTTTGAAATCTCCACAAGAATCTAAACTACTAACATCTACATAAATTCCATTTTATAAATTCATTTAAATACATTCATCATTAAATAAATACCTTCCTTCAAAACATAAGCCACATATTCCATTTACACAAGATAAACAATAGTCATTACATTTAAAGTTATTTTCAGAAATCTTAGACAAATAATCTAAATTACAAATTTATTTATTTGAAGACATAAAATATCCAACTTGGCAGATTTAGCATATTCCAAATAAACAAATTTAACAATTTATATCACATTCATATTTACAATTAAGACATCGAAAAACGATAAGCGATTGATCCACAATTTCACATTATTCATCATTTGCTTTTACACCATCTCCGCAAATTGGAAGACATTTAGATTATATCAATTAATAGCCCTCTTAACAATAATAACAAATTCCTTAAATACAATTAAGACATGAATCTTAACAAGTAAATTAGCAGAAATGACATCCATCTCCATAAATAAGGTTACCATCGTCACATTATTCGTCATATGTTACAATCTTATCACCACAGGTTGAATAGCATAAATTATCAATTAAATTGTAATTAGATTTACAGATCAGATCAGGCATCCGAGACCATTTGTATCACAAATAAGACAGGAAACCTAACAATATGATTAGTAATTTTAGCATCCTTTATAAGGCAATATATTATTGATTTAACACAGAGGATTGCAAATTTTAGATTTTGAAAGGTAGTATCCTTAAGCACATATTTAACGTCTATTATCAATACAATTTATGCATATTGTAGATGATTAACATTAATATTAACATTTATTACTACAACCATCATTATTAGTTGTATTTCCATCATCACATTATTCTTAATAAAATCCATAAGGATCAATAACAACTATCCCATCTCCACAAATATTTTCACAATAATATTCATAAGGAGCAAACCCAGGTAATTCACAACTTAAACAAGTTTTTGTGTTATAATCACAAGAGGAACAACCAATTCTACAATAATATTTACAATCTTTGCATCCATCTGTATCATCTTAATTGTTATCTTCACATTATTCATCTCCAGTTTTGATTGAATCTCTACATTTATCTTTGCATAACCATGGAGTAGTTGTTGGCTAATGTACTATCCTCTATTTGCGCATTCAAAACACTCTCCTTTAATACATTTTGTACATTCAGGTTAACATTAATATTTACAATCAAAACATCCATCATATTAAATTGTATTTCCATCTTCACATTCTTCAATTCCAGTAATAATTCCATCTCCACAAATATCTGGACAAGGTAAAGTAGTTGTTTCATTACATGTTTGACAATGAATTGGACATTTAAATTAGCAATTATAACATAAATCAATTAGATTTGAATTATTATCACATTATTCATATCCTTTTATTTATAAATCTCCACAAATAGGTTAGCATTCTCCAGATATTAATTGAAATCCAGGATCACAAGAATTACAAATAATTGAATACCATATTGATTAATTATTATTACAATATTTATAACATTAATTTAAAGTTTTATCTTCATTAATTGGGCAATCTAAAATTATTATTATAAATTATACTTGCACAAATATTGTTTAAATCATAATAACCAGGAGCACATTCACATACTAATCCTTTTAAAATTCTATTTAAAGTAGGATTACATGTCAAACAACTATTAATTGTATTTTTATAGCAAGTTAAGCATGATTAATGGCATTAAGAACATGTTCTTAAAGCATCATCATAATATGAACCTATTGGACATCTACATGTTGTTCCTATTATTTCAATATTAATAATATTTGAACATGTTAAACAATCATTAAATGTAGGTCCAAAACAAGTTTTACAAAATTAATCACATAATTAGCATTAAGGATTCGATATTATTGAATAATATCCATCTATACAATTGCATTATCCATTTATAAGTTTTCTATTATTAGAAATTAAACACTCAATACAGTAAGTCTAACTTAAACATTAATTACATTCATTTGGGCAATTAAAGCATTGATTTTTATCTTCATACTGATTAATTTTACATATACATCCTAATTTAGTTTTCGTATAAGTTGATACACAAGTTAAACAATCTATTTTCGATTTACATGTTAAACAAGGTAAAAGACACTACAAACATTAAAAAGAATCTCGATCAAAATATTAAGTATTTAAACATTCTTCTTAAGAGAATCTTACAATTTTTGAATCATAACTACTATTCCATAAAGTACATTTATTCTAATCTTAACATGATAAACAATAAGGTTAACAATAATGAACTGCAATATAATAATTATAAAATCCACAATAAGCATAAACAGGCTCGTTATTCTTTCCAAAACACTCCCAACTAATTATTAAATTATTTGTATTATGAACTATTCTTTCATATATTTTATCATCTTTAGATCCATCAGAGTAAAGTGAATGATAAGCTGATGATGATTTAGTAACTGGTGTATTATTTTAAATTGTATATATAAATCCTCCATCAGATGGAAATTATGGTCCATAAATTATATAAAATCCAATAGTGATACTATGATGTGGATCAATTATCTCATGAATTCTTTGAAATTTAGCTTAAGCCCAAACAAAAGGACCTCCAAAAACTCTATATTCTTACCAATATGAATAATATATATCCAATCCTTTTAAAAAGTTTGAACCTTCTTAAAATATTAATGTATATTATTAATATTAATCAGGATCAGTTGCTAGATTTGTATATTCTTAAATCAAATATTAAGAATCTAAATACATAAATATATAAATACAAGGTGTTTCATCATCGTAATCATAACAATATAAATCAATTAATTTCTGATATGAAGAAGAGCAATTAGATATGCAGCTACCATCTCTATACATATAGTATCCATTTTAACAAGTTTTACATTTAAATGATACTTCGCATAAATTGCAATATTAAGGACAATATCCTGAAGTAAATTCTATTGAAACCATTCCCCAACCTGCAGTGTCATCACTAATATAAATAAATTAATAATTACGTATAATTTCCAATAGCAGAAAATACAATTTGGGATTTAGGAATGTTTAAGTATGTAATTAAATCATAACTTTTCCTTAAAGAATAATTTAAATATGAATCATATAATTAGGTTTAAAATATTTTTAATTTATGTGTTTGAATTCCTGAGGCATTTCTATAAATGGATCCAGAATATACATCATTAATCTTAAATTATATTCCACAATTTAATGGAATATCATAAAAAAGTAGAATCGAAATTTTTAATCCAATTAAATAAGTTGAAAAAGAATAAGTAGATAATTAATTGAAAAATCTATAGATACCTGAATTAAACTTAAATATCCCATACAGGTATCGGTTGATCTATTATGGTTTTGGAGAAGCATCGATATTTAATAAGTCATATATGATTGACCACTTCATATTCTCAGGATGGAGAGGATTAGATGATTAAAATTCAAATGAAAAAATTTTAGAAACTAAAATTAAAAAATTGAAAAATATTTACTTGGATAACTTTAACAGAATCCTTTATAGACTATTGGAGAGTATATATCACAAATATCTTTACATCCTTGGTATTTCATATAATATTAATTAGATGAGCAAGGCGGACATATATTATTAGTAACAGATCCGTAATAACAATTTGTGCATTAATTGAATTTTGGACCTGTACATGAACTGCATGATGGAAAACATATATGTCTGGAAACAATTACATTTTTAATTGAAACTTATGCATCTCCTTAACCTGTAGAAGTGAATTAGATTTTATCTTATATTGTATTTGTAAGTGTAAAATTGATAGATTTAACATCCACAATTAAATTATCACAAAATCCCTGTGTAATTGGATAATTTTAGGGTGAAATATACAAATATTTGTATAAAAAGGTATCACCTATAGTAAAAATTATAAATTCATTTGACCATGTACCCTAAAAAAATAAATCAAAATTGATAAAGCTTCCATCAAAGTAAAATTATTTTTTTAAATAATTTGCTGAAGGTTTGGTGGAATTTAAAGTCATATAACTTGTTGCAGGTGTTGTACATGTGATAAATTAAGCTTAAGTTGTTGAGAATGGTAAAACAAAATCTTCAGTTTAGTCAGTAAATATCTAATTAGAACTTAAATAATTTTAATTTGTTTGCCATTAAGTATCACAAGAATCAATAAAGCAAAGAAGGATTAAAATTATTGATTAAGCCATTTATATATTTTTATTAAAGTAATAGACTTAAACAAATTTAATTTATTAATAATCAATTGTACGAAATATTTAAAAGACCTTTAAAAAGTTCTAAAATCATTTAATATCCTAAATTTTTGAAGTAAACATTGGTAGAGCAAGTTGATTTATAATTTCAAATAAGTTTGTGATTTTTTTATTTTGAAACATATAAGCAATTTAAATGAGCAAGAATTTATAAATTCGAAAATTAAAATATTTTGGAAATAGCATTAGCATTCAAATAATAATTATGTATATGGTGTGTTGAATGAGAAAAATTTGAATCATTTTTATTCAGAATTTCTCAGAGGGCATTATTCTAAACTTTCTTTTTCTGGTTAAGCCAAATCCATAATACTTTCAACCATAAATATTCAATTAGATTCAAGATTTTATTGTAAAATTTGCAAAGTAAAAAGTTTAACAACCTTAACATTCTTTCTAATTCCATCCAATTCACAAACTCTAATTAATAAACATAACTTACTTAAAGTCATATTTATTGCATTTTTCTTTTCATATTAATGTTCAAAATTTAATCATGAAATTATCTTTTTAACAAATTTTAATAACTATATATTAAAATTGAATTCTTATCCAAATTTCGATAGAATTATAAATCGTACTCATTAAATGAAATGGAATACTAAACTATTTAGTATTTTTACCATTCTTCTTAAAATAATTCCATAGCCAGAATAAAAGAAAAAAATTTCTAATATTTGTAATACTTAGTATGAATATGAATACAATTCAGGAAATGAAAAAATCTTTAGAAGGTTGTCTTAATTAGGAGATTAAATAATAAAATAGTTAGCGAATAATTTAATTAGAAATTTGAAGACTAAATGGAAGTAAGAATTATTTATTATAATTACAATCTTTTTTGTTAAGTAAATAATATGTATGTTTATAATATATTTTTTTATTAAATGAATTTAGTTAAATGCAGCATTAAGATTATACTTTACTATAATAAATGCTGCTGATCCATCTTTTCAGAATGGTTCTTTAAGTAGCAGATATAATTTGAAAGTTTTTTTTAAACTAATATTTTATTTCAATTTAAGAACTAAAATTATATAAAATATTGATATGTATCTGGATTTACAATATGGAAAGCCAAAAGAATCTTTGCCTAAGTTGATAAAAAAATTCTACAGTTGAAGATTACAAATAGAAGCTCGAAAGGCTAAGAAAGATGAATTGCTGATTATCTACATACTTTGTTAAAATTGAAATAAAAATTGATTAATTGATATTTACAGAGAGAACAGCAGTTAGAAAATGCAAATTAGATAATGCCAAATAATAAATAAATTAAAAAAAATAGCTAAGTTTTTTAATCAATTAAAGTCGAATAATATGACAATAGACTTAAATGATATAAAGATATAAAAATTAGGATCATAGGTACATAAGATATTATCCATTATCTATAATGGCCTTATTTCTTTTTTAAAATTACTCTTATATTATTTATTGATTAATTGAAATAGTAAAATTTTAATAATTAAATACAAAAATTTTATACTAATTATCTGTTTGTAATAGTTTGTAATTTTAATTCAAAAAGTAAAATCTAATTTAATTAAAGAAGTAAATTCGACTACTTTGATTAAAAATTTAAGAAATTGATTTTTAAAATAAAACTGATGAAATTAAACAATTTATATATAATAATGATAAAATATATTATCATTTCTCTCCCTATCACATTAGTTTAAATAATAAGAGTTAATTATTTTTTTGTATTAATAATGCAAAATAACGACCGTTAAGACTGAATTTTCCTCTAATAGTTTCACTTTGACTAATTATTGTTTGTTAATATTCAAAATCGTTTTTATTGATTATTTTGATAATATTAACATTATGTTAATTAATGATGCCAAGAACTTATAATTTTTCATTAAATAGTAGTGGTGCAACTTAAAATTTATGAGAGTTTCCTTTTAATTGAACTTCTTTTAAATATTCAAATAATCCATTTAACAGATTATATTAATAGACTTAAAATAATTCTTTATTTATAGGTTTTATTATTAAATTGTTGTTGTTAATGAAGATCGGATAGCATTAATTTGTAAATATTTTAATCATTTACTTTTAAATCCATATCTTCTGATTGCCTGCTGTAATCTATTCCATTAACAAAACATAATTTTCATTTGATGTGATTGCCAGATATGTATCAAATTCATTAATGCTTAGATTGGTTATCCAATCATTACATATTTATAAATTTTAATGAACTTTTATTCCATTTTCAATCTGTAATATTGATATCTTTTAATACCCTCCTACTATAATTTAATTTTCAGCATTATTTATAATTATACAGCTTACTTCAACTGGAATAATTTATTTAGAGATGATCTTTCTATTGTTCAAAGCAATTAGAGATTAAATTGCAACTTCTTTATTTAAACTTCCTGATATAAAGGTATTAGACTTTTTAAAGCACATCATCTAGGAGATGTATATAGAACTTCTTCTAATAACAAAGACTTTTAAAGTTTGAGATTTTATCTAGAAAATATGACATGAAACTCCCTAATTCACTAAAAGTATGGTAGAGTTATAATTAAATTATACTTCTTTATTACGATGATTAAGGTTTTTGACTTAGGTTTTAACAATTTACTTATAAGATTAGGGGTAATTATTTTTTTCTCTTTCATAACTTACTCTTGCTCCCATTTTTATATTTTATTATTATTTACTTATGTAATTTACACTTTTATTATTCTGTATCTTCTCTAAACATAAATAATAACAATTCAAAAGTATTCATACAATCATAAGATATGAAATAAAGAATGAAAATTAAATAGAAGTTTATGATGATTTGTATATTTACTTTGAATAATATGAAAAAATTTTTACTAACAAGTCAGCAACTTATTAAGGGAAATATGTAAACTCTAAATATGGTCCTACATAAGATACTTTCAAGTATTGGAATATAAAAGAAAAAAAGTAAATAATCTAGACCATGTAGGGGTAAAAATAGGTCTATGGATTGTTTTTTGGAAGATAATTTTAAAAGCTTGATTGAATTTAAAGAAATAGGCCTATTTAAAAAAGGTAAGAAAGTAGTTAGATTGAGATTTTATTATAGGGAGGGAAATAAAATTGAATATTTGATGCAAGTTATAATTAATTTACTTACCGAAAATTTTTAAATGGGATTTTTAATTTTTAGATTCATACATCTCTAACTATTTTCAATTTTATTTTTTAAAATGATACTTTCAATTTTATCGTACGACAGAAATGAAACTAAAAGACCTAAACAAACTATTAGAAAAATTAAAACTAAATATAAATTTTAATATAAATTCTTTTGTCTTTTTCTTTTAATAAATCTATTCAATTTTAATAAAAGCATAGTCACGAAAAAAAATAAAATTATTGTATTTTATTAAAAAGTTATAATTAAAAAGGATTAAGATATTTGCATGGGAATGTATAATAGGAGAATATCCAGTATTTTTTAAGGAAATGGAATTTAAAATAAACAAAAAAAAATTACCCATAAACTCGGCAATTAAAAATTCAAATTCCATCACTGATTAATCTAATTTATACAGAAAAAATTAATTTAATTTAACAATTGTAGTCATCTAATGGTAAGCTGGATTTCCTATCTATTAAAAATTCACAATAATTACATCATATGCCTAAATAATCCAAAAATTTTCTGATTTCAAACAAGTAATTAAATAATTTAATTATAAATTTTTTAATTCCAGATGATTTTGTTTTATAAAAATATTTACATTTAAAGAAATTTTAGAAAGGAATTATTATTTTGAATAATTTAAAAAATTCTGATTTAGAAATAACTATGGGGGGTTGTTGCAATTAAGTAGATTTTGATTACAATTTTTATATAATGAAAAGAAAGAAGAATTTGTTACAAATTTTGTTATATTATTTATGATAACAAATTTAAAAAAATTTTTAGTTGAGAAAGATTATTTTTAAAATAACTTCTAAGCTCGACTTCTATAATTAAAAATTTTGGTTAGGTTTAAATCTACAACATAAAATTTATAGGTTCTAAACCCTTTGTTATTTCAAATGAAAAAAAATATGATAGTTTTTAATATTCTAATATCTTACTTAAAGAGAGAACTTGTGACAATATAATACTATTATTTAAACTGATTATTTTGCAATATTAATTTAAAAGTTCTAAATCTTCTAAATTAAAATTTTTAAAATTCCTCAATCTTAGATCTAGAATCATCGAAATTGATTATAAATTGAGCATTGTTTTATCTTTAATTCTAACCTATTTAACTTATCAAAAAAAATTTCAATTTCTCTATAAAAAAATTACAATTAATTCTTGCTTATTTGTAATTCTACAATTTTTTCGAAGTTTTTCTGATATTTCAATTACTTTAAATTTTATTAATTTTGAAACAGCAGAAACAAATTAAATTTAAATCTTAATAGTTTCAAATTAAAAAATAACTTTTCTAGAGCTTCAATAATAATTTCTTTTGATGATAATTTAGAATTATCCAATATTTATACTTTTTAGATTGTTTTTTTTTTTTGATTAATCTTAATTTATTGTCACAAACAAAATTTTTACTAAGAATTAAATAATTTTCTATGTGAAAAACTTTACTGCTTGAGAAAATCAACCTGATGATCGCAATAAATTTTTAATATTTTACGTTTAACAGTCAACAAATTATATTGCTAATTATAAAAATTTGATTAAAATAGGTGAAATGATATATTAATAGCATTTATATTAAACTTTTCAAGTTTCATGCTTAATCTTTTTGCTTTAAGAATGCAAAATTTTAAATATATTAGAGATTGCATTATGAAGAATGTGATTTTTAAACAACTAAGGCTCTATAAAAGTTGCCTTTAAGTTTAAAATTTATAGATGAATTAAATTTAAAATATTCTTATTTTCAAAATTGATATGAATTTTAAAAATTTAAAACTAAGGAATTTTTAAAAGATAAATTAATACATTTCTTATCATTCATAAATTAAAGTATAATGTGATAGATAATTTTATCATAATTAATTTGGTGAAATATAACTTTAAAATGTTTTATTTGAGGGAAAAATATTACTGTAAAGAAGTATTACTGGTAATTGTTATTTCTTCTTAAGATAAATTGAAAATTTTGATCGACTTTATGACATTTTCAAAAAATTTTCCTGTAGAAGCATCTGCTGGATTAATCAATCTATAATCTCAATTATATTTGAATCATTATTAGATTTGAAATATCATTTTTTTTATTGAATTTAGATGTTTATCAACAAGTTCACAAAACATATAGACTATATAATCAAAACTAAAGGGTTTTTCATATTAACTAGGCGAGTTTTATGTTGATAATTAACCCTAAATTTGTTAAACTAATTATATAGCAAAATATTCAGATTTCGATAGAACTAAATATTCAAGCATAACTTCAAATATATTTGGGCTTTTAAAGATTTTTTGAGACCTGATTTAATTAATTATTGTTTTAACAATCAAAAATTTTGGGAAGGTAGTTGGAATTTTGGTAATGAATTATATAACTTTATTTATATAGGAGGCAAGTATGAAGAATGCGATTAGTAAAATATAAGAGGAAATGGAAAAATTGTAAAAACTTATCAAAATTAAATTTGTTTAAGTAGCTATGGAGGCTAAGATAGTATCCTCGCTTTAATATTTACACCCATTTGGTAATACTTCATTTAAATTTCAAGGGCTTTGTCATCAATATTATTATCTTTGAAAAACATCAATAAATCAAATTAATTATTTACATCTATAAAACTTAGATAACTATTGTTTTAAAGTTAACTTAAGGTATCAAAATTTAGATTATGAAAGCATTTTTCTAAAAATGATATTCATTTAATTTACTCTAGAATAGTTACTGTTCTTATTTTGATGATATTTTAATTGCTATTAATATAGATATTTATCTCGAATACTGATCTCAAACTGATTTTAAATGGATAATAACATTAATTATTCAGGTTTGATTATATTTGGATATTGAATCCTTTTTTTTTATTAAAAATAATACACAAACTAAAGGATCAATTTAATTCTATAATACAAAGAAGGCATATTTCATAATATAAAAGTGGATATTTTTTTTTGGGAGTTGATAAAATGGACCAAAAAAACAATCATTATACTCATTCTTACATACTTTGAAATTTAGATTCTTTTGAAAGCTTCNAAGAAGTATTACTGGTAATTGTTATTTCTTCTTAAGATAAATTGAAAATTTTGATCGACTTTATGACATTTTCAAAAAATTTTCCTGTAGAAGCATCTGCTGGATTAATCAATCTATAATCTCAATTATATTTGAATCATTATTAGATTTGAAATATCATTTTTTTTATTGAATTTAGATGTTTATCAACAAGTTCACAAAACATATAGACTATATAATCAAAACTAAAGGGTTTTTCATATTAACTAGGCGAGTTTTATGTTGATAATTAACCCTAAATTTGTTAAACTAATTATAACTTCAAATATATTTGGGCTTTTAAAGATTTTTTGAGACCTGATTTAATTAATTATTGTTTTAACAATCAAAAATTTTGGGAAGGTAGTTGGAATTTTGGTAATGAATTATATAACTTTATTTATATAGGAGGCAAGTATGAAGAATGCGATTAGTAAAATATAAGAGGAAATGGAAAAATTGTAAAAACTTATCAAAATTAAATTTGTTTAAGTAGCTATGGAGGCTAAGATAGTATCCTCGCTTTAATATTTACACCCATTTGGTAATACTTCATTTAAATTTCAAGGGCTTTGTCATCAATATTATTATCTTTGAAAAACATCAATAAATCAAATTAATTATTTACATCTATAAAACTTAGATAACTATTGTTTTAAAGTTAACTTAAGGTATCAAAATTTAGATTATGAAAGCATTTTTCTAAAAATGATATTCATTTAATTTACTCTAGAATAGTTACTGTTCTTATTTTGATGATATTTTAATTGCTATTAATATAGATATTTATCTCGAATACTGATCTCAAACTGATTTTAAATGGATAATAACATTAATTATTCAGGTTTGATTATATTTGGATATTGAATCCTTTTTTTTTATTAAAAATAATACACAAACTAAAGGATCAATTTAATTCTATAATACAAAGAAGGCATATTTCATAATATAAAAGTGGATATTTTTTTTTGGGAGTTGATAAAATGGACCAAAAAAACAATCATTATACTCATTCTTACATACTTTGAAATTTAGATTCTTTTGAAAGCTTCCTTATTAGGCTTATGTTTACTTTTTTATCAATCATTAGTTGTTCAGTATCAACCATAAATTATTTAAAATCTTAATCGTTTCGACTTAAAAACTGGATAATTTGTTAATTCAAAATTTCTTGCTATTACCAAGTAATTTTTTGAGTAACAGAATAATTAATCTTATTTATTCTTCGTATCTGAAAATATTTTCTTTCTTTAAATTTTTTTGATTTATTATCCCAAGTAATCTAAAATATCCATCATCAGTCATACAACCAAAAAATTGCAAAGTTTCAAATGGAACTTGGTTTGGAGAATAAATTACGATAAAATAAATAGAGAAAGAAAAAAAATAAAAATAAATAGTTGAAGAATAATTTAGAATCCTTTAATTAAGAAAAATCTAATAACATAATTTTAAACCCTAAACTTCAAGAAAAAAATATTAATCAAAATTAATATCAATTGGATAATAATATTATTAATTCTAACTATATGATTTGATTTTAGATATTGATAATAAAGGATTTAACTGAGAAATAACAATTTTGGTTATTGAATAAAGGTTCTAATAAAGAAGCAATTAAGAAGGTTGTATAGGCGACTATAAAAATTTTAAAAATCCATAGAAAAAAACATACAAAATTTTTAGATAATTCATAGATGTATAAATCTTTATTTTATTTAACTGAATGGAAGGAAAAAATTTATATATATCCAAAGAGATTTGCTAGGCTTGTAAAAGCAAAAGATTGAGCTGGATTCGTAATAAAGTATTTGTTAAATATGTAACCACCCCATTTTATTTCCTTAAGAAGATCATAATTGGTAAATGAAAAAATTATATTATAAACAAAATTTAATAAATTATATTTTGATTAGATTATAAAGAGGATAATGATTATGTCTTAAAAAATCTTAAAAAGTTAAAAATTTGCTGAAAAAAATAAATAGCTGATAAAAAAGAGAATATAAGCTAGACATTGATAGCAATGAAAAAAAGCATATAAGTTTATTATCAATGCTTCTTCAGGAATATGTTTAGGTAGATTATTCTGATGGAAAAAGAAAAAGCCTTGCTATAGATTGGCTTTCTCTTATTTTTTTTGTATTATTTTGAATTATAATTTTTAATATTATAATGCTCTATATCTAAGAATAAGAAGATGACAGCTAATTTTTAAATTATCAAGGAGATAACAATATCATATTATTATATAAAACAAAGAGAGTTTATGATATAGTAAGAATAATTTAATAATTCTTAAATTAAAGTTAATCAATTGTAAATTATAGCATCAAATCCAAAATTTAGTGATCAATTAATATATCTAAGACCATCAACACAATTCACATTTTTTATATTCCTAATCCCTATGAAAGGATCTTTTATCATAATACTTTAGAAGTTGTCTCTAAGAATGTCTGAAAATTATTTACTTGTTACAGCTGATATTTCTTACTGTTAAATTATCATAGCTGAATTCTAAGGTAAAATTGTAGACTAAAAATTTTGAATTTTAGTAATTGGATCCCTTAGTTATTAATAAGGAAAAAAAAGTAAATATCCATTTTGATTAAACATAATGTAAAATGAATGAAAAAAATGCAGAATTTTAATTATAATAAATCGATTAGTTAAAAAATAGGGCTTAGAATTATAAAAGGTATTTTAAATTATAAAAAACCAGAGAATAATAAAATCTATTTATATAGTTGAATAAAATAACATCTACATCAATACATAAATATAAACGAATTAATAGGATTTATATATTGAGAGGGGAAAAAGATTCTAAAAGTTGAGAAAAGTACATTAGATATCGAAAAATAAGGCTTAAAGGATTATTTTTTGAAGCCACAATTATTTTAGGGTGTTTTATTAATAAATTTAAGGTAATTTAAATCAATAGTATGTTTTTTCTAAAGTCGTAGAAAGTTATAAAACATTGACTCCAAAGAACTAGCATTTAAAAAATCTAAAAGTGTATAAATATATGAAACTTTTTAATATTTTTTAGATAAAAAAATCAAAATTTAAGAGTTGTAAGAAATTGAGTAAGAATTAACTATTGCGAATTAAAAAATTATTATTTACTTTAAGAAATAGAATAATGAAAAATTAACTGATAATTAAAAGATTGCTAAGATTGCTAGATGTTTCATAAAAATGAATTCTTCTATAAGAAAGACTAAAAAAACTTCAAAAATACTTTTGAATTTGATTTTATTAAGATTGAAAAGTGCCATTTTTTAAGATGATTGAAAAGATCACTTTTCAAGATAATAATTTATTTTAGACATTGAAGAGTTATTATCTTAGCTACTCAAAAAATTAGATTGAAAGGAATATGAACAGACTACTTAAAGAATTACTTTTTAAAAGACTCTTCCTTAATTTTGTTTATCAAAAGCTTTAAAGCTCAAATGTAAGTTTATTGCTCAAACTTAATTAGATCTTAACGTTATTAATATACAAGATTTTCAGATTTTCATATAAAATAATATCTAGATCGATAATCTAAACATAAAAAATTTACACTTATATTAAATTCCAATTTCTTCGATTATTCAATATTGGGTAGTGAAAGAATATTGATCTTAAATATGATAAGTGCAATTCATAATTTTTAAAAAATTTATTTTATTAAGTTTTAAGTAAATCATAAGTTGATATTTTAAATAAATCTATTTCCACAAAATAGGTAAGAAGTAATTGGTAATTGACTCTCTATTCTATAAATCAGCAAATTTTTATTAGCATTTTACTTAAATTTTTGATAATAAATATATTGAGCTTTAAAATATCTTTTGTAATTTGGTTATCCTTTGAGCTCTTAATCTATTTCATTTTGTAAAACTTTCTTACGATATTTTTGGAAGATCTTCTATGATTATTTCATGAATTAAAACTTATATATTTGTTAATTTAATATTTGAAATTAAATAAAATAATTGTAGAAAATTCTTAATCTTTAGAAACTAGTAATTAATTATTTTACTCCTTATTTTTAACATTTCTTCTCTGAAGAATAATCACAGAAGAAAGTCAAAAGTTGTTATTAAAAATGATCAGAAGTAATAAGTGAGTTATAAGGGCTAAAATATTTTAAGTGCTTTTTTCCATAAATAAATCATTAATATTAGAGGTTTTCATGGTAATCAACATGCTAATAATTGAATGAAAATTATTTTAAATAAAATTTCATAAGAAAGAATCTTAATTTTCGAGTTAATTCCTAGCAATTAGGATAAAAAGAAGAGAGTATCAAAACTTAAAAAAATCACCAAATTTTATCATTCATTATTTAATTTTAATCTTGATGAAATTTTTAAATTAATTTAAATTATATAAAGGCTAATATCCATAATAAAAAATAAATTGTAAGCCTTATATATTTGATTTTTAAAACAAAATTAAATACTATTGTTTTAAAATAAAATTCTTCTTTTCAAATTTGAAAAACTTAATATTAAGGAAATAAGAAATAATAATGGCCAATTAAAATGCAGATAGCAAAGAAACAATTTTATAAAAAAATTTTGATATAATTTGTTTGATCTTATTTATTATATTCAATTATTTTTTTAAATGGCTCCTTTTTAAATAAATAATTCTTTAATTGAATTTTAAGATTTTTCTACTTTAGATTTCGTAGACAGTATAGATTGGTGAGCTAATATTGTTGAATATCTAGCTATCGACTTATAGCATTAAATTTTTATTTCCTAATCGCTTTTTTTTATTTGGTATAAATGTAAAGGGCTACTTTCTAATGCTGCTGCAAACGTAATATCATCAGGACAGAATTTTATATAGCTCAATAAAGAATCCAAATTTCCACTCTAAGCTATTAATTTATTTTAATTAACATCCCATAAAAATATTTTACTCTCACTATTTTCTTAATTCCAATTTCCAGAAACAAGATAATTCCCTTTTGATGATAAAGATATTGCTGAACATTAATCATTTTCAGTTAATGGTAATTTTTTACTTGTTTTAAATTCAAAATAATTTGTTATTTCATCTATTTAGATATTTTTATCGTTATAATATGCAATATATTTCCAATTTACAGAAATATCAATAAAAGTAACTTTTTCTCCATATTGTAAAGATTATTTGATTTCCAAAGATTCAGAGTCAATTATTAAAACAATAGTAATTTCTTTTGGTAAACTGTAAAAATATTAATCGCATTTTACATATTCATTTTTATATAGTGCTAGATATTTTCCATTAGATGAGAATGAAATTAAATTAAATTTTTAGTTTTATCCTTCAGTTTAAAAATGAATTTTATTATACATCTTTAAAATTTTAGTGTTTTTTCTGTTTATATAAGCTAAATATTTATTATTTTTTGATATAATTCCTGTTATACCTCTTAAAATATCTTATTTAATCAAATTATTTTCTAGGCTTTTTATCTGATAAATCAAAATACTTTCTTCAATTTCATTTAACACTCTTGTAGAAAAATTTATTAAAAGATATTGCGATGTTAATTAAAAAGACAATATTTTTTTTTCAAATGTAAATGTCTTAACTTTTTCTAAATTATTTTTGATTGAAAAAAAAGACAAATTATTTTCGTTTGATATGGCTAGGAGAAGTTTTTCGTTAAGTTTCTAAAAAGCTAAAGTATGACCTTCTATTTCAATAGGTTACATTTTTTCTTCAAATGTTATTGTGTTTCTTAAACTCAGTTATTTTTTTTCAGATGAATTATTAGTTAACAGTGCAAAATATTCTTCATCTGGAGAAAAACAGTAAACTTAGTTTGATGGATCTATAATTTCATCCTTTGGTTTATTTTCAAATTGTATTGGCTCTCCTATTATTCTATTTTAAATTTAATATAAAATTATTTATTTTTCGCCAAAAATAATAAGTTATTATTAAACTAAATTATAGTTAAAATCACTTATTTTGACTTTTATTTAAACGCAATCTTTTATTTTTAATTTTAAATTAGGCTAAATTTCAAAAATGTAAAGAAGATCACTATCTTTTTTCTAAGCTAACAATAAAATGTTTTAATAGAAACGAATTTATTGGGCATATTCTCTTTCAACTAATTAAAATTTATCTTGTTCTATTAAATTAGAATTAGAAAAACTACAGAGCCACAACTATTCGTTATTTGAAAAAGCAACTAACCTTTCATCCTCTGAGAAATTAATTACATTTACATCTTTTTTACATTATAAAATATCTATATTAATTTATTGTTTTCGATCATACAATTTTAATTGTATTTTTTCTTAAAAATACCCTATTTATTTTTCCTTCAAAACCAAGTAATTAAATTATGGGGAGAATTATAGGTTGTTAAATACATTAAAAATATCTTAATTTTAATAACTAAAGAGAATTTTAGAAGCTCCTGTTTATAAATTCCATTCTATAATTTTACCATTTTTATATGCTGCATAAATAAAATGAGAATCAACTGTAGAAAATCTAAAAGTGATTAAATAAGATTCATTTTCCTCTTTCAATATTTTTTAAATTTTTTCAGGCCTTTCTAATTCCAAATAATGGAGGATGGATCTTGTTTTTCCTTTTGAATAGGAATAGAAATTTTCATATGCCACTAAATACTTGACATCAAATGAGAGACAAAAATCATCAAAATAACCATCTAATTTTTAAAACTTTACTTCCCATACAAAACTTCTATATTTATCAAAATTTTTATTTTTTAGATCAACTAATTTTAATTTTATATTCTTCTATTTATTTTGTTGTTCACAATATTCATCTAAAAACAAAGCTAAAGTACAATCAACTGAAATCGTTAAAAATTTTAAATTTTGAGGTACTTTATATTCATACAAAATATTTCCTTTTAAAAATTCAACTCTCCAAAAGGTTAGTGTTGTTGAATTTTCCAAAACTAATGTTTATTTTTCTGGCGATAACATTATCTATTAAGCTATTGGGAGAGATAAATTAGGATTATTTATCCATTTATTATTTTAATCTTATTAAAGTAGCGAAATATTTTCTTAAACATCCAATTATCTCAATACAAAAAGTTCCTTATTATTTTTTAAAGATAAAATTTATTGAGGGAAATTTTATTTTTTATACATTTGGATTAACTGCGATTTTTTATTATTTATATCGTAAATTAATAATTAGGATTCTTCATTAGTTTCAATTAAATAAATTAAATCATCATTATTTGTGAAACATAAGCAACTAGCTTTTGGTAAAAAAGGAAAGGCTTCCTAAATATCTTCTTTATTTATAAATTATAAAGCATTATTATAATTGATTGCAATAACGTTAGGATTGATTGGTGATAAACAGGTTTATGTTACAGGAAAATCATAAATAAGGATATTAATTATTTTTGATTACCTGGGATTCTCAATATCCCAAATTCGAACAGACATATCCTCACTTCCTGAATATAAAAATTTAGAACAATAAGAAAATTCAAGACAATTTATACTACCTGAATGATCCTCTAATTGATTCAAAAATTTCTTCTCTAAAAGATCCCATAATATTATAGTTTAATCATGGCTTCCCGAGGCAATTAAAAAGCCATCTTTAGAAAAAGCAATAATCCTAACTTACTCTCTATGACCAACGGAGGGATCAATTTATTCATTAAAATCAATATTCCACAGGCGAATAGATTAATCATCACTAGCAGTTGCTAAAATAAGACCATCAGTTGAGAAAGCTAAAGAATTAATTTTCTATCGATGTCCTTAAAGATTGCTGATTATTTTCTTTGCTTTAATATTCCATAATTAAATTATTTGATTTTTTTCAAAAGTTAAGGCCAGTAACTATTATTAAGGAAAAAAGCTGCTTCCAAGTACTGTATTTTTACTTTTACCTATTTCACTATTGCCAGATTCATTCCAATACTCAATTATACTTTCCATTTCTTATTACCTAATTACTATTAATGAATTATTATCTGCTGCTTAAATATGGAAATAATTTTTATTTTTTGTAATTTCTTTTGTTACCATCTATTAAATATCAAATTTGTAAATTTCTTAGGAACTTAATATGTAAACAATTTATTCATCTTAGCTAAGAGAAAATTATTAAGGATGATTAGAAAAGGGTATTTGAGCATTTTGTTTCTCAATATTCAAAATATTAATAATTCTTTAGCCACCATACCCTGAATAAATTTAAATGAATTAAATATATGCTAAATGTTTACTATAGGTTAAGTATATTTTTTCCGATGGTTTATACGGTTTAAAGCCCAAAGCTTTCAAAGTTTTACTTTCATATACTTAATACCAACGAATATCTCTTTAATTAACTATAAAAACTAATATTTAACCATTTTCAGTAAATTTTAAATTCTGTTATTCTCCTTATTATGGCCAAAAAAAGTCTATAGTTAAATCTATTGAAAATATGGCTTCCATTTTTATATCTGAGATTTTAAACAATTCAATAACACCATACGTACTTATTGCTAATAAATTCATCTTAGGATGAAGATCAAAATCATATACTTATTCTTTTTAGTGCAGTTTTTAAAATTATGAATCTTTATTTAATATTATTAAATTATAATTAGTAGTTAAAATGATTAGAAATTTTCCACAAAAAGTTAATTATATTTTCTTTATATCTTCTGATGAGCAGAATTCAAAGTTATATCTATTCAAATTCAAAATTTATTAATTATTGAATATTCCAATTATATTTTCACCATCCTATGAACTTGAGAAATCATTAATATTCTCATAATAACCAATTATTTTAAATTCAATTTTACTCTATTCACCCAACTCAATTTTTTACTAATTTACAATTTAATCCTCTTGATTCTCACTCTCTAAGCATGATGTCTGCTATATTTCAAGTATCCCTTCTTTTTCCATACACAATAGAAGAGATTAGTTTTAAATCCATTTTATTTTCTATATATTAGATTTTTTAAAACTTACTAATAATTCATTATTCTTAATATTCCAAAATTTAAAAACCCCATTTGTATTTCCTTAAACAAGTATTTAATCATTTTAAATGAACAAAACAAAGTCAGGATAATCAGTTTAATTTAGTGAAATATCACTAAAATAATCTAATTAACTCGTTAAAATATGAATAGCTTTAGCATTTACTGCTAATGCAATTAATTGATTGCTCTTGGAAAAAGTACCACAATTAAATCCTTCATTTAGAAAATTTTTGTATATAAATTGACTTTTTTAATATACACCTATTATTTTTTCATTATCATCGTTTAAACATTACAATAATAGTTCTTTATCATTATTAATAAAACATACGTAAGTTATATAACCAAGAAATATTTTACTTCCAATAAGTTCGAAATCATTATTTTAATAACTCCAAAATTATATTATAGAGCTTATAGAGCTCTATTGTTCAGACAAGACAACAGCAATTTCACATTTATTTTAAGAAACAGATGTCTATGAAATTTTTAGATCAAATTTCTTCTCTTTCTCAATTTTTTTAGTAGAAATATTAAATAAAATTAATGAATGATCAGTTATAAATATTTGGATATTATTATCCAAAGTGAAAATCATATTAAAAGTATTTTTAATTTCAAAGCTATTTTTTTGTTTATAATCATCTTCAACATCCAAAATATAAACAAACTAATTACTATCAATAATTGGCAAAAATTTGCTATCAAGTGAAAAATAAATTTAATTGTCAGAAATATTGTAATTATCTAAGGATTTATTAAATACCCATGATTCACTTTTTAAAATATATATCTAAAGTGTAGATAAAAAACTAACTATGAGTATGTTTCCATTTGGAGAAAAAGTTAAAGATGTTAATGGTCTAAGTAAAAATGTTTCATTTTTAAGCATTTTATTGTCCAAATTTGAGGCTTTTTAAGTATCTAAATTCCAGATTAGGACTTAATAAGCTTAAGAATCTTAATAAAAAGCAGCTAAAATATTTTATGTCGGAGAAAAACAGAGTGCAACAACTTAATTCTCTTAATTACTCAATTCGTTTCCTATTTATTTTTAATTTTCAATATTAAAAAGAATGATTCCCTTTTTTTCATTTTAGACATAAGCTATAATCTGACTTTTAGGTTTGATGCAAAAAATATCTGCTATAAGATATTCTTTAAATTATGATTGCCTTTTATAATTCATTATTTATAGATTTAACTCAAAGGTTTTTAGTGTGTGTAAATATTCATCAGAGTTGATATTCAAGCTTATAAACATTCTACTTAAATCCTCTGATAAAAAATAAGAAACCCAACGGATTGGATCCCACTCAATATTTATTTTGGTTTTAAGAGTTTCGAATTCTAATATTTAAAACTACACATTCTTATAATTGTTTTATAACAACATTAAAGCTATGCTTTATCCATCTAGAGAAATGATAATTTTTCTTGGTTAAAATTCAAATTCTCTCCTTTTTAAAAGATTTTAAGTTTAAATATTAATTGTTTCAATCGCATTTTCGATGGCAATTGCTATAATTTAATTATTAATGGGAGATATACAAATCTCTTAACATTTACTTTTTTTAATAATTTCTTTTTTATTTTTAAGAGAATTAATTTCGCTAAAACTAATCATCTTTCTTCCTTACATAATAAGACTTTTACTATCTGAAGTAAACTATATAGAATAAATATTATAATCAGTTTAAATAACGGTGCATAAATTAGTTTCAAGTTCCCAAATTTTTATTTACTATAAACCATTAAGAGTTGCCATATAATTTCTATCTTAACTAAAAGTTATATTTTTAGTATCTTTTTCAATCTTATCCATGTATTTTTCTGTTTAAGTTAAATCAATAATGAAGTTTTCATTTAATTTTGCAAAATTTGGAAATCTCTCATATAGAGATTCCAAATTTTTTTTGATTATTTCTGATTCATATTGGCTCTCTTCTACTTGGAATAATTGATCAAAGTCCTTGATAATAAATTCTGATTAAGTTAGTATAAACATTTACTGATAATCTTAAGACAATTAAAATTATTTGATTTTTCCATTCTTATCAGGAATGATTGCTTCTTTTTAAGTAAACTGTAGGTCTCTCATATTGCTAAATATTATGGTGCCTACTGAATTAAGAGATATAAGAAGTTAGGAATCAGAAGAAAATTAGAGCTGTGTTATACAACTTTAACCATTGAAATCTTTGATGGCAGTATAATTTTGAGGATTCCATAATTTTACAATTCCTTCCTTTCCTCCTGATGCTATATATTTGCCATCTGGAGAAATTGCTAGAGCGTCGTAACATTATTTAGGACCTACTAAATAAGGTTTTTCTTTGCATGTTACATCCCAATTGATATCAGATAAATCAGCTTCATTAAAATTACAAGAGCTTATTATGACATTTTAAAAAATAGAATTGCTAAAATAACACTCAAAAAAGCTTAATCCAGAAATATTTGTATCAGCTAAGTTAATTTAACTAAAGTCTTAAGATCCTAAATAAACATTCATTTAACTTAGAATATTTATACTATTAGAAGCTGCTCGACAAAAATCTTAGTTTTTAGATAACTTTATTATATCTATCATTTTTTAATCTATATTTCCTATAGAAAGTAATTTATCTTTTATGAAATAGTGGGCTCCTCTGAATGCTTCATGTGATACATTAAAATAATTTTAATTAAACAGGGAAGTTTTTACATAATCAAAATTTTCTGGTTTTTAATTTTCAACTAGAGAAAGCAAAAAATTATAAATAAATTAGGCAACAAAAAATTCTTATATAGATTTATGAGTAAATGAATAAGAGCTTCCTTTAGCACTCAATAGAATACAGCTTCTTATTAACTTCTTATATTCCTTATCAGAATATGAATCACTTAAATATTAATCTAACCAATTGTCTACTTCTTAAGTTGCTTTAAAATTACTTTATAAAAGCAATTAACCTTTTTATTTATAGCTAATTTGTGACATATCTCTAATTGTCATGTCTAATGCTAAAGATGAAGAAAACTAATACATATCTAAAGCAAAACTTTCATAATTTGAGATTTTTCCTAATTCTCTTTATTTTATAATTTATTATTCATGATAATAGCTAATAAAACTTTCATAGAACTCAAAAACAGTAAGTTTCTTTATTTTTAAAGCCATTAAAACAATATCAATATTATTAATGTTTAATAATAACTTTTATCCTTCTGAATTAAAATATTCCTCTAAATATTAAATGTTGCTATCAATTGAAAAATTCTGAAAAAACTATATATTTTCAAGTTAATCCATTATATCATCAATCTTTTTTTTCTTTTAAGTCTTCTTAATTTTTGAACTTTTTACAACAGATTATTAGTTTTTTTCCTATCTATTATGTTTTTTTTTTGTTTATTCTTCCATTTACTTTTGAAATTATTAAATCTAATTTCTTGATTATTTTGCTCTTTTGTTCATACTTATATAATTCTATCTAAAATTTTCTTTAATTTTAACTGACCCTTGATATTTCTTAGTCATTGATGGCAAAACCTAGACAATAATCTCTAACATAAATGGAGTGGTCAAAAGATTTTAAATATTAACTGAGTTTATCGACTTTTAAAATTTGTTTATACTCCACAAAGATAAAAGGTCCTTTCTTAATCCGGTGATTTGTTCATCAGATAAAAATTAAAAAACCTATTATGATTTAATTTTTTTAATTATAATCTCTTCTTCCTTATTATTAAAAATTGAATCTGATTCAATTTTTTTTGAATTTGATAAACTCTACTTAACTTAAATAAGTATTGAACTCCATATTTTTAGAAATTCTACTAAATCGAAGGCCTATTCTTGAACTTACTTTACAAATTCATAAATTTATTTTATTATTCTCTTAATACTTAACTCGCAATACTTTTCTAGATATTCATCTTACTAATCTTGATCAAAGTTTAATAATTAAACTTCTTTTAGGGTTTCCAAACTCTCTCCGTAAAACCATGTCTCATAACCATCAGTATTTAATATTTCTCTTCTTGTTGTAATTATTATTTTAAGTTGTCTTTCAAATTTTTAAATATTTAGATCTTATATTAATTTGTTTGTCATAATAAGATTTTATTAAACACAATCTTACTTCATCTCATCATAACTGTCCAAAATCAAAACAACTTTTACTTTCTATTTGCAAATTGCATCTTTGAATTCTTTTATTTAATATTTATCAAATTAATAATTTTCAGATTCCAAAGCTTAATCTAATAAATTATACTTTGGATTCTTTAATGTTGGAAGAGAAACATAAATTGGAATCCATTCAGATTAAGTGCCTTATGATTTCCAAAGAAATTCTTCTATTTTTTTAGCTGCTCTACTCTTTCCTGAACCTGCAAAACCAGAAAGTAACATAACGTCCTTTTCATTTCCTTAATCCTTTATGTTATCATGCCATATAAATTCATTAACTTCTCCACCATAATCCTTAATATCTTCTTGTAATAAAAAAGACCCAGGCTTTGAGCTACCATCAAAAGGATTTCTTTCTGTCGTTTTTAATTTTACATATATAGAATCTATTTCTTAATGTTAAGCCTAATATAGTATCTTTTGTTTCCGTATTTCAAGAAGTTCACCATATTTCTTTCCTCTTAGTTTTCGAATATCATTCCCAATATCTTATAAACTATTTTGTAAATTATCAATTGAAGTTTTTATTGATTTTACATCTTTAGAGATGTCTTTAAGAAACATGAGTGTTATATTCATAGCATCAGACATTTCAGATACATTATCAATTGATTCGTCAAGTTATTAATAACATAGTCTTAGTTACTCTTAAAGTTTTTCCCTTTCTTGAAAATTTCCTTATAGTCTTATTTATTATTACAAATTTTCTAAATTTTACATTCTCTACTAAATTTCTTGTTTAATTTAATCAGACATTGTTTAAATATCCCTTGAAAAAATCAACTTTTACATCTCAATTAGTTCTTTATTTTTCAGCAAATTTCTTACTCTTTGATCTTTCTCATAAACCCACATTTTTTAAATGGTTTAAGAAGCAAAGTTTATAATCTAATCTTCTAAATTGCTATTTTGAAGTCTAATTAAATTATAAACTAAACATTCTCCAACTTTATAATCCTTTGCTTCAATAAAATCTACTACTAAATTTATTTTCTATTGAATCTAATTTTTTATTTCCTACAAAACAGCTATATTGATTTCATCTTCAGCTTCATTTTCCATTTCATAATCCATTTCAAAAAATGTTAAAAATTGTATCAAACTAAGTTAATTTTTTGTAGAGTTATTTTCAATATAGATTTATCCTTCTTTTTTTATTTCATTTAATGAAATTTCGATTTATTACTCTAAATCATTAACGAATTCTAAATTATTGTTTTTAAACTCTTTAATTTTTAAGATAAATTAATCTTTTTCATCCTTTTCATTTTATTCAGATTAATCATTAATTTAATAAAAAAATGAATCCAAATAAATTAATAAGAGCTTTTAATAGGATTAATAAAATTTCATTACACTTTTAATTTAATCATTAATTGTCTAATATTTAGAAGACCATATATCACAATATAATATTTGAAAATCTAAGAATTCATGATTCTAACTATCCGAGTCTTTTTCCCCTTCAATTTTCTCTATCATAGCTTTTAAATCATCTAATAATTAGTTATTTTTCATTTTGAAATCTTCTTTGTATTTCTCGACTGATGAACAATTTTTATCTGATTAAACTTATAAATTTTTATCTGGTTACTCAATTTGATTTACAAATATTATAAATAATCCTTAAAAATTGTGCAACAATTAAGCTACTTTCATTAAAAATGCTAATTTATTTTTTAATTCACTTTTATCTTTTTCTTTTCTTTCTAATTTCTATATTTTTCTTTAAATTGCCTATTTTTCTATTTTAATTGTCTTAATATCAAAATCAATTTCTGAATCAATCAATTCAAAATTCGACTTAATTACATCTACGTTAAAATCTTTATCTAAATTAACTTTTAAGGAAGTCAAATTATCAATATGTTTTTTTAATATACCAATGAACCTTTTTTTAAAACTATCTTCAGGTATTTTATTTAGTTATTACCCTTAATCTTTATACATTTAAAATTTTCTTTTTATCCTTTTTATCTTCTCAATTTGAACTTCATAAATTAACTTAGAAAATTTATAGTAGTAATCTTAATTTAGCATAAAATTACTTATTCTCTAATTTTTTCAATATCTTTTAGCTCATCATCATTTAATTAAAAATCTTATTTCAATGCTATTTAGATTTGTCTAATCCAAAAACCTTAAATAATTTATATGAAAAATTCATTCAAATTTTCTATTTTCACTTCATTGTGATCTTGAGAATCAACTTCTTTTTATAATTGATTAATGGCATTGAGAAAATTATCAAAGCTATCTGAAAGTTAATTTTCATCTAATGAAAAAATCTTTGTATTTTTTTATTTATCCATTTCATTATCTTCTTGTTTTTCTTTTTCTTTTAATTCATACTATTCTTAGAATACCATTTTACTTACATAAGATATAGCTTCTAAAAAACCATATAAGAAATCTCTTTAAAAGTTTGGAAATTCCTCTTGAACAAATTTTTGGACAATTTTTTATTAATCTTCAAATTTTTATTGATTTTTAGTTAATTTAATTTTTTCAAAATCAAAATTCAAAAAATCTATTATTATATTCATAATATAGATTGCTTTTTTCCACAAATCAAAAAATTTAGAAAATAATTTATTTTTATGGTCTTCAAATAATTGTTTTGGTATAACTTCTTAGTTAGCTGAAATTTCATTTTATGTTTGCCTGATTTAAATAACAAGAGCTTTTAATTATTCAAATAATTTTTTTAATAGTTCTTATTCCCGATTCACTTGAATAAGATTATGTTATTCGGCATCTTCTTATTTATTAATGAAATGAAAATTACAATAATAATCCCATAATTTTTTATTTTAAGCAAATTATTCATCTATAATGTTTTAGCAAAGTAGTTAAAGTTCATTCTTTCTATATTTGCTATATATTTAATTCAATATTTGATCTGATTCTTAATTAAAGAATAAGATAATAGCCTTTTTATTATCAAATGCTAATTTTTAAAACATAATTTTCTCTTATAGATTGTCTTTTGATAATTATTCCTATTCAATTATTGGTCTATAGAGAATAATATCTGTTATGGTCTAAATCCAACAAAAATGCAAAATCCAATTTTTTGATTCTTAAATATATTTTTAAAAAAGTCCTTTTAAAGTTTAAATTGATGAATAGACTGATTGAGAGTCTTACTCAATAATTCTCCATTTTATATGTTTAAAATAAATAATAAGTTTGATATACTTAAATTGGATATATGACTGTCTTTGCTGCTTTTTTAAATAAGTATTCTGCTCCTTTTTAAAGGCTCGACAATAATTTTTTTGTTATTTTACCTTTTAGAATTGATTTTCCAGCATCCATAGCTACTTCTTTGAGAAGATCTAGTTCTTCTCCAGGATGAGAGCAATTATTTAACATAATTTCCATTAAGGTTTTTTCAAATTCAAGACCACCTTTCCAGATATTATCCGATCCATTTTTTATTGATTCAGAAAAATTTTTGACCTTTTCTAATATATCATTTGAATCATCTAATTAATGTGAATAAAGAATTCTTAATAAATCATTACATATTTATGCTATTTAATAACAAAGAAACCAAGAAACATCTAAATAATTAGGTAGTACATCCAATAACTTATTTAGATTATCATTAATTTTATTTTTTAAATCCGTATTAATCGTTGATTAATTAGAAATGTTATTAAATATATTTTTATTGTAACTGAACCATTAAATTCTTAGAATGACTTTATTTTTTACAGAGTTATTTGATAAATCACTGAATCCTTTTTCAATTTCTGAAACAGAATCATCAAAATCAGTTGAAAAATTTTAAGGCAATTCTTTTTCAAACTCTGTCTATTTTTCTGTTTAAATTAAATCTAATTAAACTTAAGGAGCTTCATTTGGCATTTCTGGCTCTTAATTTTGTTATCCAGACCTACAACTTGACATTATACATCCACCTCCCCTTAATTATTGAGACTAATATTTATTGTACTGATTTTGAAATTAAGATGATTTACATTTATTCATGTTATTTCCACTCTTATCTGAAATCATAAAATGCTTACATTTTGTCATTTTATCAAGCATATATGACTAATTGGGTCTTTTCTTTAATTTAATTATCATATGTTATTTAATAAAAAATAAGAAGATTTCGAATGCTTAAAAATAACAAAAATTAACAAATAAATAGATAAATAAAATCAATGACATCATATTTCATACGATATTAGCTCTATAATTATAAAATGTCAGTTACAATTACTTAATTAACGATTAATTTTTTTTTATTTGCAAGCACTGCACTAAAATAAAATATTTTTTCATTATTTTTTATTTAAACCTTGTTTTTATTATTGCTGCTTCTTGCTAATATTGAATTCCCTTCATCCTTCATAATTGATGAAAATAATTGTAATAATTTATAGCATTTATTGTTTTTGAAGAAAAGGAATACATTTTCACATAATATACAAAATTTTTAAATTTTTTTCTAAAATGTATATAAATTAAATAAACAAGAGAATTCAATAATTAGAAAGTTGCATTCTACTTTAATAAGTGCTATAATAAAAATCTATAAAGAAGTAAATCATATATTTTAATAGCTTCAAATAATATTTAATTAAATTTAATTTTATTCATGTATTAAATTTTATATTAATTAACGAGAGAGTATATCTAGTGCTGTAAATAAAAAAGGTTTTAATTGTCTTATAATTTTTACAAAATTTTTGCCAAAATAACTATGAGAAATAAGTAATTCCGACTATATGCAAATCTAAAGTTGATTCTATATTTTATACAAAATTTTGAAGTATAAATTTAGATAAAATTCAGTTTCTACACGAGATTTTGTAACTTGTCTATAATTAAAATATATGGTTACCCTAAACTTATATAAATTTCTTTAAGTTTTCATTGAATTAAGATTTATTTCATGTCCTACCAAATTAATTATTGTATAACTTTTTCAAATTCAAAATCAGATAACATTTATGATAACTTTAAAGTTTGAAAAAATTTAGAGACTTATTATCTTGTATGATTTTCATTTAATCATAATCAAAGAATAATTAGAAAATAAAAAAAATAAAACTGGTTTATTAGTTATTATGTTCTTTAGAATAAGAGAACTTTAGCTATAATAACATTTTAATTTTTAGATTAAAATGGAAAATTCAACTATTTATTCATTAGAATTCGATTAAATCTTATAGTCATCTCTAAGTAAAAGTATATTTAGTTAGTAGCTATCCTATGTATCATTCTCATTGTCAAACTCAAGTTTATCTTCTCATTTAAACCTGATCTATTCAGTATCAAATTCAGCTCATCAATCAATTGCTGCAACTTAAATTTTGTCTCTTTGTACCTCTAAAAAATTCTGTTATATAATTCTGTACAATATATTACTTTTGATTTAATACCAAATTATCTAATTCATTATTTGAAAATCTATGTTTGAATTAATATATAATTAATTGTAGAGCTTATCAATTCACCCATTGTATGTGTATGTGGCATACCCATTATTTTTAAATATTAAATAACTACCTTCATCTAATAATTATTTCTATTAATTTCTTAGTTTAATATTTATTATTAATCCTATTGTTAACATTCATGTGAAGTTTTAGAAATTCTGGTAAATATAGTAGAATCTAAATAAATAATAAAAATCTATTAAGATATTTTCAGCACATATATTAATAGGATTAAATATGCTTTATTAAATCTTTAATAATTTAAAAAATAAATAATTTACAATAGAAAAAATTAATTTTAAGATTGCCTTATAAATAAATAAAGTTTCCCATTTTCTTTTTCAATACAGAATTATTTTCATTTCTTAATGTTGTCGATATTATTTTGCATAAATTTTTTTATTCATTTGCCTTACCTTTTTAATTCCAGGTCATCACTTATATCTATCAAATAATTTTAAGTTACCAAATTACCATTTCTAATTCATTCTCTTATTTAAAGCATTAATTAGTTAAATATTATATGAATTTCATCTTTCAAATAAAATCAATTTCAATAAATATCTTGAGATTTCTATATATTTATAAAAATCTAACCTATAGTAAACAAGACTTCAAATAGTAAAATTCATAATTACTAAGATTACTAGAAAAAGAGTTTATTGAAATATCCTTAAATCAAATTAAATTATTATGATAAATGTCTCTAACTTTCTTATTTTCAAAATTTATTAGCTTTTGCATGTTGACAAATAAAGATCTTTGTTAGTATCGGAGAACAATCTTTTAACTTCTTTTGTAATGATAAAGCTACTTTTTTTTTTCTCTCAATTAGATTAGGTTCTGTAATAGGGATGAAATGAGTATTAATTTTAAATATGAATTTTTATAATTTATATTTGCTTTATAAAAACAATATAATCGAAATTGAAAACAAATAATAAATAAGATTTTGATTTTAATACGAAAGACTTTATTTATTTATTTATTATTAGTTTTTTTTTCTTAATGCTGTTCTTGATGAGTTCTACTCAATTCATCTTATTTCCTAAAATGAATAATAGTGATAGCAAACTGCTAATTAGTTATAGATTTTCATCACCGAATATTTTTGTGCTGCAAAAAGAATATCAAATAATCAAAAAATAAAATAATTTATTATAACTCATTTTTGAATGTTTGACAGTTGGCAGCATCTCATTGATTAATCATTAGCATTACATCTAATTGAATTTATAATTATTTTTATTATTTTTAACAGAATTTATGTTCATTAAAAAGATTAATTATTTTTTACTAATTGTGATTACTACTAATATAGATATATTTGCTTTTAAGTCGATGCTAATTTGATCATCAAATTACAAAAGACTGGAATAATGCCATTTTTTCTTTTCAAGTTTATTTTTTAATCTCTTTTTACCAAAGGTTACTTATATTATATATATGTGATTTAGTTTTAACTTTTAGACAATGCTTTCAAGATATTTTGAGGTAAATTTGATTGTTAATTAATAAAAAATAAAATAAAATTTATTTGGAATAGTTCTTGCTTTTGATTGATTAATTTAATCTAAAGAAACACATTGCCAAAAGTTGTTATAAAAAAAGCAAATTAGAATTTAATTTATTAAGAAAGAAATTTTGAATTATTTTTTTTTATTTAATATTTCATTTATTATGATTTTTCTTGACTAGCAAAGGATTATAAACTTCTGGGGCTATTACTAATCCTAAGCCAAAATAGGTCATTACTGAATTTCTTATTAAAGGAAATATCCCTGAGGTAACTAAAATATATATTACACAACGAATACATTTCTTTGTAATGGATACTACAGCTAATGTACTTAATCCAAGAGAAATGAGTCTTTAATTTTCATTTCCTAGAATTAAAATTTGATTATATTTGAATTAAGTAAAACGTGATGGCCATTAATCATATTCTTTGCTTAAAGGTAAGTAATAAGTTTGCTTCCATTCTTAAAAAGGAATCTGATTTACAACATCACAAATTGGTTATTAGACATTAGTTCTAATAGATCCAGTAACATCAGAAATAGTATCTGAAACCTAATCAACCCAAGTTTTTGTTTAATTGGACATGAATATGAATAAATTTGTATGTTTTATTATATTATTATATTAAAAAATATAAATCATAAATCTATTAATTGCTCACTCTTTTATATATAATTAGGGATATCAAGAGACTATAAATAAATAAAGGAATAGATCAGATAAATTAGTTGAATGGAATATTTGAATGAATAATATTTGTATATAACACAATCATGCTTCAACTCCAGCCATTTCAAAATGTTCATTTAACTTGTTGATAGCACTGATGTAAGCAGCTAATCTTAAATTAACTTTATAATCTAAAGATGTAGCCATAATATTATTGACAGCTTCAATCATTGATTATTCTAAGGCAGTATGAACTAAATCAGTCTTAATAAAATATATGATAAAAACTTACTTCTGATGGACCTTCTAACATTTTTTTAGCTAACTTACTATCTTTAATATTTATATTGAGTCCAGTACTCATTTTAATAACTTCAAGAATTCTATGTTTTGCTTATTCTTCCCATCTTCTTGTCATTCTTCCTGGATTAATATGTTTTAAATTTTTTAACCATTCTAAATAGCTTACAGTAACACCACCAGCATTAAGTAAAATATCTGGTAAAAAGATGACACCTTTAGCAAGAAGTTTTTCTTCAGCCGCCATTGTTGTTGGACCATTAGCACCTTCAGCAATAATTTTACAATTAAATTTATCAGCATTACTTGCATTGACTGTTTTTTCAAAAGCTGCTGGAATGAATATATCACATTAATTATAAATAGCTGATTCATCTTCCCAATATTATTCAGCATTAACAAATCCTTTAACACCTCCAGTTTTTGTTTTATGAGCTGCTAATTCATATGGATTAATTCCATTAGGATTGAAAATAGATCCATCATGTTCAGCTACTCCAATTATTTTAGCTCCATAATCATACATATATTTAGCACAAAATGAACCTACCTATTTTATATTAAATTTTTAATTACATTTCCATAACCTTAAATAATAATTGATTTCCCTTTTAAACTTGGTTCAATACCTACAGATTAACAATACTTAGTATTATTCAATATCTCTCTTGTTGCAAAGAAAATCTAATTAATATTTAAATGAATTTACTCCCATTCCTGTTGATTCTTATCTACCAGAAATGCCACCTTAAGTAATTGCCTTTCCAGTGACACAACCTACTGAATTGATATCTTAATGTCCCTTAAACTTTGTATAGGCATCTTTCATCCAACTCATTTCTTATTCACCAGTCTTAAGTAATATTAATTAAAAATTCATACTCCAAGATCAGGTCCAGGTACATCTATTGCTGCACCAATGAAATTCTTCTTTGCTAACTCTAAAGTATATCTTCTCATCAATGTTTCTATTTCTCTTTTTGAAAATTTCCTTGGGTTAATTCCAATACCACCTTTAGCTCCACCATATGGTAAATCTAATATTGAATTTTTCAAAGTCATCAAAAATGACAATGCTTCTACTTCTTCTATATTTATGTGTGGACTCAATCTTGTTCCACCTTTCGTTGGCAATCTATAAGTCTTATGTTAAGCTCTATAAGCAGGAACCTATTCATAGATTCAACATATTACACAAATATATGTTCCATCATCTCTAACTAATGGTAAATTAAACTTAATCACAATGTCTGTACTCTTATAGAAACTAAAAAGCTTATGAGAATTTAATACTCCAATTTATCTTGACTTATTGTTGTATGTCCAGCAGCTTTATTGAAATAGGCCATGACTTAATCTAAAAATGTTCCTTCATTAACTGTTGTACTTGAGAAAGGGCTTCTATTTATCACTTATCTAGCTATCTTTTAAATCATAAAGGAATAATATTAATGATGAAAAATATCAATTTTATCTTCAAATATATACGCATTATTAATTATTAATCGTCATAATAATGAAAAATAAGATTTATTTTTATTAAATCAATGACGAATTATATTAATTCATCAGATTATGTATAGTACCCTAGCTTTTCTATTTTGGGATATTAAACTCCAAATTCCTTAATATATCTTTTATGCTTTTGTTTTGCCCAAATCATCATCTAACCAAAGGAAAATATTTCAAATAAAAATAGCTCCTAATACTATCAAATAATATCAAAAATGCTTGCATAACAACAAGTGAATAATTTAAAATAAAAAATAACCAAGTCATATATTCAATCATATGGAATCAATCGTTGTTTTTTTTTTAAGCAAAATAATCCCTACAGATCTCTTTTTAAAACTAAAAATGTTTAATTCTCCTAATTACCAAATTTATGAAACAAATAGAACATTATAATTGGTCAAAGATATTCAACATAAAATACTGCTTTGTATAACAATTATGGCCCCAAATCTTTAACAACTTAATCTAACCATTTTTAATTTCTAAATGATTTAATGAAAATTCATTATCTTCAAATAATTTTTATTTATCTTCTGTAGTCAACCATTATCTTATTAATTCTTAATAGATCCTAAAAATTTCTAATTTATGCAATGTCAATTTTAAGGTTAAAAATAGTATTATCTTTAGATTATAATTAAACATTGATGACTTTTCCTTCTTGTTCAATATAATCACCTCTCCTTCATTTAATTATTATTTAATCACTCATTAATTTAATTATTCAATAAAATGACATCTTTAATGTTTTGTTTAATAGAGAAATGAGATTAATAAAGAATTTGTGAATACTCTATCAAGAATAAAGAAATAAATGAAAATTTTATTTATATGGATATGATCACTAAACTAAAATATTTATTTTAAAATAAAATATCATGCTATCAAGAGTGTATGGAAGAATTGCATCTAAAGTAACTTTTTCTTAAATTTTTACTAGTCTCAATTTAAATTTTCTACATTGAGAGCTTAATTACATGATTTAATTTACAGAGATGATAAATCTTCTGATCTTTATAAATTCGCAGCAGCTTGTCCTAAAACAGCAGTAGGATAATAAGGAAGTGAGATTAGAGAATAAGAAAGAAGATATGAAATATCTAAACTCTCAAATGGTATTACAGTACTTACAGAATCTGCTTCATCTCCATCAAGAGTAGATGTTGGAATTCTTTTAGATGTAGGTAGTAGAGATGAAACAAATGAAACTTCAGGATCATTGTTATCAATTAAAAATACTTATTATAAGACAGTCTTAAACACAAATGAGACTATTAATTAGTATTGAAGCATCTATTATTTTTAGTGGTGTCATTTAATAATCTGGTGGAGAGTTTGAAATGGATTATGATTAAGAGAGTGCATATTTCAAAGCACATTGTTTAGCTCATGATGTTGTTGATGTTTTCAAAGTAGTTGCTGATTGTGCACTTGAACCAAGATCTGTTGTTGCTGCTAATTCCGCTATTGAAAAAAACTACGGAACACATAACTTAGAAAATATTATAAAAAGTATCATGCATATGTTTTAAATGTTTTAGGTGGTGAAGCATTTAATGAAACAATATTCAAAACTGCTTTTGGATTAACTGGTTTAGGAATGCCATTAAGAGGATTTAAAAATAATATTGGTAATCTAAGTGCATATACCATTTAAAAATTCTAACTTGAAAATATTAATCCATCCAAAATCATAGTAGCTGGTGCTGGTATTTACAATCATTCAGAATTCGTAAGTCTTGCTTAAGATGCCCTTGGCTTTATTTCTGCTGGATAAAGCACAAAAACAAGAACCTAAACTTAATATGTTGGTGGTGAAGTTAGAAATTTAACAGATGATAATGAAATTGCTATTGCTTTATTATTCCCATCTGCTAATTGGACTAGTTCATAAGCAGCTGTATTTTAAGTTTTAAATGCTCTTTTGGGATAAACTGGTAGTGCATAATCAAGATTATAAAGAAATAGTAATCAATTTATTCTAAAATTTTAATAGTTTTAAATAAGAATTCTTATGCTGACGTTGTAGAAAGTTTAAATTTCACTTTTTCTGATGCTGGACTATTTGGTGTTAAAGCTATTGGATCAGCTGATAAAGGATCTGAATTACTTCTTAGTGTTTTGAATGAATTAAAATCATTAACTGGACCAATTTCAAACTCTGAATTAACAAGAGCTAAGAACTTATTAAAAACTTAACTATTTTTAGCTTTTGAAAGAACAGCTGATAGATTAGAAGAAGCTGCTAAAAATGTAAATTATAATTAATAAAATATTAGTTAAAAGTTTTCAATTCAATAAAACTTAATGAATATGCTTCTTTTATTGATTCAGTCACATCTGATTAAGTTAATAACGCTGTTGTAGATTTATTAAAGACCAGACCAACATTAGTTGCAGAAGGTGGATTAGCCAATAGATTACCAACATATGATTAAGTGTTGAATCAATTAAAATGATCCTGTTATATTAAATAATACATTCAAAATCATTTATATAATTATATTTACCAAAAGAATTTTTTTTTTCTTCATATTTTTAATCGAAACCACATCTTTTCTTGATAAATTTTTAATTTTTACTAAAATTAATATTCGAAATTCAAATTATTTTCTTACATAAACTAATTCTTTATTATTTAGCATTAATTTATTTAATATGAACAATATTGATTTTTTAATCAAACAATAGACTATTTACACATCGAAGTAAAAAGAATTTTTCAAAAAAAAAAAGCTCTAAGTTGAAATAGAAGATTTTGTATAATCTAAAGTATAAGTGGTAACTTCTCCAAATCAATCAACTAAATATATTCTATAAATGCAAGAAGCTGATATTAAATCAATCTCAAAGGCATTGTAAAATCAATACATGATTGAAATTTTGGAATTAAAAGAATGTAGATTAAAATCTGTGCCGGAAGAAATTTTTAGAATGTCAAAGTTAAGAATTTTAAAACTTGAAGGCAATTTTATAAAAGTAGCCCCAATTATAGATGTTGAAGTCTTATCTTTAAAGAATAATCTCTTATTGCATTATAAGTCAGGAAATAAAGTTAAAGTGTTGGATCTCTCTTAAAATAAATTACAAGAATTCAATCTTGGACATTAATTAGAAGAATTATATATTGTTGCAAATGAATTCACTATTTTACCCAAATTACCTGATAGTATAAAAAAATTAGAATTAGACTGGTTTAAATACACTGAACCACCTCTTGAGTAAATTTAAACTTAACCAATAATTAATTTATTGACACACAGATCTCTAAATTGTATAGACTTTTTAAAAATGTTTAGCAAGAAAGAATTACAAAATAAAATTATCGAAGCATCATTAGCACAAGATCTAGGAGTTTTAAGTAGTTTGGCAGCAATTATGAATATCAATGTTTAAGATGAAAACGGTGATACAGCTCTAAGTCTATCCTTAAAAACTGATAATTTATTTTCTGTTAGGCATCTTATAGAATTAGGAGCCTAAATAGAATTGGGTAGCTATCCACAAGGAAATATTCTCTCTTTTGTTTTAGAAAATAATATACCTACTATTATCAATTTAATTTATCCTAAATTAAATGCTTCAATATTTACTGAAGATATTTATGGAAATTCTCCATTGCATTATTTGAATAAATGTGATTATGATGATATTAATGCAAAAATCATAATGAAAGCAAAATCCTTAAATATTTAAATGACCTTTAATATTTATGGCTAATCTCCTATACATCTGGCCATATAAAAATGTAATTATTTCAATGAAATAAGCTAAGAATTGGTTGCTTTCTAATATGCTTAAACATTATAAGATAGATGCAGATGATTTATTTATGATGGCAGCTAGATACGATAACTTGGGTGCAGTAATGTTGTTAATTAATAATAATTATCCTTTTGAGGGATTCTAAAAAATTAACATTTGTAGAAATCTCAAAATATACAGAGTATTAAAAAGCTATGAAAATTATATTATTAAAAAACACATATCTAAGCAAATTCCTTCTAAAAATAGTTTCAACTATGAAGTTAAATTGATGCACAAGAAAGACAAACAAAGTAATAATTTAATTGAACAAAGAGAAGTTTTAGACGAATAAACATTTGATGAGAATTAATCTCAACCACAAAAGTCATAAAATTATATTAAATTATTGAGGTAATTTGTTTTATTTTAGACTCTTTTAAATTAATAATAAAAAAATTATATGATCAAATAAATGATTTAAAGAATATGTGAATTAAAAATTACTTAAATTGACTAAATAACGATTTTATCAGATATTTTATTAACTTTATATTTTATCAAAGAAAAACAATTCCTAAATGAAGTTTAAAAAAACTATTTTCATATCTTATCAGGCCATTAATACTTGTTTGAATATGTAAACCCCTTAAAAACGGATGATATATCTATTTAATATGAATAGTTGCAATATTGATTATCTTAATATGTATTATAACCATATTCAAAAAGTAAAGTTATTTTAAATTTAAACTCTCTTTAATTTTAAATAATTAATCTTTAATTGTGACCAACCTTGATATTAATGTTATTTTCATCAATAATATAACACATTTTTCTATATTTGTTGTTGTAAATAAAATTCGAATAGAATAATGCTGGTAAAAAAATCAAATTTTACCATATATATAAATTGTTCCTTGAATTTTTAATGAATTTGCCTATAAAAGAATTTTTCTCTTCTCTTAATATAATCTATGCTTCATAATTGATGTAGAACTTGGAAATACTTTCTCTAAAATTTTTTGATCTTTTATCATCAAATGATAAGAAAATAAAAAAGAATATTTTACAAAATTATAAATTTATATAAATTCATTTTTTTCTGTAATAAAGAAAAAAAGGTAAAAATAATGATTTAAAGCCAATTAACTCAACAACTTTTCTAGAATATTAGATAAAGATTTACTTAATTATTACTTAAACATAATTCTTAATCGTCATCAGATAAAGCAATCATTTATATTTTCCTTTTTTTCCTATTTGTGCTTTTTTGTATGTGATCTAAACATTTTTATCTATTTTCAAAATTTTCATAAAAAAAATTAGAATTTTATGTTTGAACTGGTTCTAAAATTCCTTATTTTTATAAGCCTAAACCAGAGCCACATTCAAACCCATATTTTTATAAAAATTTGAAACCTACTCCATATTAATGATCTTATATTTTCTTTTCTAATACTTCTTTTTGTTTTTTGGTTACAGTAGTTTCTTAAGAAAATTTTAACGATTATTATGAGATATTCATCACAAAATCTTTACTAGATTATAATGAGTCAACTTTCTCTATATTCTATTTTAGTATTCCTTTTAGAGTTTTGTCATGAATAACAATAACTTTGATAGATGTATTTGGAGATAACATAAATTATTCACTATCATCTTCATCTTCTTCATATTAATCTTCCTCTTCAATTAGTATTTATTATTTATGAATGGAAAATGGTTGATATAATAATTTTCTCTCATCACAACTCATATAATAATCAGAATCGAAATTGGTAATTAAATTAATTTTATTGTTTTCTAGATTGAAACGAACAGATTTTTTATTCTTTTCTAATTCTTCTAGTTCTACTCTAAGATTGTTATCAAATAATGTGATTTATAACTTTTAGTTATACTAGAATTATGATTTAGATTGGGAAAAATTTTGAAATGCTTTTTGTTTTTTCAGATTTTTTTACTAGTTAATATATTCATCTTTGTTATTATGAATGAAATTGAATTCTGATTAGGATGTATAATTTGAATTTTTTTATTGATTGGATAAAGAAATATATAGATCATGATTATTTGAATCAAGAAGGTCAGTTTCAATACCTTATAATTTTTAGCTTAAGGATTCTTAATAGACAAAATTCTAGTTCATAAATGTCTTATAATAATTTTATATGATGAATATTTATGATTATAATTATGAAATATAATTAATTAAAAACGCAATGAGTCTTTCAATTAATGAATTTATTGTGATAGCAGTGTTACTTTCTTTATTTGGAGGAGCAGGTTTCTATTTAATTTGGGCAAACAAATAGATGTATAAAAAGAAACTTAATGATTTAATGGATAAGTAGAAAAAGAATAAAGAGAAAATGGGATTTTGATTGATAAATAGTTATTGTGTAAAAATGAATAAAATAAATAAATCACATACAAAAATCAATTAAAAATTCATCGCTAAGTGATGCTTATTCGAGTTATAGTTTAGTATTTTTTTAAGAAAATGAGCCTGGCCAATATTATGTGGAAGAGATTAAATTTGGTAAATAACCAAGACTTTTATAACATTTAGCTACTAATTCAGAACAAAAGTAGGTTCTATTTTTATATTCCTCATTTTTTGGATGTTCTTTATTAAAAATAACAGATTTTTGAGTTAATAATTTTGATGGTGTACATGAATACTTTTTTCCTAAGTTTTCATTAACAAAATCTGAGAGTTAGACTTTAAAATCAAAAGATCTATTAGTTTATAATTTTCTATAAACAATTCTAATAAATAGAGATTAAATAATTATACTTTTCATACATAGAATACCATTTTCTGATATTAAAAGTACTCCATCTACATAATGCAACACCACTAGATGGCAAGGCTTCGAATATAAATAATTCATTTTCAATTTTAAGAAGTAAGCCTACATGATCAAAGTCATCTTGAGTAAATGCTCTTTGTAAATAACAATTAAAATCTTTTCCTCTAAATAAGATGATATCACCATCATTTCCTTCCTCTTCTAGTTATTAAGCTGAAATTCTTTCATGCTTCAAATAGTTGGAACATAAGATACCCTCCAATATCTTTAATACTTGCATAAAGATGTTAATGAATTGAGAAAACCAAGTGAATCATGTAAATGTAATTTTATTATATTAAACCATTTTTTTGTTTCATCATTTTAATAACCTTTAAATTAGAAGACTTTTTCAATATTCCCAACAGGTTTGATTCTAAATAAATTAAATTTAAGATTATTACATGAATTCAATTATAGTTCCATATTTATCTTAGATTTCAATAAGTTAATATGATTAAACATCAAAATTAAGGACACCTTCTAATTGTTATTGTTCTTTTGAGTAATACCTAAAAACACGATTAATTATTGAACATTATCTCTCCTAATAACCTTAAACCCAGTGAGGACTTTTTTTAAGTAAAACACCAAAACATGGTTCAATTCTATTCCTAACTATTGTTGTTAAACTAGTATTATAAATTTCATCATTATTATTATCAGATGTTTAAACAGGATAGAGTATTAAAGAAACATGTGAATTATTATTTTCATCAGAAACTTTTTAGTTTTAATTTTGTGTAATTGAAATTGATTATCTGTATTCTTTTTCATGGTAACTATTCATAATCGCTTGTTAGAATAGCTTTTCGTTACAATTTATATTATTTTTTGATTGCTATTGAGTTTCATGACCAGTAATTGAATCCATAAATAATATAATATTAAATGTTTTTTTGTTAATCTCAATTTAATTAGAGTCTTTCTCTAAGATATTCTTTAAGAGTAACAATCTTGTCTTAAATGTGATCTGAAATTCTGGATATCAAATCTTGTAATTGAACTCTTGATTGTGTTTCCATCTAATAGATGTCTTATTATTGTCTGCACCATTAATCTTATCCTTCTAAGTTTGACTATTAAATTATAATCCGATTAAAATACTTAATTTCTCTCAACTTCAGCAGCATGATATTCTACTTTGCCTTATGATTCTTCGATGATACTCTAATAATTTAAGATTGCCTATTCAAGGTTCTACCTTTAATCAGACCTTTTATTTATTTAATAAAATTAAATACAAAGTGTTTCTTTCATTAGTTAAATCAGACAAGAATTATTACCAATTCAAACTTTATTGTTTTTCAATGTCTTCATCACTTGATTTACTTTCAACAATTTGAACTCTTAAATTGGATAATAATTATAAGACTTTCTTTGCTGTATCAGAATCGGATTTAGCTGACAATTAAGTCATCATAGTTAAAATTGGTTAGAAAAGTAATCCACTTGATGTTGATTAACTAATATAAGATTATTTAAATTACTTCTATAATCTGGATAATACTTTATTAAATCTTCCTTTAACTTAAATAAATGAAGATCCTCCTGAAAGATGTTCAATCAATGCATAAGCTTCATCAATAGCAGCAATAGCTTCTGTGTGATCCTTAATTTTAGATTAAAATTCAGCGTATTGTAAGTCTCTTTCACTTTATCCTGCATTTGTTTTCTTTGAATTCTCTTCAATTTCAACAGACACCTCTGCAATTTTATTTAGGGATCTTTATAAATTATTTGTGTTCTCATCAACAATTTTTGTATGAGCTTTCAATTAACTTTGATGATATGCTAAATTAGTAGAAAAATCATGGAGTAATCTGTTGCATGAAGCTTATGTATTTTAGATATAAAGATCTGAGTCTTTTTGTTCTTGTTCTAACATGAATCTAACTATAACATTTTTTATACCTAATATTATTGATATAACTTTAAATTTCATGTACAGGTGAACCTGTGGCCAAACTGATTTAGATGGCATTCAAGAAAGTTTTTCCCATATGATTGTCATCTATTTCTGCAAGCACAACTTTTGGATCTGTAACCATTTTACTTAAAGCCTAAATCATTATAGACTATAATACCAAGCTAATCAAAAGCACTAGCACTATTCTCATTTTTATATAATTAATTAAAAACGAATTATGTTAATACTCAAATTTTATGATATAACTTTAATTCTAATACATCAAGATAATCATAATTAATCATTCCAACTAATAGTTCAATATCAAAGGAGACTATACATGTAAATGGTCTAAAGGGTAGATGTATGTATCATTTCTAAATTAATTATAGCTTTTAATGGAGAAGAAATAATCTTAGATTATCCATTTAAATTGTGTGAAATGTATTATATTTCATCTCTTTCAAATCAAGAACTTTAATATTAAATTGAAAACTTTTCTTATATGAAATAAATCAAATATATTAATTAATTAATTAATAAATATCTGAATTATATAAAAAAGAACATTTAACTAATTTTTGTTTTAATCAATTCAAGAACATACATTTCTGGGTATTTTTAACAACAAAAGGGACTCTAATGTTGCAAAGAAGCACATCTGAAACAATTAAAATAAATTTGTTTTTATAAATATCATTTCTTCTAAACTAACTTGTTTAAGAAATTATTGTGTTTGTACAATTATTTCACCTAAGAAAATTTAGGTAACAATAAATTTTTAGATCAATTTTAAATTGCTGCATTAATTCTATAATATCTTTTTGTTATGAAAGAATCAAATTAAAAAAGTTATTCTTTTATACAATAATTCAAGCTTAAATCAAAAATTTTTAATACGATTAGAGAAATAGTACAAAAAGCAAACTAAATTAAAATCATATTCAGTTTTTCAAATGATGATTATTCTGATTTAATTACAGAAATTTCATTCAAAAAATTTGGCAGAGCATTATAAAATTCTTTTGAAATAACTCCTTTAGAAATATTTAGTGGATCAGAATTGCATTTAAATTACAACTTAATTTGTTTTAAACTAATTATTAGTGAGAATTTTATTGATCTTTTGAGGTATGATTAAGTTTATTGAGAGTATGAAATTTATTATGTTTATATTTAAAATGAATCAAATTAAATGAAAAATTGAGGAGATATAATTTTAATTTATTAAATCTAATATCAATAATAATAGATTTAAATACTAATTAAAGAATTAATTGGATTAAATTTGATGAAAGTTTGTGGTTTTTAAATAATCTTTTAAAAGTAGTTAGAAATTTCTAATGACAAAAAATGATTGGATATAAACAGTTGAAGAAGATTAATTGGATGTTGTAATTTAAAAATAGAAGAAGTTTATGTAAGGAGTATTTATAATTAAGAATAATTAAATAATTTTGAAATTTGGTTACAAATAAAAATAATTCAAATTTGTTATGTTAATTCTTACATTTTAACAATTAATGGAGATGAAGGTTTTTCTTCAATGTTTGGTAAAGATATAAAATCTTCATTTCTTTATTTGACTGATTCATCTTCACTAGCTTCACTGAAAGCTTTTTCATAAATTTCTTATAAGGTTTCATTTTTAATTTATTTTTTTTCTTGTGTGATTTTTTCTTTACGATTTTTATAATCATAAATAAACCACCTTTTGAAATATTCTTCATCCATATATTTAATAATTTTTTAAGCTTCACTTAACTCCTTCTTTTTAGGAGAATCAGTAAGTACTGAGGCTGGAATTTCACTAATAGATTTACGTTCCTCCTCTTCTGATTATCTTTTAATTTATATATTAATAAAAAAAGGCATGGTTGTGCCAAAAATAATTGTAGTAATAACTACTATATAGAGTACACAACTTTAAAGTATATTAATTTAGTTAATTTATATACCATCTGTTGGGGAAGCAGAGAGAGTTTCAATTAGAGCAAAAGCAACACTTCCCCTAACCATTCCAGCAAAACAACAGATACTCATTTCATATTTAGTTAATTTCCATACTTAGGGACCTTATATACTAAAAATAGAAAAAATATGTTACGCTATAGATATCCAATACACAATATATATACTTAAGTATCTAGCAAGCATAACAACACCCAATTATAAAAGAGTGAAAACCCATGAGACTTCAACATAATAAAGATCTTAAGTAAGTGGACTGTAATAAGTAGTTTGATTCCACATAGCAAATCCCAAAAAAACATAAAGAAATGCTTCTGCACCCAATGACAAAGATTCAAATGTAACTCTTGTTGTGACTCTACCTAATTGACTGATATTATATCCTTAATAATGACTCATCATAATTCCTATCATCAATAAACTTATGACTCCACTTAAATTAAGCATCTCACATATTGAATAACCAATATAAGCCATTAAGAATGCAAATACTGTTTCAGTAGTTGTAGAATTAGTTAAAAATCGGCATTTCTTAAAACACCAAGTAGAAAACAATCCTACAAAGAGACCAATCAATAAAGAAATTATACAGTTTTCTAAAAATCTACCAATGAATTCAAAAGGTGTGTACCATTCAAAGGATTTTTCACTTTATTATAATATTGTCACTGCTTAAAATATTATAATAGAAACAGCATCATTAACCATTCCTTCTCCAAAAACAACACTAAATAATTTAGGATATTTTTGAGATGGAATTAAATTTAGAGCAGCTACAGAATCTGTTGCACATATTGTTGCACTATATTTGATCATCTCATCATAACTCAATGAAATATGTGAATCTAAATTTGTACCCAATCTGACCAATTCTATATTAATATTCTAATATTATTACTCCAAGAATTAAATGCAATTGTAAGTGACAATGTGATTATGAAATTTATTAATGTACTTAGAAATCCAAAAGAAACAATATATTTAAAATTCTTTAGGAATTACTTCTTTTTCAAATTGTACCCTCCTGAAAATATTATTAATGGTAAAAGCAAGTAAAAAAATATTGTCGCATTCAATGAAAACTAAATAATTAGACTCTTTCATACAAATTATGCATATGCATTCTCATCCATCCATTTTAATAACAGACCTACAATCATTCCTATTATTATTCCAAAACTTGTTTCATGGATTAAATGAAACTAAGAAATTACTATTTTATGAATACATGAATTGATTTAAAGTATTCTCCTACCACTATGTAAATTACAATAACAATCATTAATGCAAATGGGACTGCTCCATAATCTGACATTATTAAATTATTTTTATATTTTATCAAATACTCTTAAATTTTTAATCATTCTCTACTCCATTTTATTATCCTAACATATCATTATTATGATTTAATCATTCTTTGAAATTCCTTTTTAATTATTATTTAATTAATGCTCATCTAAAATCATTCTAATAAGGATTGGAGAATTCTTAAGATTATGAAATTTGTAAAATAATTAAGTAAATCTTATCTATTTTTTAATCGACAATTAATTTTATCAAATTGTTAATTTATTCTTAATATTTGTTTTAAAATAAATTAAAACAAAATGAAAATGGCTGATATATTAGACTGCTTCCTTTCTGAAAAAAATTATAAAATGGCTAAACATTTGAAAAACAAAATTTAAGAGAATGATAGGTATTGATTTATTTAATTAAATTAGAGAAACAATCCATTTAGCAGTTTAAGCTGTTTGTGAAATTTTAACTAACAAAATCTCCTAACCCATATAAAAAGTATTGTCAATTAGAGTAAAAAAAACTCGAGTATTCAGTTAGTTAAAGAAATGATGGATTACCATATGTAGTTAGTAATTACTAAAGTCTCGATTCATATAATTCCAATCTTCCATTAAATATTGTAAGAGTATTAATAGAAACGAATTAATGCGAAGCAATACTTCTCAAATTAACCAGGTACTAATAAATATCATCTAATAAAGATGAGCAACTAATGGTTCTTGGAAATACCTTTATAAGGCTTGTAAGTGAATGTGTATATGTTTGGAATATTTGGCATCCACATTTCGAAGGACAATAATCTTCATTTTAAAGAGTGTATATATATATAAATTCATAACACAAAAGATATAATCAATTGATTGAAATAGGATTTGAATTTCCTAAACTTTTTTACTTTAATTAATAAAAAGTCAAAGAATACTATAAATAGTCTAAAGATACTAATTTAACTTAAGTATCTCCTAATGAAAAGGATTATGATAATCAATCTGATTTTTATTGTATTAAATAAAGATTAGATAGAAATGAATTTGGATTAGGAGATTTGTAGATTATTAGAAATTCAGTAATTTGTATTCTTTTTAAAATATTGTTAAGCACTTCAAAATTGTAATCTTAATTTAAGTTAATAAAAGTTTTTAAAGAATTTTGAAATAGCTTACTAAGAATATGAAATAACTAAAAGATATGATGAATTCATAATTACCATATAATCTATGTAATTTAAAATTCTATTAAAGTTGTTTAGAATTTGATGATGAAATGGAAGACAAGTCAGCTATCTTTGAAACCTTTTAAATGAGATGTCAATCTAATATAAGTAATTTTTGTCCATCAAAACATAAAGTGGGAGGATATTCTACTGACAAAATTAGTTAATTTTATTCAAATAATACATTGATAGTATGAATCTGATGTGAATATAGTCTAAGAACTCCTCTCCAAATCAAAAGCAAGAATAATTAGAATGTCTAAATGAGAAAAACAGAAGGATAGAATAGTTATTAATTGAAAATTCAATTTTTGCTAAGCAGATTCAATTCTTTTAAGAATAAATCAATAATCTCAAACAAAATCTTGAATAGATAAATGGATGATAAATAATAGTTCCTAAAGGTTATAATTATTTGATATATTATTTTATATGATTTTATTAACTAATGAGCATCTACATGAATAAAACAAAAAGCTTACTGAAGAAAATTAAAAATTAGAATTAATTGTTTGTAGTCTCAAAAGGCAAATAACAAATTTAACAATCTTAATTGATAAATCAAAAAAACTTCAAGAACAGGTGAATCTTCTGAATTAAGAGTTAAGTAATCTAAAAAGAGACAATGTCTATTTGTAAGAAAAGATACTGACCTTATAATCATTGCAAAATGAAAAGAATATACGCAAAAGAGAAGAAGAACAGTATTTAGAAATTGAAAAAGTAAAATAATATTATGAAAATGAATTAAATATTTTGAAGTTAGAAAATTAAAAACTGCATCGTATGATTAATGAATCAAATGATAAGTCTGTATATGTACTTGAGAAGTCAGCATCAAAATTGGTTGAAATTGGAAATAAAATTGATAAAAAATTGGGGGAGTAAAACCATCGAAGAATTTCAAGCAATCCAAACTTACTATCACCAAAAGGGATGACAAAAGAGATTTATAAAAATTTGATATAGAAACTAACAAATCAGACAGATGAGAAATCTATCTTATCTTCTATGTATTTTTATTAATATTTTAATTAATAGATCTTAGCCAAAGCTCTAGGATTCTGGTCTTTTTACAAAGTCCTAGCCAAAAGTAATTCCTACCCTTGGTATTAAGAGCAATCAATCAGAATAATTATTACCAAACCTTGTAAACGTTATCAAAAAATGATTATAATTAATGTTATCTACATCTGCATCTTCAGTTTCATATAGACAAAAAGGAAAGCTACCTTCTACAAATAGTAAACTATATAAAGGATTTGTTCATGATGCTACTAGTAAATTATCTGTAGGATCAATACCTGCAAAATTGGAACTTATTATCTATAGAGATTAAAGCACAAAAGCATTTGGATCTAGCGAACCAAGATTTAAATAATAAATGGCTGATAATCCCGGTCCTTAAGAATATGATTGTGGGGTATATTAATTTGGTAAAGTGCAATCAGAATCGATTTCTAATAAGGGAACTGGAGGATTAGCTTGTTCTTAAGAAAGAAATGTTTTTGCCCCAAAATATGTAAATTCAGGTCCTGGACCTGGATAATATAATTCAAATCAAAGCTTTAATTCTTCATAATCAACTAACAATCCTTCATTTTTTATGAGACAATAATAATAAAAGAGCGTTGAAAAGGTTGAAGTAATAAATCCTGGACCTGGAGAGTATAATTAATATATTAAATTAGATATGATATGCCATAACCAAAAAAATCGAATGTAGTTAAATATGTGTTTTCATCTAAAACCTTAAGAGGTTAATTTTAAAATAAACCAGATAATCCTCCTCCAGGTTAATATGAAGTCTAAAATTAATTATCAAAACCTGAACATAAAGGACCAACATCTAGTAAATAATTATATTTATTTAGGTTTTCATCCTGATCGTGCTTAATTAAGAGAAATAACTCCATAATAACAAATAGTAGCTATGATGTTGAATGATAAAGATAAATAAAATGATAAAATATTACCAGGACCTGGTGATTATGAAACTAAATTTCCAATTTTTGATCCCGATTACATTGTTAAAAAAGAATTATCATCATTTGCAATTCAACCTGGAAAAGATCGCTTTGGAAGATAAGAGAGAGAATAAGAACCTGATAAAATAGGACCAGGTAATTAAATTAATACTAAATAAAAGGATCTTATTAACTACCTAGTAAATTTGATGAAATAGCAAAAGATAAATTGTTAGTCTCAGGTAATGTGTTTATGTCAGAAAGTTTGAGATAACCATATGGAGATTTTGATAAGAGATTAGGACCAAATCCTAAAAGTCCTTATATTTTACCAAAAAAAAAGAATTTTCACTTTAATCTACAAAGAAAGTGGGTGTGACTATTTTGGTTGTTTTTTTAATCCATTAAAATTAATAACATATTATATAATTAAAAATAAGTGTATAATTTAATTGATTATGATATTCTCAAAATGTTTGTTATTTTTCTTAAGGATTATTAATGATAAAGATGATCTATTTTTGGCATAATCGTAAAAAAAATATAATTAATAATTTCTTATTAATTAAATGCAAGCACCAAATCTAACGAAATTACCAAGTTAATAAAAAGTTCCTAAATATCGGCCTGTAGCATAATAAATATTATATAGTCAATCAACATAGATAATCTGATAGCAATATGTACAGGTAAACTTAAGAATTGTCCTAATCATAAAAAAGCATTATATATTAGAGCATCCGCCTATATTAAAAAAGGTGAATATGAAACAGCAATATAAGATTGTAATAAATTATTAGAATCAGATAGTGATAATGTTGGTGGATATTATTTGAGAGGTATTAAAATTTAATAAATTAAGGATGTGCAAATGAAAAATTAGGATAGACAGATCTTGCAATAGATGATTTCTCTAAAGTATTATTATTAGATGAAAATCATGTAAATGCAGCCTTTGCTCGTGCTTCTTGTTTAAATCTAAAAGGTGATTTTGCAGGGGCCATAGAAGATTATACTCGAGCATTAGAAAAAGATAATGCTAAATCACTCAATCTTTCTAATTCAATCAATAAAAGATCATTACTTAGAAATAGTTCAATGAAAAAAGATGAAAACTAAAACTATCCTAAAACAGAAGCATTTTAATATAAGACTAAAACAAATAAATATTAATAGCCAGAAGAAGATGATCTTATGAATCCATAAAATGATGAAGAATATTTATAAAATGATTAGTCATAGATTTAACATTAACCCTAATAAAGTAGCTTTATGAGTTAAAACCCTCTTTATACTAGTATTGATGCTAATGAATTGCATATATAGCGACCCTCTTAAATTATAGATAAAGAAATTTCACAACCTATGCAATAGCAATTAATTTCTATGATTCCAGATAATATTAAATAAGATAATAAAAAGATATCAGATTGGTTTCATTAATAAGGCTTTGATTCTCGAAAAAAAGAAGATTTTATTAAAGCTATTGAATTTTATACAATGGCTCTAATGTTTAATGCCAATCATTTTAAATCGATCTTTAATCGAGGTATAATACGTATTTTATAATAGGTTTTGCATTTGATAAGTTAAGAATGTATAACGATGCAATTAATGATTATACTAAAGCTATAGAAATGGATTCAAAGAATGCTTATGCTTACTATAATAGAGGAATTTCTTATGATAAAAAAGGAGATTATAATTTAGCTATTAAAGATTTTGCTAAGGCTATTGAGCTTGATCCATCAAAAGCAGATTTTTATCACAATAAAGGTTTTGCAATGAAGAAAAAAAATCTAATAAAAGAAGCTATATTAGAATTTAATGAATGTCTAAGATTAGATAAAAATCATTTCAAAGCATATTATAACAGAGCAAATTGTTATGAAAAATTAGGAGAATTCGATAAAGCATAATAGGATTATCTGATAGCCAATAATGTAGTTCCTAATAATCCAAATACTTTAACTCATATAGGTATATTAATGGATAGACAACAAAAATTAGAAGATGCCTTAAAATACTTCAATTCGTAATTTATATTATATAATCTATTCTAGTTCTTTAAAGATTGATTCCAATTATGCTCCTGCTTATAATGGAAGAGGTTTAGTTTTTGATAAAATTGGAGAGTATGAAAAAGCTTGCATTGATTTCAACAAAGCTATTGATATTGAACCATAAAATCCAGTTTATATTCATAATAGAGGATGTTGTAAAAGAAGCATGAATAAATTTGATGAAGCATTAGAAGATTTTAAGAAAGCTCTATCTTTAGATTCAAAGAATCCAATCATATATTCAAATATGGGTTTAGTTCTTAGAAAAATGGAGGATTTTGAAACTGCAGCATATTGCTACTCTTAAGAATTAATTTATTCTTCTGAAAACACAAGAACATTAAACAATAGAGGATATTGTCTTGCTAAATTAGGATAATTTGAAGAAGCTATTAGTGATTATTCTAGAGCTATTAATCTAGATCCAATCAATATTCATGCTATTTATAATAGAGGAATATGTAATGAAAGAATTGGAGAATTTCACAAAGTAAATTATACTTTTATTTTATAGGCTATTGATGATTTCACATAAGTTATTCATTTACAAAATGATCAAGGTGCTAATGCATATTTTAATCGAGGATGTTGCTACGATAAGTAATTTTATGTTTTAATTCTTCTAGTATTGGGGAAATGGATCTTGCAATAGCTGACTATTCAAAAGCATTAGAGATTGATAATAAAATCAATAAAGGCCCTTGATAGTTATACTAATTATTTACTATCTTAGATTATCACAAATATTTTTGAATATAATAATATATTCTAATTATTTTAATGAATAAGTAGAGAAAACTAACCAATTTCGAAGAATTTAGACAAGATTACTTTGATGTTATCGCTGATGATAGAGCAAAACTATTTAACTTCTTTTTTGAATATAATAGGCAATTTGGATTTATTAACTAAGAGGATTATTAATAATGCACAGCAGCTTATCTCAATTACAGGGCTAGAACTAGTCTTGCATTATTTGGAAGTCCTTTAGTAGTTTTAATTGCCAACAAAACTATATTCAGAAACTTTGAAAGAATTCCTGTATTTAGACCTGCAGTCTTCTCTTTTAAATACATAGGAATACCATTATTTTCTTTTTATATTACTAGTAAATATTTTTGCTAGGATACTGAAAAACTATTTTATGAAATGGCTGAAAAATATCAATTTGGTTTCTATCAATACAACCAAGCTATGGATCTTTTAGAAAGAGCCCATAAAGCTAATAGATTAGATGAATTTATGGAAAAAGGAACTTAATTTGATTGGACAGGAATACCAGAATTAAAAAAATATTGATAATTTATTATAATATAAAATATTATCCCTTTTAATTTTTTAAAAAGTTTTTAGTTGATTATAAAAATTGTTTATTTTTGAAATTAAGAAAATACTTAAATATTTGAAATTCCTTGAACACTTAATTCTCAAATGTGATAAATTAATATGATTTATTTTTGTCAAATTTTTATATTTTTACTACAGTAATTTAAACTTTTGATATTATAATATGGAATTATAATTCTAAACCTAAAACTAAATACGTAACAACTATTTATGTTTATAATGCATCTAATTCCTAACTGTTACTTATTTAAGTAATTTCCAATCACAGAAATTTAAGAATTCTTCTAATAATTAGATTAAATATATATATATATATAATTAAACTAATGTATCAAAACACTTCTACATTTAATCATTTTTCTATTTATTTAAAGCTAGTTAAAAAATATTGCTTTGAAATTATAGTCAAACTATAGCCTTATTTTTAAGATTATAATTTAAATTATCTATGTGAAAAACTTCAGTGCTAAATATTTAGCCATTCTATAGTTTAGAATATTTAAAAGCTTATAGAGAAATCAATATTTATGGGATAATGATTTTCATATAAGCATATTAAATTAGCTGTTCAAATTTAGTTTATTTATATTTATATGTAATTTATTTAAAAGCTGACATTTTACTTTGTTTCGATTGGTACTAATACGGAAAGAAGGACAAAAAATAGAGACTACGGTAATATGGCCATGATATTGTATTATTTTATTTAACTAATTGGGTATATTTTTAGCCAGTTTGAACGAAAGACAATAAAATATTATGAAAATAACTTTTTAGCTTAAGTAAGCTAATAATCGTCAATTCCTTTTATACTTATTATAATTCATTATGATCCTTTAACATTGTTTGCATATTACAGTGTTTTTTTAGTCATGTTAGGCATATTTTTAATTGCATTGCTTTAAATCATTTTAAAAGTAAAATCTTCATATACTAATTCTAGACACTTCCATCATCATCACCAATAAATCAATTTATTAAATTCTATTTTTAGAATTTTTAATGGTTTTTTTTGACTCCATTTAATGAATGTATGATAGGAGTAATTACATGTGGAAAATAATCATATTTAACTCAGCATTAAGAAATAATACCATAAGAATGTTTATCATAAATTTCATTACATTTTGTAATTATAAGCTTTTTAGGACTTATGTTAGTTTCATTATCTGGAGTAGTGTCAGTATTTTGTTTTAGGAATTATGATTTTTTGTAAGCAGGATTATTAAGGAAGTTTTCCTCTATTAATTTTTTAACAATTTTCTTACACCAACTATTAATAGTTTTATCATTTTGGAAATAAATGTATTAAAATGAGTATGTAATTATATATACTTGTTATTTCTTAATTTTGTTTTGCTTATTATTTGATGTATTTACATAGTACCCTTTTGGATTTACTACTGATACGATATTTTATTCATAAACTTTAATTAGTTCTATTTTTTTTGGAGTTTTGATAGCATATTGGATATTTTCTAAATCAGATGATGGTATAATTTTCTTAACTTGCTGTATAATTATCCCAGTATAAATTTAAATTTATATTTTAGTTAATTTTTTCTCTAAATTAAGCTTATTTTTAAAACCAATTTGATAAATAAAGTTTAAGCTTTTGCAAAAATGATGAATATGCTTTAAACGAATTTACTTTGGAATATTTTGTTTTACTTTCACATCCTACTACAATGACCAAGAAAAGCTATTTTTAATTTATCAGGTATTTAAATATACATTGTTCAACCTGTAAGGATCTTAATTGTCCTTGCAATAAACTTTTAAATACTTTTATTACATCAAATTAAACATTAGATTGTGAACCTCTTTATATCTGGATTCAATATCAATTTTAAAAGTTAATAATAATCTCTATGAATAAGAAATATCCTGTAAGCATTTTTGAACAATTAACAATTAAATTTGTTACTTTCTTAAAAAAGTATCGAAGTAATTAATACTTATCATTTAAAAATATCTAAGATGTTGTTATAAGTTATAACAAATAAAAGAATGATTCGACTAAATTTATACACTTTTTTCTACATCTGACACGAAAAATATAATATGACAGCAAATTAGATATTGAATAATAAAATAGAAATCAATATTTATTAAGTAAAAATGAATTTAAAACATTAATTGATTTAAATCTATTTTTATTTTATGAAATAAAAATTATGTAAAATATTATGATAGTTCTTAATCTATAAAAAGATTTTTGGACTAATTACGTCAATGGAAACCTTAAGAACTATGATGATTTAATGGTTTAAATATAAAAGATATCAAATCAACTCTCAATAGTGTAGCAGGATTTAAATAATTTCATTTCTTAAAGAGAAGATTAGAAATATGAAAATATTTTACTTTTAAGATTATAATTATTAATCTCAATAGTTTCTTTAGAAGATTTTAATAAACAACTGAGACTTGCAAAGAAATTATTAGTTATGTAATAAGAATAATAAGCTTAATCATTATAGTAATTTCATATTTTAAATTACATAAATGGTACAGCAATTTCAATCCAATAATTGATTGCATTTCAAGATTTTGATATAAAAAATATTCAAATAAAAGAAAATTGTAAGAAATTCTTTGGATATTAATATTCAGATGAAACACCTAAATTGAAAGATTTGATACCTCATTAAATTAGATCAATCCATAATGGGCTTATTGATAAATTTTTATTTTCGGGAACTAGTTCTAAAATATATTCCAACTAAGAAACCTTTATCTTAAATAAGAATTAGTTAATTGAGAAAGTATCTATGAGTTTAACTATACTGTTACCTTATTAAGGTAATGATTATTATTTTTATATGTTTGCTCATTTATTGAAGAAATAAGGGTTTGAGAGAAATAGCTTAGTGTTTAATTAATAAGGTTCTATATTAGTTGATAAGAATTTCAATATTATTGGAATGAGTTAAAGTATTTAAAATAAAACCAATTAATTTTCATAATGTGAAATCAATTATTCTGAAATTTATGAAAAAATGACAATATTTCATATTTTTCCAGAGCTTTTAGGAAAATTGAAGGAATATTATATTGAAAAATAAATATAAAATATTAGAATTTTAGAAGAGGAAACAATTCTTCAAAAAGAAAATTTAAACTTTGTTCTACCTAATCTTGAAATATTAAGCAACACAATGATATAAAAAAGTTAAAAAAGAATTGATTTTGAAATAAAAAATAGACATATACTAAACGATTTGAACTAATTTGAGAAATAATTTAACTTATTCTTAAATACATCCTATTCTTTTTAGGTAGAATTAACAATCATTTAAAAAATATTACACCCATAAATTAATGGTGTAATTAAAGACTTTTTATATTACTTAATAGATATTTAATTTTCTGATGATGAAAAACCAAGTAAATGTACGTTGTAGAAACTTCCATCTGAATCAGATATTAACATCAAGAAAGTAATTTCTTAATAAAAGATTTAAAATTAAACATAAAATTAAACTTAAATAGCAATATAATCCTTTGAATCAGATAATAAGTAATTTTTGAGTCTTAAATAATTGAATACCTCCTCTATTACAACAGAAAAAAAAAGTAGTAATGATTTAAATTTTTAAATAAGGTTTTTTCAATCAATCATGTCAGAATCGAAATTGCCTCATCAAATGTAGAATTTATAATGCTTTTTATCATTATAAATTATATTTATAATTGGCATAATTATATCACTATCGGTTTTGTTTGATAAAAAATCTTCAATGCAATCGGATTGCATTAAAATAATCACTTTGGATTTAGATTTTCTAGATTCATATTCTCAAATCATGAGTGGATCTAGGCATATAATTTATATTCGAGATTTTTATTCAATATTAAATGATACTACTATATCAATTGATAATCAAGATCTAAATTTTAGCAAATATGATAAATTATACATATCATGGAACCATCTAAATTTAGGGTTGAATAGGTTAATTAGCATTTATGAATAAAATAGAAATGTATTCTAATAAAACTCTGAAGATTCATTAAATATATATATAATAAATGGAAATCTATAGAACAAAATAACACAAACTATCTCAGAACTATCCACCTACTTTTAAATAATGTTTTAAATTTTTTATATGTCCTAACAAACCTTAAGTCAAAATATATCAAATTATTTATAAGATTCAAAAGACTCTTATTCTATTTAAATCAGCAGATCTTTAGTTTATTATAATTTTTTTGATATTGTTTAAATTTTCTAAACAAAAATAGATTCTTGTAAAACTTATAATCATTTTATAAATGAATACTTAGATTCTATTTCAAATTATTTATTTATAGGATTTTACATTATTTCAGTTTTAATCAGCTTTTCATAAATTTTATTCAGTCATAAATTAAATAAATAGATGAGGTTCAATTGTGATTTATTTGTTAAATGCGATTCTTCTGATGGGAATCTATTTATGAGAAATAATGATATTTTGAGAAATATTTTAAGTAGAAAATCAATAATTCTAAAAAAATAAGGTTTTTAGAGAATTTAGGAAAAACCTTTTGTTGATTATGATTAAATAAGATTTCAGAATTAAAATTCATAGTAAGCTAGTGTAAAAATCTTTCATTCATAAGATTAAAAAATAGTATTAAAAAATCAACTTTCCCAGATTAATCAAATACTCATATTGATATTGATTGGAATTATAGGAATTTGTTATGGGATGGCTTTTCAAATATATTACAATTACATTTCATAAAATATTCAACCTTTCAATGACGAAGCAATTGAATCATAATAATTACGTTTAACTTTAATTAACACAGTTAATAAATATGATTAATATCTAATTAAAACTATATTTGATTTATACTATAATTTAGCTTAAACTGATCCTTCACTAGAACTAACAATAAATTTTAAATCAGATTTTTAAATATTGAATCAATTAGAATTTAATAGTACTCTTTTGAGTTAAGAAATAAGAGACTTTTAACAATTAAATTTTACTAATTTTTTATTTAATTCAAAAACATTTAATGCAATTAATGAAATCGATTAAACAGAAATTTTATCTTATGATGCCTGTGTTTTAACAGGTTGCAATATGGATAAAGATTTACTCAACCAAAGATTGTTTCATGAAGTGTTAAATCCTTATTTTTATTAAGGAATTGTTAACTTGCACTACATATTAGCTTAAATATTTTTTGAATTTGATATATAATTATAAAAACCACTTAATCAGTCAGAGAGAATGAATTAAATACATTATTTTTTGAATGAACCTGATTATCTGATTTATGTATTATGGGGACTTGATGCAATTTAATTTTAAATTGCTTAATTTTGTTAATATTTTGTAAATGTGTCTTATAATGCAATATCAAATTTAACTATTAACTCAAAGTAAAATATTTTTATTTTTGGTATCGCCACTATATTAGTTATAATAATTATTTAATTTCTATTTAATAAAAAATAAATCTAAAGATATCTTTTATCAAAGTCGCTTTTAAAATTAATACCTCTTGAGATTATTTTTAAGAAAAACATTTATAAATAATTATTACTTAATGAAAGAAGAAATCGTGCCGATTTTGGTTTGTAATTTTGATTAATGAATGAATATATTCAAAATACTATTTGTAAATCTCAGTAATATTATTTTTATTATTGAATCAATCATGATTCATTATTATAATAAAGAGTTTCGAATTTGATAATTTTATTAATTACAATTTTTATTAAGCCTAAATATTAATTATGAGTTCTTAAAAGATTACAGATTATAAAATACTTTAGGTAATAACAAAAAAATCAAAAGTGAATGAGAAAACACATAAAAAGGGAAATTCAAATAATCCCTCATATGTCCCAATGAGAAGTGTGAAACTTATACCTCCTTAGCAACCTTAAGATAATTAATAGAATGATGTGACAATAATACCTGAAGAGGTTAATCCAATCATGTTAAGCGTTGAAAGAAACCAAGCATTGATTTGTGATTTGAAATAAGAAATAGGATTTTCAACCTATAACACAAAATTGTTAAAAAAAACAAATACAGATATTAATTTCAATGATTTATCTCTTTACTTTTTATAATCAATGAAGTTATTTAGGTAAGACAAAAATAGCAAGAATTTAGGTAAATTAACAAAAAAATTACTTTAAGATAAAAATAATGGAAATTATATAAATTTTCCATCTTCTTTAAGTAAGAATGTAAACATTTTGAATTGTTTCACTTATATTTTTTACATTAACAATATTTCAATTTTGCTTTTAAATTCCATGTTTTGCTTATTTAAAAATAATTTTGATGCCTTATTTGTTGAACTTTTACAATTATTAGTTTTGTCAATAAATTGCATTTATAATTGGTAAAAATATAGAAAAGATATTTATGATAAGCTGTAAATCAACAAACAATAATATTTTCATAATATTATAATTATTTTCTTTTAAATCATACTTATAGTTCTACTGATATTAATAATGTAATTTTCTGTCTAATAATAATATTTGATTATATGTTTAATATTGCTTAACATAATTACCATAGAATAATTAAGTTAAATTAAATATATGTGGATTTAAGAGAGTTTGATTAAATTGATTTTGTTGGCATTTTAGTAATGTTATTTATTTTCCTGTGTTTACCTCATTTTATTTAATGAGAATTTTATTTTACTTAATTTTGACGAGCAATTAAATTTATATTTTACAATTTACTTAAGGTTCTTTGGTTATTTAGTTGGTATTGATCTTTAATTATAAAATATTGAATCAGATATTGAAATAACAGTATTTATATTATATACTTGGATTACTATGTTGATAATCAAATATCAATTTTTGATTCAACTTTATTTGTTAGTTTAGATGCAGAAGACAGTTTTTAAAGATAAAAAGAATATGATTGATTTTATAAATATTTTAAAATCTTTGAACATTGGTAATTCAAAATTAAAAAAACTATTTAACTAAATTTAGTAATAGTATGCTCAACAAAAAGAGATAGCAAGAATAAAGAATGTGAATTTTTTGATAAATTTTTATGGAATCAAGGATTCATTGAGGTAATAAATAATTAATTAGGATAAAATGAAGCATTTGAAATTTGTTAATTTGTTTAATAAATTATCAAGATAAAGTTTAAATAATTTGATAAATTTAATTGAAATATAGTATTTTAAAAATGAAGAGATGATAATAAGCTAAGATAAATTAGATGATTGTTCAATATATATAATAAAAAGTGGTTAAGTAGAAATAAGTTTTAAGAATTCTCAAAACAGTTTAGTTGGAATAAAGGTTTTAGGAGTTCACGAATGTTTTGGATAGATAGCTTTTTTGACTGGAACACCTAGATGTGCATCAGTAAGAAGTATAGGAGAATCATGTATTTATAAACTTGAGAGAACTAATTTTTTGTAAATAATTTAGAATAATAATGATGATAAAGTATATCAATTATATAACAATAGGAGTTGATAAATGTGATAAAAAATGAAATAATATTTTAAAATGAGTATGAAATTTTGGGTATAAAATGTTATAATTGTTCATGTTCAGGCCATTTGATATAAAATTGTCCATAATTGCATTTGTTGGTATAGAAGGAATAAGTAATATTGGATTTTTTGGCACCCTCTGATTAAAAAAGACATAAGTGTATTTATGCCAATTAAATAAGTTAAAAGAAGAGATGCACAAAGCGCTAATACAAGATACAATGCATTGAATACTCAAGTGAAATGTTAAGAGTTTCAAGAAGATTAAGGATATGTATCATCTTTGGGAGAGACAGATCATACAAATTATCAGTAGAATCTATCTCACTATACCATAACATAATCATCCATAAATTACCCATCTAAGATTTTTGGATAGAAGCTATCACTAAGACCATCCACAATAGACAATTTACAAGGAGTGGATGTATAGGAATCGTTGAAGGAACAATAATTTCGAGAAATTGATCAAATATTTATAAGAGCTAGTAATCCAAAAGCCACAACATCAACAGCAGGGTTTGGATATAAAGAATAGTGTTCTTAAAAGAGTCCTTAGACAGAGAATGTGAATAATACTATTGATGAATAGGCAAGTGAAGATTCAAGCATATAAAGTTCTTCATTTTCTGATGATTAAGTTTCAAAGACTTCTAGATAGACTGGAGATTAAAAATTAAGATAAATGAAATAAAGCAATAATAGATCAGAAAAGTATTCATAACATAGAAGTGGTGTTAGTAGTATTTCAATGAATAATACTCCAAAACAGCACTCATAATTATCGATATTAAACACATTCACTTTAAAATCAGATATTAATAATAATGTATAATTAAGTGGAGGAACAAATCATGGTTCATAGAAACTGATTAGTCCTTTGCATCTAAGAGAAAAAGAAGATCGATAGAATACATTAACAATACCTGGAGGAAATAATATGTTATAGGTTCCATCTAAGAGAAGTTTAATAAATCCTATATCTTAATTAAATTATGAGATGTCTCCTTTTGTTGCATTCCCTTAACATGTATTGCGTTATTTATGATTATAAAGCATCCTGTTATAATTAATGAATTACAATGGAGTCCTATAGATATCGATAGACACCAGATATTCTAAACTTACTATCCTAAATTCAATGTTGATATAGTTATTTAGAATTATCATACAATGGTGAAGAATAATAAAGATAATATAAAAAGACTAAAGTCAAATATTAATGAGTTATTTAAATACAATACTTTTTGAAGATCAGATATTGAATTTTATTATTTTATGTCAACTATTTTGCCTTATTTGATAAATAAAACCAATAACATTTTATTGTTAAGAGGAGATGTTGGAAAACCCAAACCATCAATATAAGAATTGCCTGATTCCAGTTATTGTTATGGTAAAAAAGTTAATAGAGATGGAATTGGAATGAAAGAAATTACTTCGGATTGGTAATATGGGAACAGTATGCATCATAAAAAGTCGAAAACTGTAAAATTACCAGATGAGAGTTTTGTTTATGGACTTAAAAACAAGTAACCAAATAATATTAGGATAGACCTTCAACACCTTTTGGAAAAGTTATTAATATGAAATATGCAAATGAAGCAACAGAACTTATTGAAAGTATTTATAGAATGAGAAGTTAAAGAATATCAAAGAAATAGGTCATCTAAAAGAACAGATCATATTCCTTAAGATTAGAACATAATACAAAAAAAAAAGAAGAAGAACATAGAGAATTTAAGATTAAGAGGTTTTTAGAAATAAAGTCTAAAATATATTAATTATGATTTCTATATTGAGAAATTAGCAATTAAATTTTGTTAGCAGATTCTTCAAGACCACTTTGTTACAACAACCTGTAATGAGAAGAAGATCAATTACACCAATATTTCCACCTCCAGGATATAACTTAGTAATTCCAGATTGGCCAGTTGAACAATTTATGTTAAGAATAGGAAAAGGCTGTTCAGATTATGCTGATAAATTTGAAAAACTTAATGAAGTATTTGAAGCAGATAGAGTACTATCTTTTTTAATATTTAGCATTAAATGAAAGAGAAGGGTATCCCTCCGAAAGTCAGAAAATATTTATTGTCAATCAAAGAGTAATTACGTCGAGGAGTACTTACTTTCGAATATTTAGAAAGAAGAACGTCAGTCACAATACCCAAGAAAAAGGTAACAAAAAAATGAGTTTATATTCATGGTATAGTCTATATAGTTTTATCAGCAAACTGTCATTTAGAGTTATTACTAGAAATTTATTCAAATATAGAAACAGATTATCATCTCAAGAAATCAGTCCATTTGCAATAAACTGTTGCATAGATAAACTTTCCCTTAAGAAATTGGCTTCCTAAATTATACCTTTTGCAACCCAGCTTCCATTTTAATTTTAATAAATTCTAACTTCTCTAGAGGTGACTTAGTTTTAGTTTTCATCTATCTTTTTGCTTTCACAAGACACAGCCAATAGAGTGGCTAAAATATTCCATGAAACTCGATAAGCTTAATAATTTGGTTTTGTTTCTCTATTTATATTAAATACTTTCATTTTTTCTACTTCAGTTTCCTTTACAATCTTAATCTACCATATTTTAACACCTTCAATACTAGCAGATGCAATCAAATGAAAACTTTTTCCATTTTAATTAGCCCATTATACATCATTAATTGTTTTTTCTTCTTCAAATTCATGAATTTTTTTCATTCCTAATTTTTAATTTTCATATTATAACATCCAAATGGCCATTGTTTTCATACTATGAGAATGATCAATTTTAATTTTACTGAGATATTTTTATTATTCAGCATTTCCTGCAGCTACCAACATTTCTCTTTCTAATGGAGCACGATTCCATGATATTGCTCTTAATCCATAATCCATAATATGAACATCTTCTCCTTCCTTAATAAATTAATTCTACTCATGTGCTCTATGAATTTATAATTTTCCATCAACATATGCTATTGCTAATAGAAGACCATTAGATTTTGAACCAAATTATATATCAGCTACTGCTTCTTTACTTTCTAATATTAATATTCTCTATTTCCATTATACTATAATTTATTTTTATCCAGATGGACTTTCTTATAGGAATTTCTTTTCTTCCCAAACACCAACACCTTTATCCTAACTACATGTTGCTATCAATTATCCAAATTTAGGATCTGCCCATCTAATCTTCCAAATTGGACCATCATGAAATTTACATTCTGCACTCTTTTCCCATTTCCTATTCAAATCTATTAATTTATTTACCCATCTACTTTATTATAAACTCTCATTGTTTAATCACTTGAAGCTGTAGCAAATCTATTACCATCAAAATTAAAAGCTATATCATGAATAATATCCTAATGACTAGTTTCTATTAGCATTATATATATTAATTTAACGAATATGATTAAACCAAAGAAGTCTTCGCGTGAACTCTGGAATCAATTGGGCTTACGAAACCATATTAAACAAGCATTTGAAGAAAAAGAAACTACTTGGGGTTTNCTAGAAATTTATTCAAATATAGAAACAGATTATCATCTCAAGAAATCAGTCCATTTGCAATAAACTGTTGCATAGATAAACTTTCCCTTAAGAAATTGGCTTCCTAAATTATACCTTTTGCAACCCAGCTTCCATTTTAATTTTAATAAATTCTAACTTCTCTAGAGGTGACTTAGTTTTAGTTTTCATCTATCTTTTTGCTTTCACAAGACACAGCCAATAGAGTGGCTAAAATATTCCATGAAACTCGATAAGCTTAATAATTTGGTTTTGTTTCTCTATTTATATTAAATACTTTCATTTTTTCTACTTCAGTTTCCTTTACAATCTTAATCTACCATATTTTAACACCTTCAATACTAGCAGATGCAATCAAATGAAAACTTTTTCCATTTTAATTAGCCCATTATACATCATTAATTGTTTTTTCTTCTTCAAATTCATGAATTTTTTTCATTCCTAATTTTTAATTTTCATATTATAACATCCAAATGGCCATTGTTTTCATACTATGAGAATGATCAATTTTAATTTTACTGAGATATTTTTATTATTCAGCATTTCCTGCAGCTACCAACATTTCTCTTTCTAATGGAGCACGATTCCATGATATTGCTCTTAATCCATAATCCATAATATGAACATCTTCTCCTTCCTTAATAAATTAATTCTACTCATGTGCTCTATGAATTTATAATTTTCCATCAACATATGCTATTGCTAATAGAAGACCATTAGATTTTGAACCAAATTATATATCAGCTACTGCTTCTTTACTTTCTAATATTAATATTCTCTATTTCCATTATACTATAATTTATTTTTATCCAGATGGACTTTCTTATAGGAATTTCTTTTCTTCCCAAACACCAACACCTTTATCCTAACTACATGTTGCTATCAATTATCCAAATTTAGGATCTGCCCATCTAATCTTCCAAATTGGACCATCATGAAATTTACATTCTGCACTCTTTTCCCATTTCCTATTCAAATCTATTAATTTATTTACCCATCTACTTTATTATAAACTCTCATTGTTTAATCACTTGAAGCTGTAGCAAATCTATTACCATCAAAATTAAAAGCTATATCATGAATAATATCCTAATGACTAGTTTCTATTAGCATTATATATATTAATTTAACGAATATGATTAAACCAAAGAAGTCTTCGCGTGAACTCTGGAATCAATTGGGCTTACGAAACCATATTAAACAAGCATTTGAAGAAAAAGAAACTACTTGGGGTTTAATCGTTGATTCCAATAAGAAAAACCTTGTAATTCATTAAACTATTCTCAGAGCCAAAGATCTATATCAGAATATACTATCACATAAAAATTAAAAGAGCAACATAATTCATTCATCAAAAATAAAGACAAACCTATTACTAAAACCTTTTTAGAAGATTAAATTCAAAAGACTAATTTAGATAAAGATGAGTGGATCCAATTAGCATCAATTAATGAAAAATCTAATCTTTCACCTATAACCAAAAGAAATTCTAATGATTAAACCTTTTCTCCCATCAATAGACTTAAAAATGAAGAATAATCACTTATACAACAATAATCATTTTAAATAAACATTGAAAAAAACAATATTTGTAAATTACCAGGTCATGAAAACAATTAATACAAATTTATATGTGTAGATAATGATTGTCCATATAAATTATAAAAAGCATGTGCACATTGTGTTATTAAAATGCATACTAAACATGTTACCCAAATGAAAGAAATTCAAAATTATGAAAACTTAATTGAATAAAACATTAAAAAGGCTGATTAATTGATTAATCAAAGTTTAGAATTATTTAAAGAAATTCAAAAACCTTATGAAAATTACTTTCTTTAAATTAAAAATTAAATAATTACCCTTATTAATGATCTACAATAAAAACTGTTACAAATTAATAAAGATTAAATCCAAAAAATTATTAATAATGATATAGAAATAATTTAGAATTTTAATTCTAAGTTTGAAGCTTATAAATTAATGAATACATTAATACCAGATGATATCATTGAAGAATATACGCGAATTATTAATGGTATCTCTGAAAAGATAAAACTCAATATAAATTTTGATCCAATTCATAAATAAGTTGAATAATTTGTAATGTCAATCTTTTGTCCCAAAAAATAAAAAGAAAATAAAGAATAAAGTGATGATACTGAACTATTATAACAATTCATATAGACTAATAGAGATTCAAATAAGGAATCTATTCTAAAACCAAGTAATTCAATGACTTGTTGTTCTCATCAATCCCCTTTACTAACTTAAAAATAATTGAAAACCAAACTAGTTATGGGATCTGCATCTCCTTTAAATGTTTTCAATCGTTAAATTACTGGAAGGCAAGTCACAAAAATCATCTAAACATAACCAATTATATACTATCGTACTAACAGTTGAAATAAAGTTAAAAGCTTTCATAAATAATATATATATATATATTTGAATAATATTTTATATCTTATTAATTTTTTATATATATGTTATTTAACCATATTATTAAATACAAATAATTGTATTAGAGATCAATAAATTTATCTGAAATCATTAGAATATATATGACTTTGTTATTTAATAATATAAAATTAAAGGATTGTATAAATTCTTTAATTCAAAATGTATAATTTATACTAAGAACAGTATAATATATAGTGATAATATATTAGAGACGAGAGAAAAGAAATAGAAGAATGATTATATTTTAAGTTTATATAACTAATTAAAAGATATTAATAATGTAAATTATTAAGAGCAAAGCAGTGTAGTAATTAGTGCATCGTTCACAATATAACAAAATTGTGTGGTAATCATCGAACCCATACAATAAGAGATGGCAATACAAATTTAAGAATGCTTATTATACTTACCCAAGAGATATTAATCAAGAGCATACATACGTAAAAACACCAAAAGATAATTGGGAATCAGTACCACTTGGATGGGCATGGATTTAAGATTTATTGCATAGACATGTAAGATTTTTAAATTAAAATTTAGGTACCTAATTTCTCATGTTTAATTGAAAGAAGACATAGATTATTTGATAAATTCAATGTTTACTTTTTGCCTGCTTTTAGTCTCTTCTTCTATCAATTTTATCCTTTAGCTTTTGGATTCAAAGTAATAATGTTCAATACAAAATTAGGTTTTAACTGTTTTACCATTAGCCATGTTATATGTAAGAGCAAGAGATAAATGTGGTGATCCTGACTTTAAAGAAACTTATCTTAGAGATATGCTATACAAGAATAGTGAAATTAATGCTTTATTCAAAGATGAAACTATTCATGTATTAGATTATGATTGTGAATATGATCGTGGATATCCATGTCCTGAAAAATTCCCAGAATTCAAAAATAAAGTAAGGATTAAAAATATTCCAAAGTTTTGGTAATTCTTTAATACTGACACTTCTATGACAACTGGTTATTTCAAAATGGCTGATGTTGAAACAGGTGCAGTTATGAATTTGAAATTTAAGACTATGCCTGTACCAGGAAAATATAGATATTAAATTGGTGAACCATTCTATTTCTATGATTTAAGAGGTATTATTTACTATTAAATTTAAAGCTGAAATAACTCATAATGGATAACATAAAGAAGTTGTTTTAGTTGATGAGAAAGTTGCTCTATAAAAAATAAGACCATTTTTATTAATTATTTGAAAAATAATATAAGAATCAATCTAGCATATTAAAATTATATTCAATTTCATTCTTTTATTATAATTTACGATATGTATTAGCCATTCTTTATTTTATTTATTCATTTATTTATTTTTAACTCATTCCTTTATCATTTGCTTTTAATTCTGTTTCTTTCTTCAATATTTACTATGGATTTAATGATTTTTGATCAGTCCATTCAATAACAAACTCATACCATATTTAATCTCCAATCACTTATCCAAATAAAGAATACAAAACTAATTTTAATTCTTGAACATCAGATAAATGCCTTTTATTTTAATATAATTTTAGTATTCTCTCTTATTCTTCCTTTTAAAGATATTCAAGTTGTTACTAAAATTATACTAATTTTTAATTAAAATCTTTAATAAATAAATTTCCTTCACTAGGCATATTTTATAATTTAAAGTTTGTCTCTTCTTTTTCCTAAAAATGTCCAGATTCTAAATCTTAATTCTCCCATTTAAGAACATGAGCAAAAGATGAAGGATTCATAGGATCTATACCTTAAACAAATACAGGTTTCTTTATTGATACCTTACTTCTTTTAAGCATAGTCTTTACTTAATTTTTCAATTAAAAAACACTTACAGGTTATGTTTAAAATAGACATTATTATGACTGAGTACTTCTTAAATTAGTTTAATTGTGATTCAATTTCTATGATTTTAATCTAGCATCCTCTATTTCCATTTCTAATTATGCAGCTTTAAGTAAATACTATCTCGATTAATCATCTAAGTATCTAGGAAATTATTCTATTTTAGCGTTTTCATTTATTTTTTTCATCTATTTAACTATTTAAATCAATCCCTCTGGCATTAATGATTCATTTGCCTCTTAAAGTTATTTTAAGAAAATATCCTTTAATAACATCTTACATCTTCTCTTTTTTTATCTTAATTCATCTAAATCTTTTTATATGGCTTCTTATTTATCAATATTTCTTTACATCTCCTCTTTTATTTATGAAATAAATCTTTAAATATTTTTTATTTCTAAATCTCTCTATTATCTAATTTTTTCTATAATCTCCATCATATTCCTTTTTTTACCTTCTTAATCAGGAACATATCCTTATCTTGTTTTTTCTTCTTTTTAAAAAAATTTCCTTCTTATTTCACTAATTTCTTCCTCTTTTTGATTTGTTTTTTGTACTAATTTGTTATTTTCTAATCTCATCTCATAAAGAATTTATTTATTATCTTTAATTTAAATTTAGAATTATTAGAATGATTCCATTAACTATTTAGCAGAAGTCGATGTTTATTATCCAGTCTATATCATTTCCATTTCAAATTGATTTGGAGGTTTATTACTATAATATTTAGCTCTAGATAAGACTATATCATAATCTATATATTATGCTGGGTTACTAAAGTATTCAGTTAAACCTTTGAAATTATTTAGAGTAGAATTTTTTAATGCTTAAGATTAATCTCTTACAACTTATGCTGTTTCCTCATCCATTTTTTAATGATTCCAATTTGACTTTACTTTTCTATTTATTTATAAATCATCTAATTTCTTTGTAACTTTTTATAATAACAATGAATTTAAAATGTGTTTATTCATTTCTATTCTAACTTAATCTAAAGTTTTTAAAACAGGATTATTAGAATCCTTATTTGATCTTAACAATTAAAACTTCACTTAAACATTCATATTCTACTCTTCTTCTTAAGATAAATTCTTTAACTACTATTTTTCTTATGGTTTAAGAATTGAGTTAATAATAGCTTAATTTATCTAAGGTCCTCCATCATTAGTAAACTCATTCTCCATAAATTTATTATCATTCTATTTAATTTATTCAAAAGCAAATGTTTTTTTCTTTGAAACTACCTATTCATGCCATTAATCTAATTATTCAAGTAATTAATCTTATTCATCCTTGCTCTATCTCCTCTTTTATTTAGAAGATGGCTTATGCACAGATTCAGTTGCATCTCCCAAATCTACAACATTCCTCATTTTTATTATTTTTCTATCTCATAAATATAGTTTTCCTAATACCTTTAGAAATAGGATCAGTTTCCTCAAATTAATTTACAGATCTCTATCTAGGAATTTAGGTTGAGGGTTTCGAATCAAAATTTGATGGAGAATGCATACTTGAGCGAATTAAAACATTTTTTTTATGCGATTTCATTAATAATTAATACTTATAAAAATAATAAATAATGAAATAAATAAAATACTCTATATGAATTTAAGTCTAATTAAAAAATACATCTATGTATCTATGTGTAATTTAAGTTAACGTATTCATTATTTTATTCTATTTTGAAATCCTATTAAAATTATTAATATATATATATGAATAATTAGCACTTAAAAATTAATTTCAATAATCCATTTGACTAATTATATCCTTATTTCCAAACAATAAATTTTATATTACTAAATTTAGCATTCTAAATTCTAGTTAGAGAAAATTAAAAATTTTCTAATCATATATAGATTTAGTAAATATAGAAAAATTAAAGAAATTTCAATAGGAAAAGTAAAATTCATATAAAATTTGATTAATAATTCCATTGAATTATAGTAATTTAAAAAGTAGAATAAAAAATACTTTTTATCTTGCATATTTTCCTATGATATGACATTTAGATACTTTTAAATGAGAAAAAAAGTAAAAGTTTAGAAAACAATAAATATAAATAATCATAGGTATGTTTGAAGCTGATTTATAACTAAAATCTTATTTAATTAAAATGTCATTTGACATACAATAATAAAAAAAGACGCAAGAAAATAAAACCACAATGGTAAATGAAATGATGGTTCAAAATATATCTATTTAATCTGAAATGAAGACAGTGCCATTAATAAAAAAATAATAAAGCAAAAGAAAATTCAAAAGGGCTACCACTATAATTGATGATGATGATGATATTTATAGAGGGCCTTTTGAGGATGGAAGAGTAACAAGAATGATCTTCGAAAAATGCAGATTAATTGAATTAACTAGATTTTGGTTTATTTTGGCATGTTTAATACTAACGATCTTAGAGGTATAAATGTTTTGAATTAGTATGAATATAGTTTTTCAACATTCATATAAAATACAATGGAATATGAACTAAATATACTGTTGTATTTAATTTTCTGTATGTCAATAATTATTGCTTTGTTGACAATCATAGCCTACTTGATAGAACTTGAATATAGAAAATGTTCTAAAATAATTTCCAATAAGGCATCAATTTTATAAACTGAATTAAAATGGGGATTATTATGTGAAATATTGATAATAATTCCAACATCAAATCCTTTCACTAGGAATTTTAATGTAAGTTTTGAATAGAGAGGAACAGGAGAATAAAGATTTTACACAGTAAATGAAATTCTGACATATTTGATGTTTTTTAGACTCTATTTGTTACTTAATATAGGGTTTAAATTTTAAGAATATTATTCAAATCAAATAGGAAGAGTAAGGTAATAATTAATAAATAAATTTTGTTAGTTGTTTATATAGAACTCGTTTTGGAACTCATCTGATGCTAAAATTATGCATACGTTAATTCCCATTCTATACTTTAACTTGGTTATTTATAGTTGGTTTCATATAATATGCATATTAATTAGAGATATCAGAAAGACCTCTCTTAAGAACTTTTGAAACAATAGAATATTATGATTTCACTAAACATTTGTGGGTTAATATGATAACTATAGCTACGGTAGGTTATGGAGATTTCTTTCCTTATACAGATTTAGGTAGAATAGCAATGACTTTGGGATTATTTTATGGTGTTACAATAACATCTTTATTTACAGCTATTTTATATAATATGTTATAGCCTAATTCAGGAGAATATCAATCTTGGGCATTGTTGGATAAAACAAATATAACAAAGAATATTAAAAAAGCAAGTTCAAGGATATTTTATTATTTAAATGAATTAAGAAAAGGAAAGAAAATTACCAAAACTTAGGTTGTCAATCTTAATTTGGAAGACACACTTTATAATCTTGAAAGATTTTTACAAGATGTAGGAATGTTGAAAAGGTAATTAATTATTTAATTATCTATTAGAATGCATAGAGATATTGATGGAGAAGAATTTTAAGAAATGGTCAAAAGGAAATTTGGAGATGCAAATTCTAAATTTAAAGAACTTAAATAATAAATGTAGAAATTCAGTCGATAATAAATAGTAATATAAAATATTCTCTATAAATTATCATAAAATGAGATTAGTGCAATAGAATAGAAGTAAGAATAGATGAATCAATTTTCACTTAAATATAATAATGAAGAGATAATCAGTAAAGATGATGAGTTTTTCAATAATTTAGAAGATTCACAAAGGGATTCATATTTAATGAGTTTTCACAATTGATCAAAAATTTTGATAGTTAATTATTTATTATGAAATCTTAAAATTAAGAAACTATAGAATTGTAAGGTAATCCTGCTTCAAGAGCAAATGAGGATGATTATTTACGATAACATGGTAGACTTTCACATTTATTTTAAACTCTTTCAACAAATTCAAGGAATAACAAAAAAAAGTCATCTATTATTGGAAAATCAAAAACTAATGATTTTGAAGATAGTAGAATTACAAGACTTTATTTTGAAAGATACAGAGTGTTAGAATTAGGCCGAATGTTGACTATTTGTGCAAGTATTTTCCTTACAGTTCTTGAAGTTAATTATTGATAAATAATATAGTATGAGGTTTCATTTGCATATTAGTTAACGGATAGATATGAAGAAGAAATAAAAACACTGTTATACCTAATTCTATTCTTAACCATTATATCTAGTATTTTATTTTCAATTATATAGTTCTTATGACAATTATGGCATATTTAGCAGAACTCGAATTTAAGAAACTTTCTCTTACAGTACCTAAAGATTCCAATATTTTTTAAACAAATCTAATTTTCCTTCTATTAATTGAATCTATTATACTTCTTCCTTGTCCTACACCATATACAATGGGATATAAAGTTTAATTTTCTCAACGGTATAATGATTAACCAAGATTCTACTTCATAAATGAAATACTAACTTTTGTAATGCTTTTTCGATCATTACTTATTTTGAATATTGCTTTTAAATTTCAATCATTTTATTCAAACAGAGTTAATAGATTATGGTATTTATATATTACATTTTTTTAGTGGTATTTATTCAGTTGAATTTGGTCCTCATTTTATTTTTAAAGTAGCCATCAGATAAAATCCATATTCTACTCTCTGTTGTTTATTTTCTATTGGAATTTTTTTATTTTCTTATTAATTAGAAATTTCAGAGAGATCTTTAATAAGAACATCTACTGAAATTGATTAATATTATACTAAAAATTCTTTTTGGGTTTGCATGATAACTATTTTCACAGTTGGCTATGGAGATATTTATCCAACTACAGAACTTGGAAGACTTTCAATGACATTAGGATTATTTTATGGAGTAGCTTTGACATCACTTTTTACAGCAATACTTTATGCTGATTTATAACCATTTGTTTCAGAATTAAAGTCTATTACCTTATTAGATAAAGCTAGCATAAAATTAGAAATTAGATATGTTGCTGAAAAAGTTTTTTTAAATTTCTACAAACTAAATATGTATCTCAAAAAATATCAAGTAAATGTTGAAAATAATCCTGCAACATCAATTAGAATTAGTTAAATCTAGTCTTCTTTATAAGAAGGTTTATAACTTAAAAGGTAAGAGATATTTATTATTATTCAAGAAATTATCGATCTATTGATACTGAAGATTTAATCTCTATGGCTGAAAGATATTTCAAAGATATTAACTACAGAATCAAAGATTTCAAAGAAATGCTTTAAAAAATGAAATGTCAATAAATTTCTATTAATAAAAATGATACTCCAAAATTAAGATCAACACAAAAACAATGTCATACTATTACTGCTGCTAGTTATGAAGTTAAAAGCAAAGATGATTAATATTTCGAATAATTAATTGATTCTGAATCTAATAATTCAGAATTAATGTAATTTAATGAGGATGAGTGATAATTATATACTGAACTTATTATATTTATATAAATAAACATAAAAAAAGCCTTGAATATAAGTATATGTATTATTTGGAAATTAAACAATTAGCTTAGATTCAGTATAATCTCAAATCAATTTAAAAAATGTTACAAATAATTGATCTTTTTTTTATTGTTTATTTTAATCAAAACTTGATATCAAATTGTTACAAATTATTGATCTTTGTTTTTGTTAATTTTAATCAAAATTTTATATCAATTTGTAAATACTTGATCTTAGTTTTTGTTAATTTTAATCAAAACTTGAATGATAAAAATATTTATGATAAAATTTATTCTTTACTTTTTTATTCATTTTTACTCAAACTTTTCTATTAAAAACAAAAAAAAGGTGTAAATTCAATCAAACTGTTGTATCACTTTTAATTCAAGATTATTGATATGTAAATAAATAAAAATAATATATATGGGAATAATGAAATATTTTTCTAAGCTTATTTACTTCTTTTTAAGAATAGGCACTAACACAGAAAGAAGAAAAGCATAAATAGATTATGGCAATTAAGGTATGATTGTCTTTTACTTTATCTAATTGCTTGGTTACTATTTTAGTTAATTTGAAAGCAAATCCCTCATTTATTATGAGAATGATTATTTGGCTTAAATAGGATAATATTCCTCTATCCCATTTATGATGATAGTCATACATTATGACCCACTTACAAAATTTGTTTATTATTGTATTTTTGGGACTATGTGTTTCATTTATGCAGCTGTGATTTTTTAAATTACATTTAAAGTATCATAATAATCCTATTCTAGCCAATATCTCCAAATAATTTTTTAAACAGATTTATTAGGTTTTATTTTAAGAACTTTTAGTGGTACTTCTTAACACCATTTCATGAATGTATGATTGGAGTATTAACCTGCGGTCGTTTATCATATTTAGCATAACATAGCAACTTAGATCCTTAATAATGTTTCTCATAAATTTCACCACATTTTTTAGTTTTAAGTATCATAGGCTAAGTCTTAGTAATCTTATCAGGTTGTTTATCTTTATACTGCTTTAGAAATTATGAATTTGTCTAAGGAGATTTGATGAGAAAATTTAGCTACTTTAATTTAGTAACCATTATTCTACATATGGCTTTATAAATTTCATCTTTCTGGAAAGAAATGTATGATCATTACAATATTCTAATTCATTTAGTTTTCAATTTCATAGCAATTTTTATTGCTTTAGATATTTATATTAATATTCCTTTTGGTTTTTCATAAGAAACTATCTTTTTTAGTAAATGCTTGTTATCTACATGGTTTTTTGAAATATTAGTAGCTATATGGATATTTTCAGATCTAAATGATGCTCATATATTTTTAACATTTTGCATTTCTGTTCCTGTAAATTATTTATTTATTCTAGTTGATATTTGGTATCAATTAAGCCCTTTATGATAATTATATTGATAAAGAATGTTAATTATATTTTAATTCTAATTCTAACAAAATTAGTGAACATCCATTAGAATTTATTTGTTAATTATGTCATTTAGATAATCTTCATCAAAAAGATTATTATCTTATTCTTAAATATTTAAGTATACATTGTTAAAAATGCAATGATTTAAATTGTCCTTGTAAATCAAGGTTAAATAAATTTATTATTGGCCAAAACTAACTTAATACATAATAAATATATATTTGGGTCTAATATTAATTTTAAAAAATGATCAAGTAAATTGTGTAAAATCCTAATTCCTTAAAATACTTTGAATAACTTACAATAAAATTTGTTACTTTTTTATAAAGATATAGAGAAAACTCGGTTTTATCATATAAAATTATATAGGATGTAGTTTATACATTTAAAAAAATTTATTAAACCAATATGCCATATTTTTTTATAAATTTAACTAAATAAATATAACATTAAAATAAAATTGAAATTGAAAATAATAATAGATCTGGAATATAAATAGGATCTTTAGAGTTCCGTACTTTATAAGATTTCAATTTATTTTATAATTTTGAAGATGAAATTGTTAAAAGTATGGTTGATTTGCTTGAATGTCTTAAGACTTTATGGTTTTAAAAAATGAATCATCTTACTTCATATGAAAAAATGATTTAATTTTCAGAACAAATCAGAAAAAAAACTTAACTGGTAAAAAAAGAATTTAAGAATTTTTAAGCTTAAAGAGAAATACCAGCTATTGATTCCATTTTAATTCTAAGAATTAAGTTGGCAGTATCAATTGTTTGTATGGAAGATATAAATACATGTTTAAAAATAGCTTAATAAATAGAATATCAAGTTAAAGAACAATCAAATTCTAAAAGCTAATAATTTAATAATTTATAATTTATTAACGGCCAAGCTTTATCAATAGTCTCTAATGTTTAATCTTAAACACTTGGTTACATAACTTAGAACATAAATGATCAATTTTTTGGCTTTTTTGGTTATCAAAATATAAACATTCCTTTAACAAAAATAGAGTAATTATTGCCAATAAAATTGGGTAAAATACATAATGGTTTGATTGAATCTTACTTATAATAAGGAAAAACAAATCGGTTATATGCAAATTCAGAATAATTTATTTTAAATGCTGATAATTTGATTGAAAAAGTTAATATTTGCCTTACTGCTTTATTTCCATATTCAAATGATTAATTTTGGTTTTGGATTATTGGGCATTTATTAAAAACAATTAAATATGAAAAATAAGAAATTGATTAAAGTAAAAGAGGTTATATTTTGGTTGACTCTGATTTTCTAATTTTTGGAATAACCAGAAATATTTATGAAAGAATCAATTATAAATATTATTATAAAAATAATACAAACATAGATTTGATTTTACCAGAAGAAATTTATGAATAGATTACAATATAAGAATTAATTCCAGCTTTGGCATCAATATTAGAAGAATATTATAGATTATTAACAATAAAGAATGAAAAAAGGATTTTTAAATAGGATATTATTTGTTAACGAGAGATAGGAGTGTTATAAGTTCCTTAATAAAAAAGAACTTAATTTAAAACATCTTCATCACTTACAACCAAAAAATATACAAGCAAATAAATTTTGAATAATTTGAAGGATGTCAATATTAGTATATCAAATATCAAACCAAAACATACAAAATTATATCCTATAGAATTCAGTGTAGTTCAAAAAGTTTTATCTTATTTAGCAAAAGATTCTGCAAGTGAATTTTTATATTTTGTAATTGAAATTGATTTTTTGGAAGATCCAAAATTATATTCATCTCCATCTTAATAAAATGCAAAGACACCTGCTCTTTCTGATATTTTAAGACGATAATAAGCAATATTAGAATAAGTTAGGCCAGATTAAAATAATGTAATTCTCTCAAATGATGGAGAGGATGTAAATGAATAAATAGAATTAGTAGCAGAAATGACAAATACTGCCACTAAACATAGCTCGAATGAAATAAATGAATAATTAGAGAAAATAATTGTTTATATGAATGATACAATTCTACCTAAAACAATCAAAAATTTAATTGCTCAGTTTCTCTTGTAAATTTTAGTATTAATAATTATCATAATTTTAATATCTAATCTTTTTTAACATAAAAAGAATATTTAATCAAATTGTATCTAATAAATCACAGCTGATTTGAACTTTTTAGATGCATATAGTTAAACTATGTCAGGATCCCGTCATGTAATTTATTATAGAGATTTTTATCCTATATAAAATGATACAATTATTCCATTTAATAGTGATTAAATAAATATCAGCAGATATGATAAGATATATATAGCATGGTAACATATAGCAAAAGGAAGTGTTAGATTGATTGACATGTATTTAAATTATTCAAAAATTGCTTAAAATAGTGACATTTAATTTATTACTATCTACTTTATAAACTTTGATTTAAAAAGTAAAATATCTCAAACGGTTTATGATTATTCGACATATTATCAAATTATGCACCAAATATTTTTTATGTCTTATTAGTCATTTGCTTCTTCCCCTCAAACCTATTTATCAGGGAGAAATGACTCTTATATGACATAAATTGCTAGATCATAGGTTTATTATAACTTTTTTGATGTTAGCGAAAGTGTTAACATAACTCTAGAAGATTGTCATAATTATAATATTGAGATGAATGACCATTTTGATTAAATAGTCAATTATTATTTTGTAGGAATATATTTAACAATAATTCTTTAATTAATAACCTTAATTATTAATTATCTGAAAGTAGTTCATACAATCAAACTTTATTTAAAATTATTTAAAATGTTAGATAAGGAAGATTGTGTTCAAATCTTACATTTATGTGATTAATTGATAAATATGGTATCATACAACAGAATCTTCTTAAGGTAGAAAGATTTTAAATTAATTTTAACCTTACCGTAATACATATTAGATGATGTTAGAAAAAGTCAAAATAAAACAACTGTGATTTTTGTTAAAAAGAAAAGAACAAATGATAAACAAGTTTAAGTAAATTCTAATTATTAAAATTATTGTTCAATTGCTATAATTTTCTTTTTTTCAACTATAACATTAGCATATGTATTTTCTTTTCATTTATATTATTCATAAATAGCTAATTCAATCGGACCGATAAGCAATAGAGCAATTTTAGCATAAGAACATAGACTGAATTTTATTGTCACTTCAAATCGATTTGATTTATTTTTGATAAAACAATATTTTGAAACTTATGCACTAATTAATTAATCTGATCCAGGTCATCAACTTATGACTAGGAACATTTAAACAGATACTTCAATTTTAAATTTATTAAATTTAGATGAAGAATTAATTAAATAAGATATCTCAAGATTAAAAATGATCGATTTTACTAGTTTAATTCTCAAAAATGAATAATCAAATTCAGAAATTAATGATGAACAATAAAATTAACTTTTAGGATAAGATGTTTGCCTTTTAACTGGCTGTGATATGCAAAGTCTATTATTTTATGATAGGCTACATTAAAAAGAATTAATTCCATTTTTCTAAACAGGAGTTGTTAATTTGCAATCAAAGGTATTATCTTTTGTAGAAGGAGCCTCTTAATTAATTTTCAAAAAAAATTAAACTTACTTATAGAAAGCACTTGCATTAGAGAGTATTCTTGATGATAGCGAATATCTCATATATATATTATGGGGAATCGACGTTATTCAGTTTTAAATAAGTTAGTTTAGTTAATACTTTTTAGATATATCTTAATAGACTATAGATAGATTAACATCACATAATTAAGCTTTTATTCTCTTGATTGGTATCCTGATGTGTATCTTAGTTTTAACTTTTTAAATTTTGTTCGGATATTATTAATTCAAACGATATGTACTTTCTAAAGCAATTATTAAATCTATACCATTACCCATCTTGTTTTCAAGAAATATTCCAAAGCATTTGGAAAGTTTTCGAAGAAAATATGTAAAATGATTTTATAATATTCTAATTTTTATGCTTAATTTATTTAACAAGTGATATCATTATTTTATATTATATTAAATGATTTTTAGTTATTTTTTAAATATATATTACAGAGATAATAACTTAAATAATCATGTTTTAATTAGTATAAATAATATCTTTGAGATAGATATTAAATAAATTAAAAAAAGAAAAAAGATTTGTGTCAAATAGTACATTATTTTATTAGAAAAAGACAGATTTAAGTTATTATACTAATCATTAAAACCAATCACAAAAAAATAATAATTATATTTCAACATTTTTTAAAATATTGGTTAATTAAATAATTAAAGTCTTAACATATAAAAATAATTATAAGAAGACTATCAAAAAATAAATTTAAATAAAATATTATTTTATTTAATACCTTATCAATATCTTAAGATGATCCTCACTATAATACCAGAAGTTAATCTTAAATAAAAAAATGAAAAAAATTTTAGCATTTTTTGAAAAAATTGAAAGTTTGAAATTCATCTATTCATAATATTCATAATATTCAAATATAAATTCATTAATCTTTTGAAAATCTTGAAGAAAAGAGAGAAATATCAGTTTATGTGTTACATTAATCCTTAAAAATAAAATGTAAAATATCTATTGATTTATAGCATTTTTATTGATAAAAAAAATTCATTAGAAAAATGATTATTTTTATTATTTTTTGTTTTATTTAAGAAATAAACTTTTCATAGAATTTTTAATTAAGGAAAGAATGCATCAATTAATCAGTTTTATAAAAAAAATATAATATCTAATGAAGAAATTTAAATGAATATAAATTTAGAATTATATAAATAATATAATTTTAATAAATAAAAATGGCCATGGACAACAGTAAATTTGAGTAAATGAGCAAACATTTTCCAAAGTCATTGAAGTTTTCATTAAACCCAGTTTATTATGGGGCAAGAGTTGGAATTTAAGCCTACTTAGGAATATTGGTTGGTGGAACTTTACTAATCTATCTCAACACATTTAATGGAATAACATTCCCATATTTATTTAAGAGAGTAAAAATTAGTTAAAAATATTTAATAGTAAAAAGTCGAGTATTAAGCAGTACCAGATTTCTATTCAAAATAAGTATTGCTATATTAAAGAACAGTGGCAAACACTGTGACTCAATTATGAGATTATAATAATGAACAATATTAAAATATTAGTGATACCTTAATATATAAAATTTAAATGCTCTTAATATCATAAAATGAAATAATTTATTATAAGATTATGGTATAATCATACTCAAACAAATAACAAAAATCCTTTTTCTAAAGCTTTTTTGTACAATTCACTCTGAAGTTAATGCTTCGACAATTTTTTGGCATAATGAAGGGGTGCTGGTAAATAAGTGATAGAACTCAAATCAAAATTTAAGAAAATCAAATGATAGTATAATTATGCTATTTCTTTTGTATTGGATGAACTAATGTATAATTATTATGCTTATAAACATCCTTATTCTCCTCTTTATGAATGAAATGAAAATCTACCTTACTTTTCATTGATAGGGACTATGCAACCTACTTATGGGTTTTTGCAATAGTAAGATTCACTAAAAAAAAGATAGAAATAATAATATACAAATTCCTTTCGAAATAAGTGAAATATCTTTCTGCACTAGCATCTTTAACTTAGACCATAACAACTTCAGGCTTTAAGATTTGTTGTGCTAATCCTTGATCTCTAATTAATTAAATTACTCCTTAAACTCGTTATTCTATAATTTAAGAATAATCATCTTCAGCAAATACAATAATTTAAGCAGCTAAAATTTTATGAGTTGCATAATAGGTTGCTAAAAGAAGAGTTAGAATTTAATCTAAATCTCCATAAGAGGATATATATTTATTGAGATATTTGTTAATACTAAGACATGCAGAAAAGCTATTATCACTTTTCCAAATTCCCAATACAGCACTCTTTTTATTATTTATGAATCCATTTATTTCTTTTATAGACCAAGGTACACTACCTAAGTTTGCAGTCATCATGGCTAATAATCTATTTATTTCTTGATCTTAAATTGGAAGAATGATAATTTAATTGGGAATTGCTTTTTATAATAAATTATTTCTAGCTTATTGAAAATCTGTTGTTTAATCTCCAACAAAAAGTACATAAGCATCTTCTGTGACGTATTTTTCCAAAATTTCATTCAAATTATTATTAATATCATATATTTATGGTTATGATATTTTATATTATCTAGATTTAATAAAGGAATCAAATTTATCTAAAAATTATTTAAAATTGTCTCTAAATTCAATAATTTCTCTTGTTACAAAGATTAATAATTTATTAATTGCCAAAGAGGTTGTAAAAGTAGTTGGATTTTTAAGAAAAAAATCACTATAATAATATTCAAATTCACTTGAAGTTCTGGATGCTACTATCTAAAATATTGATTTAGCTGAATTATTGAACACTAAATTACCTGGTTCTAAATATTATTATTTAAATTCAAGTTATTCATTTCTAATTATTAATTTAAATTAATTTAAGAATTAAATAAATGAGGTACTATTGTTGATAATTCTATTCCAATACTCCAATTATTAACAATAGATAGTGACATCTTATTCAATGTATTCAATTTTTAAATCACAAAATTCAGCTATTAAGAATTATTTTTTAATATTTTGAGTATTGTAAGTTTCTAAATACACATTTGTTTTGCTTTTTAATTAGTATTTATTTTTGAAATATTCTTCTAAAGAGACACCTTTATAGGTAAACTCTTAATCAAAAACAACTGATTTAATTTAAACAATCATTTTTTTTTCAGGATATCTTAATAAAACATATTTATTCTTAAAATATGTAGTTGGATCAATGTTTAAAGTCTTAATAATTTAATAACAATTATGCATAGTAAAATAGGATTTACGAACATCCATTAATACTGAAGGTTATTCTCTTTCAATTAATTAAAATCTTAGAGTGGGATATGATTTTAATTGATTTGTATACATCAATTCAAACATATTAATAATTCCAGTATCAGATAGCTTAGAATATTCAAATAAATTCATAGCTTCTTTAATAATAGTCATGATTATTTCTCCTCTTTCAGATCTATTAATTTTATATTCTGGTAAGTCTAATTTGGCTGGACTAATAATCAAACCATCCTTAAAGTTAATGGTATTGGCAGTCTTATTTCCATAATAGATAAATATTTCATCTAAGAATTCAGTCTCATAAATATTTGAACCCACAACTATTGTACCACTCATTTTATTTATATATTTTCAATTACATTTAATAACTAATCAACTTTTGGCCTCTTATCAAAATCCTATTACCAACACCATCTAATTATATCATCCATTAATGATTTTGATTCAATCTTAGGTCTTACAGCCTTATTAAGACATTCCTAAATATGTTATAATTGTAATCCTTCAAAAGGTACTTTCTTTTCAAACATCTCATACATTATCATTCCTACACTATAAATATCACCTTCTTAAGATCCACTTACAATCTAACCTCTTTAACTTATTAACTCTGGAGCTGTAAAACCTGATTTATTTGTATAATAATGCAAAAGTGATTAATATTTTTTTATTCCAAAAAGACCAAAATCAACTACAAATTAAATCATATATTACCTATTTTTACTCTAATATTTTATTTTATCATAACATTTTCACTTGTTAAACTACCATGACAAAGTCCTTGTTTATGAAGGTAACTAAGTCCTTATAATATTTAAACTAAGATCTCTATCTTTTATTCTATTGAAATCTAATATTATTATAAATAATTGTGTAATGAGTATTAATAATATTTTATTAAATAAACAACCTTGCTATCAATAATATTCAATCCATAAATATAATAAAGATATTCATTATTTAATTGATTCACTTATTCTATTTCTTACTTTATCTATTCGATTAAATAGGACTATAACTGTTTAAATTCTATTATTCTCATCCCATAACTCTTTTATCTAATTTAACAAACTATAATATAACCAAAACCGTTAGCCTTTTATCTTTTTATTTATTAAACTGAATTTTCTTTCATTAATTCATTATGATCAAATTGAATTTGTTTTTTTTCATTAACCGAACTTCCATTATCTAAAAATTATTAACACATAGGATGCTCTGATACATTACTCATAGAAATATTTTTATTTTTCAAAAATATCGAAAAGGTCTGTTGTCTTAAGGCTAAAATAAATGGGAAAATGTTTGTTAGTAATAGATCAATTAACAGTAATGAAATGTATAACAATAATTAGTTTTGACTCAGTTCTGATTAAAAAAACTTCTAAATCATATCCTAATTTTTCATTATTAAAATATTGCTTATTATCTGAACTATTCTCAATATTGTCCAATAAAAAATTAATTTCTACAATCTGTTTGAAATATTTTCTTATTTAGATGATTTAAATGGGGATCCTGAATATTTATATTATAAATATAAGGATGTTACGATAAATTAAACAGGTATTGATAAATTTATTACAATATTTATATAAAACAATACTTCTGCTTATATTTATTCAAAGTTATACAATAATACTACAATTAACTAAGCTATTCCATATACTAAAAATATATCTTTCATTATATGAATCAAAGTATTTGGATTAAATGGAAGTTCCTCTAATTATCCAACATGTAAATGAGAATCATAATATAAACAAATTACTGTCCAAAATAATGATTAATAAACTATCCAAAATAATCCATCAGGAACGTATATTGTATTTAATACCTATTTTTCTATGCCCAAAATATAATCATCAACTGAATTTTATTGAAAAATCTATTTTATATGTGTATATGTACATCATATAAATAAAAAGCCATATTCAGCATATAGGCTAAACAAGAAAATACTATAGATAAATAAAAATTATTTGCCAAGTATTTTGCTTTTTTTCCAATTTTGTAACATCTAATAGTCCCAAAACAAAAAATTGTTGTATAAATCATACCCAAAACTAAAAAAGCAATCCCTAAAACAAATTCACTCGAACTGTTTTATGCAAATCTCATAAATAATATTATAATTATATTAATGATAATCTTGTGGGATAAAGAAATAATTGTTATTAGATTAAATGATCTAAAAAAATATTCAGTTCTTTAATCTAATAATTAAATAATAACATAAAATAATACTCCAAACATACTTTAATTGTTTAAGACTGTTAAAAAATTATTAGTTTTAATTCAAATTGTAACATACTATCTTATATAATATATCTTATTATAAATATAGTTGACATCTAGATAAACAATAATTAGATAATAAAATATGAATAAATCAATTATTATTTTAAATATTAATTTACAGCAATGTCAAAATTGTAAAGATGTGCAACTGTAGGAGCCCTTGAAGCTAAAATGACTCACTATGCACCAGATGGAACAGGTACAGATATAGAAGTAATTTATTAGGTAGGGATTCCTACGTTACTTTATAAAATGGTGGAGTTTGGAAAGAAATTTAGATTCAGTGTGTTCATCCTGAATTAGGAACCTTTAGTAAATAAAAATAATGGAGACCTCCAGCACCAATGATGGTCCCTAAATTTAGACATTACTAAAGTGATGGATCAGGCAGAGATAATTATGTAATGTAATTTTCATTATTTATTCTCAAGTGCTGATGAAGGAGGTTTAGCACCTTCATCAAAAAAATTTTAAAGAAGAACTAACTTTTTCACATCATTAAGAGATTATGAACCTTGCCCACCAATTCCTTAATAAGATTGCTTTAGGATGGCTTAAACACCAAGTGCATAATCTTTTAAATAATACTTAAAAACTCAACAATTAGCTACTTAGTAAGGGGATTTGATTCGAAGATTAAATGTTCCCAAAAAATCTGAGGATCCGTATAAAAGAATAAGAAAGCTTTCAGCTCCATTTTATAGAAAATGATCGATTTTCATTTAGCTAATTATATAAATAAAAATAAAAAAATTATTTATTTCTAAATCAAGCTCAAAGCTATAAATTGATCCTGTTTGCAAAGAATACAATATATAATTACAATTAATCTATTAGAATAAAAACTTAACTTAATATAAATTAGAGAACAGATATTCTTTAATTAGTTTGAAGCAATTCTTCTCGAGCTTTAACATTAGAGATAAAGCATCAACAAAATATTAAGCTTATTTAAAAATAGGCCACAGATTTGACATAATTTTTTGCAAATAGCCCATTGTAAAAAAAGGTAGTTTAGTTAAGGGTGTAAATTTAATACATGTAAATATTCACTAATGATTTGAAAACAGACTTATATTAATACATGATGTATAAAAAAGGTTAAATTATTATTTCTTCATAACTAATCGTACCAATTGATCATAATTTACTTTTATTATTTATAAATTTTACAAAATAATTCATTCCAAAAATACCTTTTGAGATTATATATTAATGTATTTTTCTCAAACTTTATATTGTGAATTGTTAGTCTTACTAATCGTTAAAAAAGCTGAAAACATATTTCTTACGTTTCTGTCAAAATTAAGTATCAAATAATGTTACTCATAAAATTTTCTTAATAGTTGATTGTGTGTATTTAATAAAGTTTTAATTTATTTTTTGTTTTTTAAATTTGATAATCATATCTTTTGTAGAGATTTTATCATAAATAGAGAATAGCAAATATTTAGAATAACTATTTTTAAAATCTAGATAAAAAATTCATATGTATTTCTGAAATGTAAAATTTGGACAAATTTAATGATAATCAAATCAAATTGACAAACAAACTCGAACATGTCAAAATTTGATGAAAATTATTTAATTTTTTTTTCCTAATAAAATTTTATTTTACATTCATACCCCTTTTAAGCTTCTAATAATATTTTACATTATTGTAATATTTCTGAATAAATTGTTTTATTTTTATTATAATAATATAATTAAATGGAAAGCATAGATAGTTTTGAGGGGAAACTATTTTACAAAATATACACACTTTGTAAGAAAAATCAGATAAATGAAGAATAAAAAGGAAAATTAAAAGGTACTTTAGCAGATAAAGCCAACTAGACCTTGTAATCTTAAGAGATGAAAGAATTGAAATTGCAATGAATTAATATTTAGAAGACAGAGATGAGTTACGACTTTTAGAAAATTTTCATAATTACTCTGGGGAAGAATATTCTCCAAAGAGTTTTAACAATTTTTCAGATGATGTATCGATAGGAAGTCATAGTAAATTTAAGGGCAAAAGACCTGCTAAAATGCAATTACCTAAAAAGACATTCACAATCAATTTAAGAAAGTATGATGTCAAATTTATTCAAAAGAGATACCGATATTACTAACAGCTCTAAAGGTTTTCATTTATGCACTGCTAGATCAAGTGATAACAGAAATGTACTTGGTTTTAATGAACGACTAACTTAATAGAACTGGAGCGAATGCGAATGATTATAATTTTATTTTGCTTATTCATAACCTCACTTTAAATATGCTTATGAGAATTAAAANTAACTAATCGTACCAATTGATCATAATTTACTTTTATTATTTATAAATTTTACAAAATAATTCATTCCAAAAATACCTTTTGAGATTATATATTAATGTATTTTTCTCAAACTTTATATTGTGAATTGTTAGTCTTACTAATCGTTAAAAAAGCTGAAAACATATTTCTTACGTTTCTGTCAAAATTAAGTATCAAATAATGTTACTCATAAAATTTTCTTAATAGTTGATTGTGTGTATTTAATAAAGTTTTAATTTATTTTTTGTTTTTTAAATTTGATAATCATATCTTTTGTAGAGATTTTATCATAAATAGAGAATAGCAAATATTTAGAATAACTATTTTTAAAATCTAGATAAAAAATTCATATGTATTTCTGAAATGTAAAATTTGGACAAATTTAATGATAATCAAATCAAATTGACAAACAAACTCGAACATGTCAAAATTTGATGAAAATTATTTAATTTTTTTTTCCTAATAAAATTTTATTTTACATTCATACCCCTTTTAAGCTTCTAATAATATTTTACATTATTGTAATATTTCTGAATAAATTGTTTTATTTTTATTATAATAATATAATTAAATGGAAAGCATAGATAGTTTTGAGGGGAAACTATTTTACAAAATATACACACTTTGTAAGAAAAATCAGATAAATGAAGAATAAAAAGGAAAATTAAAAGGTACTTTAGCAGATAAAGCCAACTAGACCTTGTAATCTTAAGAGATGAAAGAATTGAAATTGCAATGAATTAATATTTAGAAGACAGAGATGAGTTACGACTTTTAGAAAATTTTCATAATTACTCTGGGGAAGAATATTCTCCAAAGAGTTTTAACAATTTTTCAGATGATGTATCGATAGGAAGTCATAGTAAATTTAAGGGCAAAAGACCTGCTAAAATGCAATTACCTAAAAAGACATTCACAATCAATTTAAGAAAGTATGATGTCAAATTTATTCAAAAGAGATACCGATATTACTAACAGCTCTAAAGGTTTTCATTTATGCACTGCTAGATCAAGTGATAACAGAAATGTACTTGGTTTTAATGAACGACTAACTTAATAGAACTGGAGCGAATGCGAATGATTATAATTTTATTTTGCTTATTCATAACCTCACTTTAAATATGCTTATGAGAATTAAAAAGCATTTAAAACATTCAAAAGCATTATCAAAATTAATAATTTTTTGCTTTAGATGTTTCAATAGCTTAAAATAAAATGATTCTGGAAAATAAATTCATTAAATTGAATTAAATTAGGAAAATAAGAAATTCAACTAAAATCTAAATCCTTATTATATCAAGACATTAAAAATTGAGAAAAGTTATTAAACTTTCTTTAAAACCTATATTTAAAAATTATATTTATTGATTGATTACTCGTTTAAATAATTGAAAAAATATCAGGTTATTGAATGAATAATCAAAAAAAATTGTTATTAATTACTCATTAATAAAATAACTAAAAGATATATTTTTTGTCTTATCTTGTAAATAATAAAAACTTCTTAAAATTTTCTTTCTTGAATTAGTATTTAGATTTTTTAGTGATAACAAGCTACAGAAGTTTTGTAAAGTTAAAACATGATTTGCTGTAATTCTTTAGGATTATGATTTTATTTTTTTCCTCAAAAATAAAATTTTTATTTGATAAATTCAGCAATATCCACTTGCTGCTCGGAATTTTTATTCTATTTCTTTCTCTATTTAGTTTTCCTACATGGTATATATAATATTAAAAAATATTGTTTTTTGATATTAACAATTATTAATTATCTCTACTTATTAATCAATTGGAATAAGGAAATTTAATTAAATAGCGATACTTGAATCAAAAAAATACCATAAAGGACTATAAAATGAAAAATTAAGTTAAATCTAAAATTTAAACTACAAATGAAGTAAAATAAGATGGAAATCATAACAAAATATAAAAATATTTAGTTACAAAAAGTAATGTTAAGTACTTGATGAAGATTGGTTGAATTAAATAAATTTAAAAGAATGTTTAATTTAAGTTTGGATAATCTAATATTTCAAACTCGATTATAATATAAGAATTCTTTATGTTGATTTATTCAATTGTTTTTTAATTTCAGTAACTTAACTGATTAGGGGCTTTTAAATAAATAAATATGAATTAAAATTATTAGAATGTATACTTGGCATTGATATTATATTAAAATAATAATAAGCAGAAACATTCTAAAATAAATAAATAATTATCATTATTTCTTGCCTTTAATCCATTAACCCTCTGTGACATGTCCATTAGTATTAATAAGTTTTCCCTTACCATGCTATTTTCCATTTTTCCATTCTCCAATATATTTTTAACCATTAGACCATGTCATTTCACCTTGACCTTCTTTTTTGTCATTTTTAAACTATCCTAACAAAATAAATAAAGTTTTATACCTTGATATTGTTTACCATCCTCTATTAATATACCTTAACCATCAATTTTCCCTTCAACCCATTATCCTTTGTACTGTTTTCCTCCATACCATTAATATTCACCATAGCCATGAAAATTTTCATTCTAAAACTCTCCATCGTAATATGATGAATCATTCCATTTAAATATTCCTCTTCCAGTTTTCTTACCGGCTTCAAAATTTCCTTCAAAATAATCTCCATTTTTCCACTATATTTTACCTTTTCCATGCTACATTAAAATAATGACATACAGGAAGACCATTTTAGAGTTCACCTTCGTATACTCCTCCATCAGGATATATATATGGAGTATTAATACAACAACCCATAATTCAAATAAAATAATCAATCAAATTTGTACTCAATCAAATCGTTAATCTCATCTCCTTTAATTACAACATCTAAATTTCAATTCATCAGAAGTTTCTTAAAACAGAGTTGCTAAATCATTTAGTTCTACTTTTTTTCATTTTTATTTTTTCTTGTAACACAGATGTTGTCAGTTAGAAAATTCAAAAAAAAGTCAAAATAAATCATAAATCTAGTACTTTTTTAGACTATATGCATTTGAAAAAAATATATTGTTTCAGAAATTTTAATATCAATCTGTATTTATATTTATGTATTTCTTTGTTAATATTCCCTATTATAAACTAAACAGCTATTAAAACTTAATATTTAGAGAAATCCATTAATCAACTTATTTAGAATCTATTGGAATAAGTAAAAAAATAAATTTAAAATTACAAAGTTTAGATTAGATATAAAGAAAAAGTTAATCAAGTTATCTATTAAATTTTTTTGAATAAATATTTTTTCATAAATCTAAATAGAATGAAAATATCATTTAATCAATTCTAAAGAAATTGAAAAATTTTTTATGATTAAAATCTTCTTTTATTCCATAAAATCACTGATATGAATACATTATTTCTATCTTTATTATTATTCTACATAATAAATATAAAATTTTAATTAAAAGAATATGTATTTTTATTAAATTTCGAGTATTTAATTGTAGATTATTGAAACAAGGTTCTTTTAATATATCTTTTATATGTAAAGGGTTTGTTAATAATGAAAAAATAAGTCATTAATCTCTTTTTAATGTTCTTTTTTATATAATAAAGGTAATTTAATGTAAACTAGTAAAATTATCTACTCAATCGTCTTATAAAATAGAGATTTATATTGTTTATTCTTAAGGGGAACGATTATAAAAAACTAACTGATTTAAGTCAGTCACTGTAATAAATGAGATTTTGTGTTAAATGATAGAATTATTAAACATTATTGAGTTATTTTAGATTTAAGTATGAAGATGTAGCTCTAAATTTGTAAATAATGTCCATTTTAATAATATTTATAATGGATAACAAATATATAGAAGAATTTGAGCATTTAGATTAAGATTAGAAAAGCTAAATGTTGAAGAACATGAAATAATTTATATCTCAATTGTAGTTATAGATTTAAGATCTTGAGAAGAGTGCGATTGATATAATTATGGAAAAAGATGAAAAAATATAATAGTTAGAAGCTATCATTCAAGCAAATCATGGATCTAGACAATATAATAAAGATGATGAAATAATGCAGCTGAAAAAGTAAATAATCTGTTTGAAAATAGTCACATCAATGAATTAAATTAAAGGATTGATGCAATCTAGATGAAACATTTTGAGTAATTGTAAGAATAGGAGAGAAAATGGAATACATATTTGTTAGATCAAATCCAATTAAGTAGTAATGATGGACAATAGGAAAAAATTGAGATGTTAGAAACTTTACATTATTTAGAAGAAAAAGTATATTCACTTGATAGAGAAGTATAAAATTTACTAATTCTAGTTGGAAATGAAAGAGAATTAATAGATGTTTGACAGGAACACAATCAATTAATTGACAAATATCAACTAATAGTTATTAGATGAAAGTTAAGAACTAAACTAACAGTTAATAAAAATGTAGAGATAAATGGAATTAATGAAAGAACATTTCTAACAGGAAAAAAATAGTATAGAAATTAAAATTAATGTATTCATTTCTATTTATATTAGAAATAAAATATCTAAATAACTTAAATATCGAAATAGGCTTTAACACTAAAACTACAAAATAATAAATTAACATAAAATAATAAAGAACTACTAGTACAAATAAATGAATTGAAAGATTAATTGGAAACATACCATGAAAATAAAGACAAAGTGCATTCTGAGAATTATTAATTATAATAGACAGCTCATTCAACTGATTAATATTTAAGAGAAGAAGTCAATATAACAGCATTTGAATTTTTAGATGAAAGTTACGAAGAAAAAGATATTACTACTCATCTTAGAAAGCTTTTAGATGAAAAGTCTGAATTGTGCATATAATATGAAGAATGTCTTCGTTAATCAACTAAATAAATAAAGGAATAAAGAGCTTAATTATAACTCTTATAAAACCAACTCAAAATTATAAGGAAATAATAATTTAATTAGAGGAACCTTAAAGAATATGTATAAATGTTGGAAAGTGATTATTTGGTTTCAAAATAACTATTATGCGAAAAAGTAGATAAATATTAAGAATAAGTTATATCATTAAGTTAAGAAAATTATGATCTTAAACAAAAATTAAAGTGTTTCTAAACTAGATTTCATAAAAAATTTAACTGAAATATCTATATATATATATATAAATTTATATTATCATGATTTCATTATCATTTAGTAAATTATGATTTTTCAGTTTTATATATATATATATATATTGTCTTATTATTTTAGTTGTACTATGATAATAACTTTTCTCAATTTATTATTAATATTTTATAATATAGTCACTAAATACGATAAATAATTGAGATATTAAATAATAATTAAAAATGAAAGGATTTATGAATCCAATTTTTCAACCTGTTGATAATAACATTATAGTAGAAGAGAGAAGAACTTTTCAAATGCCTTTGCCAAATATACATTAGGGTGTTGAAGTGCCTTAAGAATATGAACGAATTTTTTCATCAATCACAGACTCGTCATAACAGCTTAACGATAGTTTATTATTGCCATTTGATAATTCAAAATATGAGTAAACCCTTTAACTTTAAAATAAAAAATGTCAATAAATAAATAATTCTACATAATAAAAGAATTAGAGACAAATCGTTAAAGTTGACAAGAATCGCTTATAATAAATTCTATAAATTCTTTCGAGCTATCATCAATCTCAATAGAAAACAAAAAAAGAATAAATAATAAATCCTATTAATTAATCAAAGAATATTAAGAATACATCTGAGACAAAACAAACTTAAATCAACAAAATGAAAAATAAAATAAAAAACGATACAACTCCTAAACATCAACTTACATCTAATTTGAATGAAAATGAATAAAAGTCACTTAAGCAAAGATCTTCAACCAATTATACTCCAAGAGCTGAAACTTCACTAATAGCTACCTGTCACTATAGTTCCAAAAATTTGGATGCAAATTCTAATCAAAAATAAGATGATACAAACATCATTTAGCTTTTATAAAAAAGAACAAAATCTTAATATCATCCAAAACAAATGATTAAACATTAAATTGATGAAATTAATCAAAAAATCATTCAGCTAAAAAGTCTAATTTTTAAAGCAATCAAATTCGATCCTTTCTTAGAAAATATTTAATAATACATAAATAGGATTATTTAGTAAAATGAAGATAGTAATCTTTTGTAAAAAGAAATTGTTAATCTAAAAGATTTTACAAACTCAAAATCATTTAAAGATCAGAAATACTATATTTACTTTAATATTTAAAAATTATTATCTTTGGCTAAAGAGAAGTAAAAAAAGTTATAAATAATAATGATATTTAATAAAGAAGGTTGTTCTAATGATAGTCTTTAAAGTCCAAAAACTAATTGTATTTTATCAAGATAAACAACATCAGATAATATTACAGAGGATATTTAAGATGACAAAAGAAAATTTTTTGCATTAGTTGTAAACAGGAAACTTGAATTACCCTTTAATCATCCAAACAAAGATTTATTACTATGTGACTTATATGAAAAAGCATTGAAATTGGGTATTAAGAAAAGTGATTGGCAATAATTTATTGCTAATGAAGTTAAATTTTGATAACATATTGATTAATCAAGTTATTCATATGTTTTTTTCTTTTTAAAAAAAGGTTTTAAAAATTATTTCTTGATATCTTTTAAATAAATAATTATTTTAAAATTTTTGACTAGTTCTTTTATAAATCAAACTTAATTTTTTTTGATATAATCTTAAAATTTTTAGAGATAAATTTATTACTATTAAAATAATTAATAAGAAAATGTAATAAGAAGAGGTAGCAGAATTAATGTTAGAACAAGGTGGAATTCCAGTCTCTTAATTATACAATTCATGTGTTAATATTGATTTACTTTAATGTCCAATTTGTTTTAATATTCTTTGGAAACCAATTGCATGTGGGTAAGATAGATGTTTTTCCTCATTTTGTTAATTTTGTATTGAGGCTTGGTTAAATTAGAAAAAGTATTATTCTTAGAAATGATTAGTGTATAATCTACATTTGATGAGGAAGAAGAAACTTTTGCAAATGAAAATAATTGTCCAAAGTGTAAAAGAGTTTTTATTAAAACTGAGATACCTTTAGTGAAAGTATTATTATTTTAAATTGAATTGAAATGTATTCACTCAGGTATATTAATACATTATAAGATTGTACTTAGGTGATACCATATGTTGAATATGAGAACCATATTTTTAATTGTAAAGATAGAAAGAAATAATGCAGAGGTTGTTAATAATACATTTTATAAAATAAACTAGAGGAACATGAGACATTATGCTCTTAGATTCCTGTAGAATGCGAGAAATGTCATAAAATGATGCCTAAAATTGAACTTGAATCTAAACATAATAGATATGTAATAAAACTCATTATTAGAAGAATTGTATAGATAATTTATTTAAGATTTAAGACTAGTAATTAGAAAATCTATACACCTAATATTTAATTTGTGATGATATCATGAATTATTATGAAGAAAAGATTAATAGATTGATTTAAGGAGATTTAATAGTATTAAATGAATATCGCTTTTTTACTATTTTTATTGCTAATTATCTATTCTCATCTGATAATTTATATATTGCAAGACTTGTTAGGTAAAATTATTAACATTTATTAGAAATTCTTATAATGATAATAAATAAAAAAATGATTTTTTACATTTTTATGTCGATTATCATTTTACAACTGGTTTGGAAGGATATGAATGGAGAATTCGTTTAATACGTTTAAGAGGTAATTTATTAATTGGAATTTGTTCATCATAATTATCAAATTCAGTTGATTTTATAGTAAATAGGTTAGGAGAAGTAAAAAAGAAGGAGGAAAATGATAATAGGTATCATATTATTAGAAAAGTGAATTTTACTTTTGGAGAAGGAGATGTAATAAGATTTTAAATTTTACCATTCATGCAATGTTTAAGAATTACAAATGAAACAAGACATTTAACATTTAGTTTTAATCGAAATGAATTATAAGAAATGGGAGATGAATATTTCAGTTTTTTTAGTCTTGAGTATTAAGGAGATGCTCTTCAATTTTTATGATATTAATTTTTTTTATGTAACAAAATTGTAATTTGATTCTCAACGACCGAGGATCTCTATGGTTAGGAGACTACGAGTCTGCTCTTAATTAGGTATAAGAAAATATCAATCTTTAAGGAGTTCTTAAAAAGTAAAGGAATAAGGACAGTTATAACAGTAGCTGCAGGATTGAATTTAAAATATGAAGGAATTGTCCATCATAAAATAGAAATATTGGATATAGAATTAACCAATATATCTCAATATTTTCAAACAGCCAATGATTGGATAGAAAGAGGATTTAATATAGGAGGAGTATTAGGTATCATAAATCTATTATAAAAAGTTAAGTTCACTGCATGGCAGGTGTCTCCCGATCTGCAGCCATAATAATAGCATATTTAATTGAGAGAAAAAAAATGAATTATTATTAGGCTTTTACTTTTGTTAAATCTAAACGACCTTAAATAAATCCTAACAAAGGTTTTACCAATTAATTAATGTCTTATGCAACAAGAACTGCGTAACCTCCAATACCAAAATCATAAAGAGCCAACCATTTTCAATAAAATTAGGATTAATTTGAGAGTAATTAATATGCTCCAGTTACTCGTAAAAGTTCAGCAGGACTTATATAATAAAATACTAATTTCTATAAATCTATTACTAAATCAATGTCACAAAGTAAAAACAAAAACAAATGAATTTCTATCAATATACAACTAAACATATTTAATCAACTAAATTTCATACTTTAATTATAAATAAAATTCGAGAAAATTTTTAAGAATAAGAATTTATTTTCTTCTTCTAATCATTAATCTTTATTATTTTATAAAAAAAAAACTAGATTTACATAAATTGGTATTATGAATAAAGATTAAATGTTTTAAATCTAAAAAAAAACAAGGATTACTTCAAAAGTATTTATATTTAAAATGATAATTATCAAGTTGAGATTAATTTTAAATAATAAAGACAAATCTAGTGTTTTTAGTCATAGTTAATCAAATTACTCTGAATTAGTTCTTACTAATCCAATTTAAAAATCAGATAAATCATCATATCTTTTCTTCTAATCATTTATCAATTCTTAAGATGTTCCTGCCTAATTAATATAAACATTATCAAGATTAATCATTCTGATTACATCCTAAGGAACATAATGAACATGATTTTCCCAACAATTCCAACTATTTTTTAAAGAACTTTGTTCTCTTTCTTCTTAGATTGGTACAATTAATTGATTCTAATATCTCTAATACTATCTTGAAATTGTAATCTAAGAAGTTTATAAAATATTTTCATTATTTCTTGTTTCTATGATATCACAATCATCAAAACTTTTATTAGATTTTTTTTGTTATGGTGTAT